CTACAGTTTTGACTTGATTTTGGCGGAGCCGGGCTGGAACCCAGGACCTCCTGCATGCCCAGCACCCACTCACCACTGGGCTGCACCCAGCCCTGGAGAGTTCTGGAAGGTTTTTTTTTTTTTTTTTTTTTTGGTACCAGGGATTGAACTCAGGGGCACTCGACCTCGGAGCCACATCCCAGCCCTTTTAATATTTTCTTTAGAGACAGGGTCTCACTAAGTTGCTTAGCACCTTGCTGTTGCTGAGGCTGGCTTTGAACCCACGTTCCTCCTGCCTCAGCCTCCCCTGCTGCTGGGATGGCAGGCGTGGACCACCGCGCCCCGCCAGTTCTGGAGTTTTTCATCTGCCCAGTGGGAAGCTCCATGATGCCCCAGTGCCCCTCAACATGGAGAAGACAGCCAGGATCAGAAGGACTCGGCCCACGCCCCTTCTTTATGGGAGGCCCTGGGATGATCTGCACAGAGGGACATTTGTACCTGTGATGCGGGAGCCTGGCATAGGCAGGTGGCCCTGAGAGCAGGGACCGAGCAGCACGTGGCTGAGGAATGCTGGAGGGGATGCCAGGAGGAGGGTGCAGGTCACTGAGGCACGTGGGGGAGAGCCAGGGCCCTGGCCTGCTCCCCCCAAGGGCCCTGGTCCCTTTTGGGGGGATCCAGGTGCACCGGGTGCCCTCAGACTCCTTCCACCGCGCAGTGGCTTCCAGCCAGCACCCGGGTTTTGCATCTTGGCTCCTGCTGTCTTCCACGTGTGGGACACCATTTCTCTCCACCCCCGCACTCCGCCCGGTCACCTCTGTATTTCTTCAATTGAAATATTCACATCCATAATATTCATCTTCTTAAAATGAATAATTTAATGGCTTTTAGTATATTCAAGAGGTTGTGCAACTATCACTACTATTTTGTTTATGGAGCTGGGGATTGAACCCAGGGCCTTGTGCATGTGAGGCAAGCACTCTACCAGCTGAGCTCTATCCCCAGTCCCAGTCACTACTATTTAATTGCAGAAAAGTTTCTCCAACTCATGGAAACCCCGCCCCTATGGGCAGTCACCCCCAGCCCACCCCCACCGGACCCTGGCAACCATTCATCTGTTTTCTGCTTCTGTGGATCTCCTTGCTCTGGACATTTCTTATCAATGGGATCACACACTGTGTGGCCTTTTGTCTGGATTTTGTTATTTGGCATCAAGTTTTCAAGGCTCATCCACATCCAAGCCTGTGGCAGGGCTTCCTTCTTTTTACAGCTAAGTAATGTTCCACTGTGTGGATGGATCATACTCTGTGGACCCAGTCATCTGTGGATGGACAGTGTGGTTTACATTTTTGACTGTTATAAGTAATGCTGTTGTGCCAGATATGGTGGTGCACACCTGCAATCCCAACTCAGGAGGCTGAGGCAGGAGGATCACAAATTTGAGGCCAGCCTCAGCAGCTTAGTGAGAGCCTGTCTCAAAAAATAAATAGGGCTGGGGATGTGGCTCAGTAGTAAAGCACTCAGTTCTCAGTTCCAAAAGTAATTACATAATGCTATTGTGAACATTCTCTTGGGTGTACATCTCGGTGTGGAAATGCCAGATCACACATTCACACTTAACCCTTTCAGGAAGTGCCAGTCTGTTTTCAAAGTGGCTGCACCACTTGACCTTCCACCTGCAATGCTGGGGTCCACCTGTTTTTTTTCTTTTTTTCTTTCATCCTCACCAGCACTTGTCATCTGCCTTTTCGATCATAGCCATCCTGATGTCTTGATGTGCATTTCCACGGTGGCTCAAGAACTGGCCCTCTTCTCACGAGCCATTGGTCCTTTGCCTATATTCTTTGGAGGAATATCTTAGATACTTCTTGGCCTTCACCTTTTGAAAAATTTCAAGATTTCCTTCCACTTGGTGGGTTTTCTTTTCCCCTTCTTGAGAGTGTCCTTGTAAGACAAAGTCTTGACGGAGTCTGGTTTCTCGTTTTTGTTGCTTGTACCTTCAGCGCCCACCAAGGCAAAGTCAAGTCATCAAGACAGTGTGGCTTGGTGTAAGGACATACAGACCAGTGAATAAAACCAAGAGTGCCCAAATAAACCCCCCCACACACCTGTGGTCGTCTGGTCTTCAGTGTGGGCACAAGAACTGGTCATTGGGAAAAGAATAGTCTTTCAACCAGTGATCTAGCTCAAGGTCCTGAGGATTTACGCCTTTGTGTTCTTCCAAGTTTCTTGGCTTTAGCGTTTACATTTAGGTCTTTGTGGGAGGCTGTTGTGCTGTGTGACCAGCATTTTCCTTCCCTGATTGTTTGGGGCTCTGTGGGTCACTTCCCGTGATCTGACCACATCAAAGTGGCCCTAGATGACTGCCCCGATCCTTGAAGTAGTAGAATGTGTCTTCGTGCACGGGCGTGCCTTCCTGCAGCCCCATTTGTGATACTACCCCTTTGCCCGGTTTGGGATAGAATGTTCCATGGAAACGCCCTTTGTGTGTCCCCTTCTCTTGCTCTGCCTTTGGGTGTGGCCTTCCTAGGTGTCAGTCAACCTGCTGACAGCAGACATCACGAAGCTAGGCTCAACCCCCTGAAACCTGGCCCCTTGCCTCATCTGAATGGCTTCTCCTCAACAAAAGGGGTCAGCATGTGCTCGCTCTCTTTCTGGGGACCCTTAAGGTCAGAGGAGCTGTCACAGGACCCCAAAGAAAAAGGTATTTCTCTTTGTGTGCTTATTTCATGCAGCCCAGTTCCCCTGGAGTGACCCTGAGTGTTTTTGTCGCTGGTCTTGAATACATTTTCAGTTAATTTTTGTATACAGTGTGAGGTGGGGATCTGTATCAGTTTTCTAGCTGCTGTAACAAAATTACCACAAACACAGGGGCTTAAAATAACACATACCTTACAGGCCTAAACACTGGACGTCAGAAATGGATTTCACTAAATCCAGGGTGTCTGCAGGCTGTATGTTTAGAGGCTCTGGTTGCGAATCTATTTCCTCGCCTTTTCCAGCTTTGGGACCACCTGCAGCTCTTGGCTCTGGGCCTCCTTGTCCACCTAGCAACAGAGGGCTGAGTCTTCCTGACAACATCACCCCTCTGGGTATCCCTCTTCTGCTTTGCTCTTCTATTTATAAGGACTTTTTTGGTTACCTTGGGCCATCCAGAAAACCTATTTAAGGACAACTGGGTATCAACCTAATTTCATCTGCCATCACAGTCCCCCCTTGTAAACTATCCTCATACCTTTAGGCATTCAGAGTGTTAGGGGTGGCCATCTTGTGGGGGGCATTATTCTACATAGCAGAGTCCAGCTTCCTTCTTCTCTAGGTGGCTATCCCATTGTTCCAGCACCATTTATTGAAAAGACTTTTTGCTTTTTCCCAGTAAATGCTGATTGAGCAAGCAATTTACTTCTGAGCCACACCCTCAGCCCTGAAGAGACCTTTTTCCCCATTGAAGAGACCTGGCCCCTTGTTAAAGACTGACCACAACATATGGGTTTATTTTTGCATCTCAGTTCTGTTGCCTGAGGCCTGACTCTGGGGATCCAACCAAGCAGCTCTGGCCTCCAGCCCCAAACACCAAACAGAAAAGATAATGGAGAAAGGCGTGAAATGAACTGATTAGAATCATGTCCTTAGCCATGTCTTCAAGGGACTGACAATGACTTTGAGTTTCTACAGAAAGGAGAATGAGGGCAAGCACTTGGGGTTTGTACAGTTGGAGGCTTTTCACAGCTGCCAAAGCAGATGATCTTGAGGTGTGGGCTGCCCATCATTATCTCAGGATTGGTCAAGTGGAGCCTCGTCCACAGTAAGAAAGGACAGCTTCAACTCACCTCATGCTGTTTATCAGGGAGGTTGAATCTTTACACGTGGTGACTCAGAGCACAGGAGACAGATGCAATACGGGGACAGAGATGCCAAGTCTTTAATCCTGGTTTTAGCTACCCATCAGACAACTGCAGGCACAAGTGAAGATAGTCAGTCCTTGTTACAGTTCTACTCACTGATCTACATGTCTGTCTTTAGGCCAATACCACACTGGCCTGAATACTGTAGCTTTGTAGTAAGTTTAAAACTAGGAAGTGTGAATTCCTTGTGAATTTTAGGACCAGCTTTTCAATTTCTACAAAAAAAAAAAAAAGTTTGCATTTTGATAGTGATTATTTTGCATCTCTACAACTTGGGGAGTACTGCCATCTTATTTTCCAATCCATGAACATGGGACGTCTTTCCATGAACATCTTTAACTTTCTTCAGTGAAATCTTCATTTTCAGTGTACAGGTCTTGCACTTCTGTTGTTACTCCTGAGTATTTTATTCTCTATGATGCTATGGCAAGTGGAATTGTTTTGACACTGATTTTAAAATGCACTGAGTGAGTCTCATTGCACTTAACTATACTCCACCGAATTACCTCAGCACTGGAAGGAGCCGCTCCTTACACCCCCAGGCCTTGCAGCCCTCTGCTCCTCAAATCCCTCCTTACCCAAGTCATGGAGCTCATCAGGTGCAACCAGGCGGGAGGGCTTTTTGGGTCCTCGGAGGGACCCAGCAGCCTCCAGAGTGTTTGCTAAAGCAATTCAACAGATGTACTGAGCTCCTACTCTGTGTCAGACACAGTTCGGGAGGCTCGCCAGGCATCAATGAATAAAACAAAACAAACACCTTGACTCTTAGGGAGTTATGTTTTAATTAGAAGAGACAACAAATGCAACAGATAAATAAAGTTAACAGATGTCAAAGCCCACCAAAATACCACCTTCTCCAGGAAACCTTCCCGAATCTCCTCACGCCATCCCAACCCCATGTCCCCTTCTGTGGGGACGCAGGCCTGCCTCCGAGCTCCTCCTAAGCCAGCTCAGGGAAGGGCTCAGGCCTAGCTCGCAAAGATTCAAAGGTTGGGCACAGAAGACATCGCCCTTCCCTGTCGGGGCTTCACTTGCCGGACTGCGCATGTGCGTAGCGCAGACCGACCAAAGAGCTCAGGTGTGGCGGGGTTGGCCTTCGCGCAGGCGCACTGGCGGCCGCCGAGAGCGCTTCCGTCTCCCGGCCGCCCCGCCGTCGCCATGGCCGCGCCCGCCTCGGGCCTCATCTCGGTGTTCTCGAGCCCGCAGGAACTGGGCGCGTCATTAGCGCAGTTGGTGGCGCAGCGGGCTGCGTGCTGCCTGGAAGGGACCCGGGGCCGCTTCGCGCTCGGCCTGTCGGGCGGCAGCCTCGTGTCGATGCTGGCCCGTGAGCTGCCCGCCGCCGCCGCCCCCGCCGGGCCCGCCAGCCTAGCGCGGTGGACGCTGGGTTTCTGCGACGAGCGGCTGGTGCCCTTCGAGCACGCCGAGAGCACGTACGGCCTCTACCGGGTGAGAACTACGGGGGCCGCCGGGGATCATGCCGAGAGGGCCCCGCCCACCGCCCGAGCCTCGCCTTTGTGGGTGGGGTCACTCAGGGCCTCGCCGTGTCCTCTGCAGTTGTTTGGGGACTGACTGATGGGTGTCCTGAGGTGCCACCTGGACCACACCACTCTCCAATTCTACGTGGGTGGTCCAGTGTGACTAGGCAGAGGGACAGGTTTGGCCAAAGAGCTAGAAGTGACACTAAATAACGCATTGTATCACAAGTTCCATTGGTGGCCGCCCTGCGTGTAAGGGGACCGAAGAGCCTGGCGTCTGGGATCCGGGTGGAGCCGGGCCCTGTACCTTATCTGGGGCTGAGAGGAGGATCGCGAGTTCAAAACCCGCTGCAGCAACTTAGCGAGACCCTGTCTCTAAAGAAAATACTTTAAAAATGGGTTTGGAATGCGGCTCAGTGATTAAGTGGCCCTGGGTTCAATCCCCAGTGCCAAAAAAGAAAAAGAAAGTGTGTTGTTCCTTTCCTTGTGCAACTTTTTTAAAACTTTGCATTTTTTAAAATTAAGAGACAAAATTCTAACAAAGCAGCAAAAGAGAGATTATGTGTCCCCGTTGTGGAGTCCTGTGCTCTGTGCTAGGGCTGCAAAGGGGAGCCCGGCGGTTTCCTCCAGGGCTTGCAGCATAGACGGCCCCCCATCCAGCACGAGCGAGCTGGCTTGGAAGGCTGCAGGAGCTGGCCGTGGAGAGCTGGCACAAGGGGACGCTGCCAAACCAAAGGCCATGTCAGGCCCGGACTTGCTCCTTCTGCTGGTTTTCTAGAGCTGCGAAGCAAATGACCACATACGGAGGGCTTAAAAACCACAGGAATTGATGTCCTCACCCACTGAAGGTTAGAGCTGGAGTCAGGGGGTCCCACTGCCACGCTGCATTGGGAGCTCTGGGGGAGGGTCTTCCTGTCGGGGTTCCTTGGCTAGTGGCAGCCTCCTCTGTTCCCAGGGCCTTCTCTCATTCCTTTCGTCCTAGGATGCCAGTCTTCTAAGTGACTTTGGGATAACCCAGTCTAGAATGAATGGGTCTTAACTAATTTCATCGGAAGTTACACTCTTTCTTCTTCCGTAGCACTGGATGAGCCAGGGCCTCACACACGCAGAGCAAGCTCTCTCCCACTGAGCTTCACTCCCAGCCCTTTTTATTTTATTTTGAGACAGGGTCTGACTAAGTTGCTGAGGCTGGCCTCAAACTTGTGATCCTCCTGCCTCAGCCTCCTATGTAGCTGGGAGTAGAGATGTGCCCCAGCACACCCCAGTTGTAACCCTATTTCTTAGCAAGATCATATTCTGGGGTTCTAGGTGGTTGTGAGTTCTGGAGGTCCACCATTCACCCCACTACAGGGTGCAGAGGCATTTCCCTCCTTGAGGTGGGACCTGGGTCCTCTAGGCCTCTGCATTTCTGCTGCGAGGCCTTGGCCCTGTTGCTGTGGGAGAATCAGCCGGGGCCGCCCTCCTGGGGACCTGCAGCATTCGCAGCATGTTCAGAAGGAACCCGCCAGTTCCACCGGCCATTCTGTTTCTAGGGACCTGATCCCCTGAAGCCACCTAGCCCCTGCTCCAGACTCCCTGGAAGCCCAGCCTGACCTGGGGCGCCCTGTCCCCATGACCACCGAGGGGCAACTCCCGGGAGAACCTGCAGGGGCAGGGGTGGAGTAAGTGAAGGGACTCTGGAGTCGCCTGGCCCCAGCCAGGCTGTGAGGAGCCCTGGGCCGGAAAGGGCCTCGAGAGGGTGTCCCTCCTCTGGGCTTCTGTGTCCACTGCGTCTGTGGGGCGTCGGCTCGAGGCCACCCAGGAGGGTGGTGTGTAGTAGCATTGCCCTGGGGAGGGGACAGCCCGGGGCCTGTAGCCCATGTGACGATGTGATGATGTGCTGAGGGAGGAACTGGAAGGAGGTGACAGAAAGGGGCCTGGGCGCTTCCAGCTGGGTTTGTGCTGCAGGGCCTGAATGTTCATGTCCCCACAAGTCAGGCTGAAGTCCTAACCCCAAGGAGATGGCCCTGGGAGGTGGGGCCTTGGGGAGGTGACGAAGGCCCACCTTAGAGACCAGGAGACCCTCCGAGTCCCTTCCTGGGCACGAGGACCCAGTGGGACCGTCTGAACCGCAGGCAGCCCCTCGCCACACGGAGTCCCCTGGAGCCCGTGGCCTGGGCTTCCCACGCTCCAGAGCTGTTGTCCTCAGGCCGCCCCATCTGCTCCTTTGTCACAGCATTCCAGTAGACAGACAGGGACAGAGCAGGGACGCCCGACCAACAGTGAATCCGATCTTGCCCCTGCACAGCTCACATACCCTCCGTGGCTCCCTACTGCCCCAACATGGAGCTCCTTCTCAGGCGCGCAGCACGTGGGCGGGGCAGCTGGCAGGTCCTGCATCCCTGTCCCTACCTGCTCTGGGGACACTGGAGTGTCATCGCTTCTCCTCTGTGGCCTGCGCAGCATTGCGGTGGCTGAGCTGCCCTTGGCTTGAGGTTGGGCTCCGAGACGCTGTGGGAGGTCGCTGTCGGCTGTCTCAGCAGGTCAGGGGTCTGGGGCCGCCTCCCTGCCACAGGTCAGGGTGGCCCTGCGGCCCGCAGTGGGAAAGGTGCGGGCACAGGAGGAGGCGGCCGAGAGGCCCAGGAGTTGTGTAGGGGGATGGCAAGGCGGAGGGTGGGGCCATGACCGTGGACTTGAAGGACCCCCGGTGGAAAGCTGCTGGTAGCACTTGGCCACTGTGACTCCAGCTCGTCCAGGGTGGCCACTCTCCCTTTGCGGGGACCCTCCTGTTCTGGCCCCAAGGGCAGCCGAGGTCCCAGTGAACCTTGTCCCGAGGGCCGTGTTACCTGGGCCCAGGAATCTGGTCTTGGCCAGGAACGGTCTCAGCGCCTCCGTCTCCCCGGGTGTAAGTGGGAACAGGACAGCGCCTCAGCTGGAGGATCCAGGTGGTCACATCGCTGTTGGTGACATTGTCCCCCTGTCTCCACAGACGCAGCTGCTCTCCAGACTGCCCATCCCAGACAGCCGAGTGATCACCATTGACCCCACGCTGCCCGTGGAGGAGGCAGCCGAGGACTACGCCAACAAGCTGAGACAGGTGGGTCCCTCCGAGCAGCCCTGTGACCGTCAGCAACCAGAGGTGGCCCTGAGGCCGCTCCGCAGAGGAAACACCCTGAGGACTCAGCCCCACGTGGGGGAGCTCTAGGGTTGCCTGGCTGCTGACATGCAGTGGTGGGTCCAGGTCCCGACATCTTGGGGACAGTTGTGTCCCCAGACCCGGGCCAGGACTCTTAGCCAGTCGGACACATGAAAAGTGGAACCTCAGATTATAATCTCCTCCATCACAAGCACCACAGTACTGTTTCCTGGGTTCCAGCTATAGCTGTCCTGTGGGACCCTCTGGGTGTTGATTCCCGTAGTCCTCGTCACACACCAAGACCTGAAGGTGATGAGGTCGCTTCTACTGAGTGCTGCGGTGCTGACGTGTGACTGTAGGTCATCAGAGAGGGTGACTGTGATGCCTAACAGAATGCAAATGCTAAGCAAGTCGTCTCTCGCTGTGTTACTTAGGGAATGATGACGAGGAAGAGGGCCGAGCCGTTCAGTGTGGACGCAGCTTAGAAACTGTTTTCCATCCAGAACTTGGAGGCAGGAGCAGAGGGCGGGTCGTATTGTGTTCCTCTTTCTGACAAATCCCCGTTTCCTCCCATGCCCTCGCGCTCTCAACCCCTCTCCCCTGCCCAGGCCTTCCAAGGAGATTCCATCCCGGTTTTCGACCTGCTGATCCTGGGGGTGGGCCCTGATGGCCACACCTGCTCCCTCTTTCCAGACCACCCACTCCTGCAGGTGAGAGCACCCGCGTAGACCCTTCGGACCTGTGACCCAAGCCCCTGGCGTCTGAACAGCAGAGGGTGGTGGCCCAAGGTGGCGGTGGTGGCTAAAGCCAGGCCTGAGACTGGCCTGCACCAGCCCCACCTGCCCAGCCCTGCTGAGCCCCACGTGACCCACCCTAAACAGAGACCTCAAGCAGGGGGTGCAGCTCAGCGGTAGAGCACTGACCTAGCATGTGTTCCATCTCCATCTCTATGTTTGATCTCCATCTCTGCAAAAACAGGTGGGGGGACCTTAAATAACCTGCCTTAGGACTGTTGGGAGAGCATGGGATAAGGGATGGGCAAGGCCTGGAGTGCACAAGTGTTCAGGCAGTAGAAATACGCTTGTCTTCTGTTCCCTACCATGGGCCTTCCTTTCCCAGGAGCAAGAGAAGATTGTGGCCCCCATCAGTGACTCCCCAAAGCCACCTCCACAGCGTGTGACCCTTACGCTACCTGTGCTAAATGCAGCCCGAACTGTTATCTTTGTGGCCACTGGAGAAGGCAAGGCTGCTGTTCTGAAGGTAATGGCCAGGGGTTCCAGTCCCAGGAGGGTTATGGGCACCAGGGATATGACCAGAATATGACCCCAAATGCTATTGTGCTAGAGAAATCAGATCTGAAATAATTCACTGATTCTTGAATCAAAGGGGGAAATCAAAGTTGCAATTATGGGATAGTTAGGAATTAACACACATGAAATGAAATTGATGTAGCATGGCCAAAGATGTGCTCAGAAGTAAATTCATAGCATAAAATACATAATTTTTTGTTTGTTTTTTGTACCAGGGATTGAATCTAGAAGTGTTTAACCACTGAGGCACTAGCCCTTTTTGTTTTATTTTGAGACAGGGCCTTGCTAAATTGATAAGTTGCTGAAGCTGACCTCAAACTTGCAATCCTTCTGCCCCAGCCTCTCAGGTTGCTGGGATTACAGATGTGTGCCATCACCCCCAACTTAAATGCATAATTTAAAAAAAAAAAAATTTTTGTTGTTGTTACTGGAGATTGAGTCCCTACCACTGAGCTATGCCCCCAGCCATTTTATTTTGAGACAGGGTCTCAGTAAGTTCTTGAGGCTGGCCCCAGCCTCTGAGTTGCTGGAATTACAGGTGTGTGCCACCATTCCCAGAACTCAAATGAATTTTTAAAATTATTAAAGAGGAAACAGTAAATGCTTTATTTTAGAATTAGGAAGAGGGCAATAATATTAAATTGAAGAGGGCTGGGGTTGTGGCTCAGTGTTAGAGCACTTGCCTAGCATGCATGAGGCACTGGGTTAGATCCTCAGCATCCCAAAAAACAAAAAATAAAGATAATGTGTCCACCTAAAACTAAAAAATATTTTTAAACAATATTAAATTGAAGAAAAGATAGCAGAAGGAGTAAGTGCAGTTAAAATCAGAAGTTGATGGCTTGGTTAATATTTTTTAAAGTCTAAAATAAGTAGATCCAAAAGATGGACAAAGCCCTGTAAGTGCTAATCAAGAGAAAAAAACAATGTTGCATTAGGAATAAGATACAATATAGCTACACAGAACATTTTAAGAAAGTATAGAATAAAATATTAAAAATAAGCTGTAAGTTGGGCTTGGGTGGTGGCTCAGTGAAAGAGCACTCGCCTCGCACACGTAAGGCCCTGGGCTCCATCCTCAGCACCACATATAAATAAACGAATGAAATAAATGTATTGTGTCCAACTACAACTAAAAAATAAATATTTAAAAAAAAATAAGCTGTAAGTAATTTCTAAAAATGTTCAAGTGCCATTGTCAAACAGGCCAATGGGCGACTGTGGAAGACACTAGAATATTTTTTGAATATGTAATAAAAATAAAAGCTGTCGAGCCCGGACGTCTTCCCAGGGTGGCTTAGTGCTGGGGTTCAAGGTGCACGACTCTGGATGGTCCTGTAGGCCAAGCTCCCTGCCAGCGATGGCCAGCGTGCAGCCCCCCACGCCCCAGCTCTCCCACCTTAGGGGGGTGGGGGGGGTCCCCAGGGACTCCCCACAGGTGGGTCCACGTGGCTGCTGCTGCGAGTGGGAGCTCAGGCCAGCGACTCGCCTCCCCGGGCCGTGGCAGGAATCGAGGTCCCCAAAGCTGTCGTAGAGGTGAAGACACACAGAGAACTTGGGGGGCAAAAGGCAGACAGTGTCCCTCAGTGTCCACAGAAGATTGTTCTAGAACAATCTGGAGACCAAAATCCATCCGAAGTCCCTTCTGTAAAATCATGCACTGTTGCACCCCAGCTGGGCACATCCTCTGTAGCCTTCAAATGTCCCTTGGGGACTTAGGAAACCAGATATAGTGTCACGGCCCTGTAAAGAGGTGTCGTGTAATCCCAGTGGCTTGGGAGACGGAGGCCAGAGGATGGCGGGTTCAAACCAGCCTCAGCAACGGTGGGGCCCAAGCAACTCAGGGAGGCTGTGTCCCTAAAGAAAATACAGAACAGGGCTGGGAGGTGGCTCAGTGGTCAGTGCCCCTGAGTTCAGTCCCTGGTACCAAAAAAAATTTAAAAAAATAAAAGAGTTCTACTGTGTTATTTAGGGAATCACAACAAAGGAAGATGTCGGAACGGGTTCAACACACTTTTCTTTTTTCTGGAATGTGCTGGGTGTCTGGTGGGTGGATCCCGTGGAGGCAGAACCCCTGGACGCAGCACCTGCCCACACTCGGCCATCTGCATTCATAACTCCCAGTCAGGTCAGGGTCAGCACCCCACGGCCTCCCGGACCACATCGCGCCAGCTGGGCACGGTCCTACCTTGGTAGATGATTGGGCACAAAAGTCAAATGAAAAAAAGAAGAAATTTCTAGAAAATTCTGATTTCACTGCCCTTAGGGAAGTCTTCCTAGCGCACCCACCACTTGGGTACAGATCAGCTGCAGCTGCTGTAGCAGGGACCGGGCCGTCACCTGTGAGGCTAGACGCCCCGAGCTCTGGCCTCCACAGGGGGAGCTGGCCCAGCACCACAGCCGCGGGCGGGGCCCTGCCCATGGCTACGGGTCGGGGCAGCTGAGGAGGGCGGAGGCTGAGCATCCCGAATCCAAAGTGTCCCCAAGTCCCAAAGTTTGAGCTCCAGCAGAAGGCCCCAGTGGACAATCCCACACCCGGGAACTGTCCCCTGCAGAGATGTGAAGTTTCAGTTTTTCACTCCAGATACAAGAATCAGTGCGTGTGGGAGGGGTGGACGGAGCACCATGTCCTGTCCCCAAGATGCTCCACCCCAGACCTGGGTGTGCACAGTCCCGAATCCAAAAACCCAGTTTCCGCCGCTCTCCCGGCCACGCGCTGTGGCAGGGACTACCGGCCACTTGGTCCTTTTCAGGAGTCACCGTGGGGCTCTGAGAGGCCGAGGGCGCTGGGGTCTCACGCTCTGTCCCCTCCTCGCAGCGCATTCTGGAGGACAAGGAGGAGAAGCCGCTGCCCGCCGCCCTGGTCCAGCCCCACACGGGGACGCTGCGCTGGTTCCTGGACGAAGCGGCCGCCCGCCTCCTGTCGGTGCCCTTTGAGAAGCATTCCACGTTGTAGCCGGCAGGGGGACGCCAGGGCCACCAGGGCCACTGAGGCTGTGCGCCAGGGACCTCCCGGGGCTGGGCCCCTCTGGCCACCGCTCCCGGCTGCGTTTGGGAGGAGCCACGTGGTGCTACGAGAAGGAAGGGACCTGGCCGCCAGCTCTGCCTGGCAGGGTCAGCCACGCTGTGGGCCGGTGACCTGGGTATTAAAGGGAGCATTGCTGGAAGTCCCCACTGTCCTGTGGTCCTTCATGACAGCAGCCCTGGGGACCCCGCCCGCAGCCTGGCCCATTGGCACAGGGTGGGGCCTGATGTCCCCGGGGCCAGGGCACCTGCTGTGGCCGAAACAAAGTTCCACAAACTGGGTGGCCGAGGACAGGAGAGAGTCACCCTGTCCTCGCCGTGGCAGTGGGAAGTCCCAAGTCAGTGTGGGGGGCGGGTTCCCAGAGGCCCCGAGGCAGGCTCCACCCCAGGCCTCTCCTGCTTCTGGTGGCCACTGCCTTCATCCTTGGCGTCCCTGGGCTTGGGGACGCCTCGCTGCAGTCACAGCCTCTGTCTTCTCGTGGCTGTCACCTTGTCTGTCTGTCTGTCCTCCCGCTCTTCCTCCTTCCTCTGCGGTGCCAGGAGGTGAACCCAGGGCCTCCACGTGCGAGGCCACCACTCAGTAGTGGCTCCACCTCCGAGCCGCGCCCAGCCCTTTTGATCTTATTTTGGGTCAGTCTTGCTGAGTTGCCCAGGCTGGCCTTCAACTTTCGATCCTCCTGCCTCAGCCTCCAGAGTGGCTGGGATCATAGGTGTGTGCCACGGTGCTCGGCCTCTCTCCTGTTGTTAAAAGGACGGCCGTGGTTGGAATTGGGACCACCCTAAGGAGTCCCCTCTGCAGAGACCCTTATTACAAATCATGTCACATTCTGAAGTTTCAGGGTCAGGATGTGGACCCGTTCTGGGGGCCACAGTTCCTCCTCAGCACACGTCCCCTGAGTGCTGACTGCCCGGCAGGGCCAGCGGTGGCCCCTGGGTCTGGCCGATGGCAGGCCTGCTCAGCACCTGAGGCCACCAATGTGCCCAGTTCTGCCCAGAGTGGCGCTGTGCTGTTTCCCCAGAGTGCCCGCCGCTGCCCACCCTACAGCTTCTCCCAGCTCCAGGGACCCCACTCAGGAGGCTGGTGGGCACCTGGACTGCTCAGCCCTGCGCAGCTCTGGGGGGTGTGGAGGTCCTGGGGCAGCCCCGCAGGCTGAGCACAGGTGGGAATTGAAACTGCCTCTAGAGGCAGCTGCGCGGGAGGGAGGGAGGGGGAGGGAGGCCGGAGCCACAGAAAGTGAAGTTCCCTTGGACATCTGGTCCCCTAGAGAGGAAGTGAGGCACCTGAGCGGAAACTGCCCGAGAACCAGCGCGGAGCAGGAGGGAAGCCGCTGCGCTCTCAGGAGGGCAGCTGTGATGGAGGCTGGGTGGATGGAGGCTGGGCGGGGGCTGAGCCCAGAGGAGGGGAAGGTGGGTGTGAGGACCTGGGGCAAGGGCCCTGCGGGGCGTGTGGCCATCTCCATCCCTGCTATGCCACATTCCAGCCGCAGGGCCTTTGCATGTGCTGTGCCTGCTGTCCAGTTGTCCCCTTTTCCTAGCTTGGCCTCGCTCCTCTAGGCCCTCAGGCCACCTTCCCCTCCCCCTAGGCATTTGCCATCCCCCCCTCCATTGCCCCCACCCTTATTATCTGACAGTTTGGTCACTGTGTTTATTTGCTCCCCTGTGACTGATGGTCCCTGGTGGTCTGTTTTTTGCCACTTCTGCACCCTGTGCTGCGTGGAGTGATGTTGAAAGAAAAGATGAATCCTGTGGTATTCATGCAGGGCACGTTCAGATGTGACAGATGGCTTCAACAAAATAGAAGTTCATGTCTTTCTCTGGAGAGAAGGCAGCCAGGGATGATGGAGCAATGTCATAAACTCTTGGGGACCCCAGTTCCTTCTACATTATTGCTGTGCCAACACCATCATGTGGGATCTGCCTCATGGTCCAAGGGGACTGCTTATGCTCTAGCCATTGTGTCTGTATCTCAGCCACTGGAAGAGGAAGAAGAAAAGGAGATTGACTCTAGGGAAGCATCCCGGGATTTACCCCAGACACTTCTGCTCACACCTTCATGGCTGGACTCTGTAGCACAGCCCCGTGTAGCCGCAAGGGAGGCTGGGAGACGTTATCCATTTAGTAGCCTTGTAATGGAGACCCCAGGGAATGTGCTCTGTTCACTCATCAGAGCCCCTGGGCTGGGGGCAGGGCAAGGAGAGGGAGGGGGCTGGTGATGGGCTGGGGGGTGGGGCAGTGCCGAAGGACTTGGGGTGAAGCCTCAGGGTCCCCCCTCTTTCCTTCGAGGATCCCCATCCTCTAGGACCCCAGCTTGGGGACTTGTGGGGACTTCTAAGCCAGAACTGGGTCCTCTTCAGACCCAGCGTCACCCAGCACAGGGAGGCACAGGTGGGGGGTGGACGCCAGGACTGAGGTGCCCTTCATGTCCATCCCCCTTCCCTGCCCCCACACCCGACTGCTGTCCTGTCCTGCTGCATGTCTGCCCTGCATCTCTCCCCCAAAGCCACTCAGGGCTTTCCCCCCCTGTCCCCACAACCTCCCCTGGGACTGCCCCAGAGAAACCACCAGCTCTGGGAGCTTGGCCCCCGGGGACTGGAGGAGGACACAGGTGCAGGGCGGGGCACGTTGGCATCTGCACCCCTACACCCCGCCCTGCCGGCTTCTGAATGGCCATGCGCCCAGGCCACCAGGCACCTTGTTCCTGGGGTGTCCCGTGCCCAGCAACCTGGGAGGCTGTGGGGAGAAGCGGTGTCCTCTCCACCCCAGGGGCCCCGGGGACCACAGCAGGATGGGGGCCCGGCCCTCCAGTCCCCTGGACAAGCAGCAGCAGCAGCAACTGAAGGGTGAGCCGGGGGTGGGGCGGGGGGGCACGGCCGGCAGCCGGGTGAGCCCAGGGCGGCAGTGACTTCCAGACGGAGCGGTGATTTCTAGGTATAAGTATGTTCCAGGTTTTGCGTGGGATAGACTTATGCTGGACAAGGCTCCTTATTTAAATGAATTCAAATGTGACTAATGTTCTGCATTTTTATTTGGTGAATCCGATGACCTGTTTGGGGCAAGGTTTCAAAGTATGGGGCATGGGACTAGGTGGGAGGTGTCCTGGGCACAGTTGGGCCCCAAAGGATGGCCCTCCTAGGTGGCTGGGCCCAGCAGGTCCCTCTGCATGCCCTGGGGACTGAGGAGTCAGAGCCAGAGTTGGTGCTGTCTGAGTCACTGTGTTCCCTCATATTGAGATTGAGCACCTACTGTGTGCTGAGTCCTGGGGACATGGTGAGGAAAGAGGGACAAGTCATGGTCAACCAAATGGCAGTTGGACTGGAAATCACGGTGGGAGTGACAGATGGAGATGGAAGAGGGGAGACGGGGTCACATGAGGGCTGGGGAGTGTGGTGGAGTGGGCAGGCAGGAGATGTGGGAAGAGCATTGCGTCCTGGGAGGAACTGCACGTGTGCAAGGGTCTGTGGCGCGTGTTGCAGACTGCCCAAGTTCAGAATCAGGTGCTGGCCTCCCTCACTGTGCCCTTGGTGAGTGCTGTCCCCTGTCTAGGACTTATTCTCCAGTCTGTTGACAGGCAGCAAAGCCTGTCCTGGAGCGCCGCTGGAAGGACACAATGAGTCACCTGTGCAGACTTGGGATTTTTATATATATATATAGTGGTTTAAACAAGGTTAAGATTTAGCTGGGTGTGGTGCTGTACACCTACAATCCCAGCTACTTGGGAGGCTAAGGAAAGAGGATTGCAAGTTCAAGTTCAGCCTGGGCAGCTTAGTAAGACGCTGTCTCAAAAAATAAAGAGGGCGAGGATGTGGGGAAAGGCCCACTCATACACTGCTGGTGGGACTGCAAATTGGTGCAGCCAATCTGGAAAGCATTGTGGAGAGTTCTGGGAAAATTGGGAGTGGAACCACCATTTGACTCAGTTGTCCCTGTCCTCGGTCTATACCCAAAGGACTTAAAAACATCATACCACAGGGACACAGCCACATCCATGTTTATAGCAGCACAATTCACAGTAGCTAAACTGTGGAGCCACCCTGGATGCCCTTCAGTGGGTGAAGAGACTGGCGCACACACAAGGGGATGTCACTTGGCATTAAAACGTGGCGGGGCTTTTAAAAGCCTGTGAAAGTCCCCAGGCAAAGGGGCGGGAGGACTCCTGGGATGTGAGGGGTCCGCTCCAGCTCTGAGTTTGGTGACCCTGGCGTGGATGTGTGACCGGGCCTGTGCTTTAGACTGAATGACATTTACAGTAAGACACCAGCGAGGCCCAGGTCCCCGGAGCCCGTGGAGACGGTCGGGGCGCTGAGGGTGAACGGGATTCAGGGCAGGTCTCCTCGGCAGCTTCAGGGGTCCCCATCTGTTCTCTTCCCCGGCAGCTGTTTAGGGCCCAATGGGGCCGCTGTCCCTTTGTCCCCGCAGGTGAGGTGGACGTCCTGCTGAGGAACTTCCTGCCTTGTTACCGCAGGCAGCTGGCCGCATCTGTCCTGAGGCAGATCTCCAGAGAGCTGGGCCCCCAAGAGCCAGCCAGATGCCAGCTGTTTCGCAGCAAAGTGGGTGCCACTGGGTGCAGGGGCCTGAGTGTCCGGGCCCCCTCAGCCCACATGCCCTGCCACGGCCTTAGCAATATTCATCTTTGGAACAAATGTTCCCTGTGTGTGTGCTTCACACCGCATCCCTGTTAGGTCCCTAAGGACACACGGTGGCGGCAGAGGCTCACAGCCTGTAATCCCAGCAACTCAGGAGGCTGAGGCAGGAGGATCACAAGTTGGAGGCCAGCCTCTGCCACTTAGTGAGGCCCTCAGCAATTTAGTGAGATCTTCTCAAAATAAAGTATAAAAAGGGCTGGGGCTGCAGCTCAGGGGTAGAGCACCCCTGAGTTTAATTCCCAGTACCCAAAGGAAAACAGAAGGAGGAGGAGGAGGAGGAGGAGGAGGAGGAGGAGGAGGAGGAGGAGGGGGGGGGAGGAGGAGGGGGAGGAGGAGGAGCGGCATCTGGGACATAGCCAGAGCTGTCCAGGTGACAGGGAGCTGGGACACCAGCCCGCACCCTCAGCATCCCCTGGTCCTTCCTTGTGCAGAAGCTGCCGCGCGTCCGAGAGCACCGAGGGGCCCTGATGCACCTGCAGGGCCACCCGCCCCGGTGGCAGCCGGTCTTCTGCGTTCTCCGTGGGGACGGTCGTCTGGAATGGTTCAGGCACAAAGAGGTGCGCGGGTGCAGAAGAAGGGACTGCTTCTGGCGTCTTCCCTCCTGCCTTCTCCCGGCACCATGCGGGGCCAGCGCTGGCACCGGGATGCATGAGAGCCCTGTGCGCTTGGCCTGGGTGGGCGACCGCCTCGTCCCATCGCCTGAGCTGGGAGAGATCACTCTCTGGGACTCGGTTGCGCCTCCATGAAATGGGGCGAAGGTGTTCCGCTGCGCAGGGAAAATGCTCCTGGGGACCCGGTCCCGCTCAGCGCGGAGGGGGCGGGGCGCTGGGGCAGGGGGGAGGGGCTGGGCAGGGGGGGAGGGAGGGAGGGAGGCCGGTGGCATTTTCAGCCCACAGCACCTGTCCTGGATTCTGTAGGAACATGAAAGCGGGCGCCGTGTCCTCGGCTCCACCGCGCTGACGGGGTACACGCTCCTGACGTCCCAGCCTGAGTACCTCCGCCTCCTGGACGCGCTGTGCCCAGACTCCTCCGGTAGGGCTCCTGAGTCCCCAGAAGCATGTCCTTGGAGCCGGGGACCACCCTGGGTGCACGGCGGGAGCTGAGCACCCCCCCCCCCCCCGGCCTCACACACTGCGGCAATCCCCCCATCCCAGACGTGACCCCAACAGAGTCTCCAGATGTCACGGCCCCTGGCAGAGAGAGCAGCATTGCCCCTGGGGGAGCTCTCCCCCTCTGGGAAGAAACCCCACTCTCTCCAGGCTGAGAGGAGCAGTTAGGTCACCCGAGGGGAACCGAAACAGCAGCGTTGGTAAAAGCCAGAAAACCCAGAGTCAGCAGGCTCGTGGGGAGACGGACACTGGGGGAGGGGAGGTCGCCCAGATTTGGCTGCAGGGTTCATCTATCTGCTGAGGGCTCCTGAATGTGCAAGTGTGAGTGTGTGAGTGTGTGTGTATGTGTGTGTCCCCCTTTCTTTCTCTCTCTCCCTCTTTCTCCCTCTCTCTTCCTCTTCCTCCTCCAACATGGTGCAAAAAAAGGTTTAGGGTAAGAAGCAACACCCCTGGGCCAGGGTAGGCTTGGGGGTGCTATCTTGTGCCTGCCCAGCCGGCAGCCTCTTCACTGATGACCCCATTTCACAGATGAGGGTGTTGAGGCTGAGGAACGTCCCACGGTTGGTAAGGCACAGAGCCAAAATACCACCCTCGGCTTCACTGCCAAGCTCATTCTACCAGCAAACGAGGCAGAGGAAGTGCGCGGCTGCTGATTAAGGCCAACGCCCTCCTTCCGGCTGCTTGAATCAGTGATGGCCCTGACAAGCACCTGCCGAGGGAGCCCCAAACACCAAGGGGCAGAACAGCCAGTGACAGACCGGAGACCCCCTCTGTTTCACAGATGCCCCCCACACATTTGCATGTAGACTTTATTTTTTAGTTTTTATTTATTTTGCAGGGCTGGGGATGGAATCCAGGGCCTCATGGGTGCTGGGCAAATGTCCACCGCTGAGCCATGCCCCGGGCCACATGCAGACTTCAAAATCTGGATCGTGTCCAGATTTTTATCTCTGAGCTGGGAGGTCCAGGAATTTCCACTACCTGAATTTTTGGGTCTTTTCACAGTCTGTATGTGCACTCTAGAAATTAGAGCAAAATACTGAGGACTGAGGAGACCCCAAGTAAATTCCCCAAAATACACTCATTTTGCCCAATTTCCAGTTCTAGGTCATCAGTATCATATTAAGTCCATTTTATAGGCAAGAAAACTGAGGCTCAGAATGAGGAAAAAGTGTGCCCTATTTGGCCAGGCACGATGGCACATGCCTGTAATCCCAGCAGCTCAGGAGGCTGAGGCAGGAGGATCATGAGTTCAAAGCCAGCCTCAGCAATAGTGAGGCCGTTAAGCATTTCAGGGAAACCCCATCTCTAAGTAAAATACAAAAAGGGCTGGGGATGTGGCTCAGTGGTCCAGTGCCCCTGGGTTCAATTCCCAGTATGGGGAGAAAAAAAAAAGTGTGCCCAATCTGTTGAGTCAGAAAATAGTTCAGCCAGGTTTGACCCGAGGCCTGACTGACTCCAGAACTCCCGGAAACAGCTCTTGGATGTGTCCCAGCGGGGATGGATTGGTGATGGCTGCCTGGAAGCTGTGCTGAGGAGGAAGCTGGGCTGGGGAACAAGGGCTGGGATGGATTGGTGATGTCTGCCCTGGGCATACAGGGGAGGAACAGGGCCGGCCTCAGGAGTGTTCTGAAGACTGGCAGCTACACCCAGGGGGTTCATGATCATTGAGGGACTCCCCTTCCCGGAGGCTGCCGTATGTATTTTGTGGGTATCTTTTAGTGACTGAATGGATGAATGATGACTTGAATTCTTCTGGGCTGCTTTCAGGGGACCATGTGCAAGAAGAGACTGAACCCCTCTTGGAAGCGCCCGTGAGTTTCCCCCTATTCCTGCAGCACCCCTTCCGCAGGCACCTCTGCTTCTCTGCAGCCACCAGAGAGGCACAGCGAGCCTGGCGTCTAGCCCTGCAGGGTGGCATCCGACTTCGGGGCACAGGTAGGTCGCAGGAAGTTTTAGGCAGTAATGGGGCTCGGGGTTTGGGATCAGATGGCTCTGTCATGTGGGACATCTTCATATCTCAGTTTTCTTATCCATAAAATGGGTTGCTGGGGAAGATAAAAGGGACACCAGGCAGTTGTGAGAACAGTGACACCAGGGCTGTGACGGGGACACAGACCATGCCCTGCCGGAGCTCAGCCTTTGGGGTGAGGGAGGTCTTTCCAGAGGAGGAGATGTTGAAGCTGAAGTCTAGAAAAGATGAGGGGTCAGCCAGGTGAAGAAGGGAAACAGGATGGACACATGCAGTTGAACCGGTTGTTGACTGCACAAACGTACCCCCCCCCCACCTCCAGGGGCAGTTAGGGGCTTCCGTGTGGCCCGAGCTGCTGACCAGGGGCTGTGGTTGCTCATGGGGTTTCCCTTCCTCAGTGGAGTCAGGGTGCCTTATGGTGGAGGTGGTCCTGCAGGTGTGCGTTTTCTGCGGGAGGGTTCTGCTTGTGCCGAGATGCGGGGGTGGGTGGCACTTGGTGCTCCTGGTGAGCTGAGGGCCTCTCCGGCTGTTGGGGAGCCAGGCTGGGGGGGGCGTGCCCTGAGGAGCCGCCCTTCAGTCCTGCAGCGGAGCCAGGCGCCGGCTGCCCGGGCCTTCCTGGAGGCCGTCCGGCTCTACCGGCAGCACCGCGGCCACTTTGGCGAGGACGACGTGACCCTCGGCTCCGATGCGGAGGTCAGTGCTCCACCCGGCGGCATCGGGAGCCCGGGACGCCTGCGGCCGGCCCGGCGCCCACGCCCCGTCTTGCAGGTGCTGGCCGCGGTGCTGATGCGGGGGCTGCTGCCGGCGACGCGGGCCCAGAGCCTGCCGGACCCGCGGGGAGCTGGCCGCGCCCGGGCCTGGGCCTGGACGGAGGTACCGGGGTGTGGCCGGTGGGAAGGTGAGGGGCGGTGGCCCGGGTTCCCGACCCACGACGTCGCCTAACTCTCGCGTCCTCTCCCGCCCCCGGTCCTGGGCGCTGGTCCGGCAGCTCGCCGACGCCGTCTACGCCGCGGTCCTGGCGGGCGCCTCGGCGGGGCTCCGCGCCTTCCAGCCGGAGAAGGACGAGCTGCTCGCGTCCCTGGACAGGAGCCTCCGCCCGGACCTCGACCAGATGCTGCAGCTGCGGGCGCGCGTGGCGGGGAGGCTGCGGGGTGAGGCCGCGGGGTGAGGCCCCCCGCGGGAGGCCGGGTGTGGGGGCGGAGCCAGACCAGAGGGCGGGGCCTGGGAACCCTGGAGGGGGCAGGGCCGGCAGGGAAGGGGCGGGGCCCAGAGGCCGAGTGGGCGGGGCCTGGGGCGGAGCCCGGCCTGGGAGCAGGTGGGTCAGGGAAGGTGGAGGCCTGGAGGGGCGCTGTGGTCCAGGCCCTGCTGAGCCAGGGTCCCGCCCGCACCCGTCCTTGGGGTGCTCTGTGGAGACCTCAGGCCGGTGCCTTCCACAAGCAGCGGATGTCCAGGGCCCGCTGAAGGCCTGCCTGCGCCGGAAGGTGGACACGCGGCTGTCCCAGGTCACGCAGACGCTGCTGAGCACCGTGGAAGCCGCGCTCGACGCCGTGCGCACCCTCCTCGCCCAGGGCATGGACCGCCTGTCCCGCCACCTGCGTGGGAACCCCTCCGGCGCGCGGCTGCGCAGAGAGGTGAGCCGGGCGGGGGGAGTGGGACCCGCGGGTGGCAGGTCAACTGTACCCAAGGGCCACGCGAACCTTGCTTCCTTCCTTTGCAAATCCTTCTCTGATCTTTGTCTGAGGCTGCTCTTTATCTATTGTGGACCTTGGTGGAAGTCCCCTCAGCACCACGCCACAGATATTCTGCCTCAGTTTGAAACGTGAGCGGAGGGCTGGGCTGTGGCCCAGTGGTTTGCCTGGCACGTGGGAGGCACTGGCTTCGATTCTCTGCTCCGCGTGTAAGGAAATAAATAAATAACCAATAACTAAAATAACAAAAACAAAAATGTGAGCAGAGCTGGATGCCTGGCTAATCCCAGCTTCTTGAGAGGCTGAGGCAGGAGGATCGCGAGTTCAGAGTCAGCCTCAGCAAAAGCGAGGCACTAAGACCCTGCCTCTAAATAAAAAATAAAAAGGATTCATGTGGCTCAGTGGTTAAGCGCCTCTTAGTTCAATACCGCTTACCAAAAATAAAGAGAGAGAGAGAGGAGAGAGGAGAGAGAGAGAGAGGGAGGGAGGGAGGTGAGAGACTCCGTTTATGCAGCCCCAGACCCCAGCAGAAAAAGGACATCAGGTGTTGCTCATAGAGGTGATTCCGACAGGGAGCGTGTGTCCATTTACTCTCATTCATGCCAACACCACTTGTTATCGCTTTTTTCAGGTTTTCTATTTTATGTCCATCTCACCAAACCTGTTACTTACTACAAGGTTTTTGGTGACAACTGAGGTGGGATGTGTCTCCACTTGCATTTCTCCTTCAGCAAATTGGCCACAGGGACCTTGGCCTTGCTTTTCTATCCATTGATGGGTTTTCTCACCCAACCCCCCCGGGAGCACAGGTTTACGCGTTTGGGGAGATGCCCTGGGACCCGGAGCTGATGCGGAAGTGCTATCGGGAGGCTGAGCGCAGCCTTGGAACCCTGGGGCAGCTGGCAGCACCATTCGGCTTCCTGGGGACACAGAGCTTGGTGTTTGGGGTCCAGGATCTTGCACAGCAGGTGAGGAAGGGCAGGAGGCTGTGGGGGAAGAGCGGCCTCCACGGAACAGTGGCCAAGCTGTGCTAGGGGACCCGGGTGACCGGCAGAGCTGACCTGCATGTCAGAGGCAGGGATTGAGATGATCCGGTGCTGCCTGGCACACTTGTTCAGTTTGCACACTGCACAAGAACCCTTGGCAGTAGGGGTTGAACTCCAGCTGGGTCTCTACTTCCCAATCCAGGTGCCCTGGCACCTCCCCTCTTCCTGAGGTGAGAGGTGGGTGGAGGAGGGGGTGGGGAGCTGGCTGACCAGGGCAGGCTGGAGGGCCCTGGGCAGGCACGTCATCTCAGCACCTCTTCCCACAGCTCATGGCCAACGCCGTGGCCACCTTCCTGCAGCTGGCCGACCAGTGTCTGACCACCTCCCTGGACTGCCAGCAGGCGGCTGAGCAGCTGGGGAGAGTGGGAGGGCGGGTGCTGAAGGTGAGGTCTGCCGGGAGGGTGGGGTGGGCCTGGCTGCCTAAATGGCCGCGGACCGGCCCCTGGGCGTATCCTGCAGAAGTTCCAGTCGGACGGCGAGGCCGAGCAGCGCAGGTGCGTCCGGGGCTGGCTGCTGAGCATCTTCCTGCCCTTCGTGCTGAGCCAGCTCCAGCGGAGCTGCAGAACCGTGAGTTCCCGGGGGCGGGGCGGGCGTTGGGCTCTCCGTAGAAGGGACAGTGTGCTTCCTCCCTGACAAAGCCACTGTGCCCATCAGAGGCTTTTCTTCCCTGATCCTGGGACAGGACCAGGTGGCTCTTCTGGGTGTTCTGCCTTTCTCATGACCCTTGACCTGCCACCTGACGGCTGGGCGGGTCCCTGTGTTGCTGGATGGAGGAGGGAAGAGGCAGATGCACAGTATGTGAGTTGCCAGGTGTCAGGAAGGGTCTCTCTGAGAAATGACACTTGAAAAGCAAGGAACTAAAGGTACAAGCTGTGTGTCCCTGGAGGGTGTTCCAGACAGAGGGCACAGCACATGCAAAGGCCCTGAGGCAGGAGTGTATCTAACCACCTCTTAAAGGACCCATCTCTCATTGCATGCACTGGGGACTAAATTTCTAACTCATGAACTCTGGGGACAGGGTCAGACCATAGACCTTGCTAATGCTGTTCATCTGCACAACAACCCTCGGGGATATGGGTCACCGAGTCCATTTTACAGATAAGAAAACGGAGGCCCAAGTTCCCCCAGCTAATCGGGGCCCAAACCCACATCCTGGGTGTATAGAGGTCCTTGTCCCCAGGGTAGCCTGTAACTCCCCACAGTTCCAGAAGCTGCCTGAGTTTGAGGGGGACGTCCTTGCCATGGGCAGCCAGGCCCTGACCATCGAGGGCATCTACGAGGATGTCATCCGGGAAGTCTTGCTGCAGAGGATTGACCAGGGTGAGCCCGCCCCGCGGTGCCTCAGGAGGCTGGAGGCCCTGGCTGCCCCCACTTCTTGTGACACTTTCCCTTTAACCTGGGTCGGGACTGGGGTCCGGGTTCCCAGGTGGACAGTGACGGGCTCCCTGAGGGAGGGGGCATCTGAGCAAGGCCATGACAGCTGTGTGGGGTCCTCAGGGTCAGAGGGAGGCGGCAGAGCTCAAAAGCTGGGGACAACCCCCAGGTCAAACCCAAATGATGGGACTAGGAGTGGGCTTTTACCCCCGCTTCCCGCTGGGCTGGTGCCGAGGCTCCTGGGGTACTCAGGCTTGGGCAGACCCCTCCAGAGCTCCTGGGCTGGGAAGCAACTCTAGAAACATCTCCCTCCGGTCTGTTTGCCCGTGAGCCTGTGACCCCAGAGACATGTGTCTGCGCGCACGGTGGGCTGGGGGTGGGCATCAGGCAATGGCAATTCAGGGATGTCATGGCATCTGTGTGCCATCTTGCTGGCACACAGGTGTGAGAGGGAGGCTGGAGGCTGCTGGAGCCGATGGGCAAGGACTTGGAGGACAGGAAGAGGAATTTGGACTTTATTGTTTAGGCAATAGGGATCCATAGAGGGTGTGTGAGCAGAGGGAGAGAGCAGTCACACTGGAAGCTACGAAGGAGGCTGCGGTCCCCATGATCCTGGGGACAAAGAGTAGGCCCAAGCAGAGGCAGCAACCAAGGGGAGCCCAGAAGCGAGGTTAGGAACAGAGAGGAGTCTCAGAAGAGCCTGTATTTGAAGGCACAGAGGGGAGGAAGGAGCATAGGAGGTCAGAGAGGTGGCAGAAACCAGAGACGTTGCCATCCCAGGAGCCAGGGGATCCGGGCGAGGCTGTCCTTGCCTGTGGGTGGCCCAACAGGACCAGGATGCCTTAGAACAGCAGGAGTTTTAAATGAAAAAAAAAAAAAAAAAGAAAAAGAAAAAAGATTTTCTCTGACTGCAACATTCAGTCCAGATCCAGGGCCTCGGTGAGTTTCTGGTCCTGGAGGTGCTGTGGGTCCTTCAAGGCTCCATCGTCAATTGATTTCTGATGTCTGTACAGACCAGTGTATTGGGAGGGGCTGGTGGTCTCCAGGTTGGATGAGGGGTGCGAGGCTCGGTTAGCCATGTCTGCTGCTGACAGGGGCATGGCAAGAGGCTCCCTGAGCGCCCCCGGCTCAGGATCCTGGTTAAGACCTCGCCTCGAGCCTTGGCGTCTGGTGGCCTCTCTAGGAGAGTGCACGGCAGCCCCTGGGCCCCTGGGCCTCCCCAGATGCATCCAGGGGCTTATCTCTTACTTCAGAATTGAAAAGGGGCCTTGGCACCAGCGACTCGCCCTGCGCTCAGGTTGATGTCTCGGAGGCCCCGTGGCACCAGGAGGGAGCAGGTAAGACCGCGAAGTTTCCCCAGGGCTCAGTGAGTTGCTAAGGGGCCGGGGGCAGTGCAGGGTGCATGGTCTTCTGAGGAGTATGGCTTCGGGGATGGAACAGCACGTCTCTCCTGTCCTGCACGGCTAGGTGGGCCAAGCTGGTGACCATCAAGGTGATGAGAAGCCACCATCGATTCTCTGAGCTGCAGAAGGACGCTGTGGGCCCTGGCTCTGACAGGCATGTGGGCTCAGCCCTGGGAGCTGAGCCGGTGCTGAGCCTGTGACCCATCTCTTCCGGCCAGGACAAAGCAGGGTGCTTCCCATCAGCTGCTTCCTGTCCTCAACAGGAGGAGGGGACATTGTGGCCATGGGATGACCCTTGAGTCTATCATCAGTGAGGGCACTGCGAGATGGGCATATTGAGGGGTCAGTTTGTTACACAGCAATAGCTAACTAATACACTCCCCAGCTGTTCTGGAGCAGTACCCTGTCACCAATTCCTACAGATAAATGAGATAAATGGATGAATATTTGCACTAACTAGAACAAATGGTTAAAGAGTCTTTCTTTCTCTCTCCTTTTTTTCTTTAAACTCTGGATTGAACCAGGAGCACTGAGCCACATCCCCAGCACTTTTTATTTTTTTTTTATTTTGAGACAGGGTTTCACTAAATTGCTAAAGCTGGCTTTGAACTCGCCATCCTCCTGCCTCAGCCTCCCAAGTCGCTGGGATTATACGTGTGCTCCACTTGCACCCAGCCCCCTGAGACTTTTTAACCAGAACTAAATTACTGGGTGTTTTGTTCCTAGTCTTTCAGACAAACAGCTCAGGTCACAGGGAATAACCTTGTGCAGTCAGCCCTCTGAATATGTGGGATTCACATCTGGGAATTTAACCAACCAAGGATCAAAATTATTTGAGAAAAAAAAATTGCATCTGACTGAACATGTACAGACCTTTGCAGAACTGGGATGGAACCCAGGGCTTCCTCATGCTGGGGGAAGCTCCGGAAAGCTCTGCCACTGAGCTACATTCTTAGCCCCAGACATTTTGTTTGTTCATTATTTCCTTAAATAATACAACGTAACAACTGTTTAATTAGCATATACATTGGATCAAATATTATATGGCATCTAGAGATGACTTCAAGTCTACAGGAGGCAAATGTTAATGCTACTTTATATACGAAGTTTAAGCATCTAAGGATTTTGGTATCTGTAGGGGGCCCTGGAATCAATCCCCAGATTCCAGGGAACAACTTCTCATGCAAGCGCAGAGCCTTGTGGGTAACTCCCCGGGGGAAATCTCAGGATGTAGAGGAAGCGTCTGTCACATCCTCAATGGTCTCCAAAGCACTCTCCTGCGCTCAGGCAGCTTGGTCAGTATTTTTAGCTCCTTCTTCAAGAACCTTCTGTCCCTGTCCTTACCCACATACCCCCTGGATGCTTATCCATTCCTATCACGTTTCATTAAGTCCCCATAGAGCATCCCTTATGCACCAGGCCTTTGACATGCTAATTTTGGGGGCACCATTATCATGCTCACCATTTTACAGATGAGAAAACCGAGGCTCAGGTCTGAAAAAGGACTTGCCCCAAGCTGCCAGGCTCTGGTGCCCATGCCAGCCGTTGCACCCGCCACCTCCCCAGGGACACCTGGAGCTGACTTCACCCACATCCACCTGCATTCCCACGGGCTCAATGTCTCCACATAGAAATTCTGGGCTATTTCTAGGCTTCTGTAACCTCTGAGCCTCTGGAAAAACTGTGTTCTTTTAGACGCCCACAGCTTTTGTGCAGGTTTTTTTTTTTTTTTTTTTTGTAGTTGGACACAATGCCTTTATTTTATCTATTTTTATGTGGTAGTGAGGATGGAACCCAGGGCCTCGTTTGTGATAGGCGAGTGCTCTACCGCTGAGCCCCAGCCCCGGCCCCAGCATTTCTGCATTTTCTACACATCTTTTTCCACATGAGGACTTTTCTTTAAAGAAAAATAACCTGTTAATTTGATAGATAACTACCTCATTGTCTTTTTAAAATTGCTTTGATGGCTAAATTGAACTTGTTATTGGCCATATGTTTGTGATTTTTTTGTTGTTATTTTTAAGGCTAATTGTTCCTGTGTTTTACCTACTTTTCCCTTCAGGAGTGTTTAGGGGTTTCTTGTTGATAAAGAACAACTCTTTGTATATTAAGGATAGTAATGCTTTGTGATACAGGTCATGATTTTTCCCCTCCTCAGCTTGCTGTGAGCTTTCCTGGTTTAGTTCTCTCTCCAAAACTTTTTTTTTGCAAGGAAGGGTGCTGGGGGTGGAACCCAGGGCCTCTGAGCAGCCCCTCTCCCCTGGAGCTTTCCTCAGTCCCCAGTCTTAACTGGGTATCAGGTTTCTGTGCTGAGACAGGAGCTCAGTTACTGACTTCCCTCTGCTTGCCAAAAAAGTCATCTGTTCACCGGAGGTTGGCAGCTTCTCCAGTGTCACAGCCCGGCCAGCGGCTTCCGGAGCTGGCCTCCGAGGGATTTCCCTGGGGTTCCGCTGCCGTCGGCTTTCCGAGGGACCTGTACACTCCAGATGATTTCCTTCCTTTCTGATCTGGGTTTTCCGTCTTTTCCAAGAGAATGAGAGAAGCCTGAGCTTTCCAGACTTTTCTTCCAACTCTACTTTCTGAGCTACGTTTGTGCTGCGCTTCTCAGGCTGGAGGCGTGGCTCGGCGGTAGAGCCCCTGCCTGGCCTATGGGATGCCGGTGGCCATCCCCAGCTCTGCCAAAAGAGAGGCTTTCCAACCTCCAGCTGTGTTCCCCTTCCCGGGACAGGGTGCAGCTGTTAATTCTGGAAACACTGTAGCCATAAGAATTTGTTAGCCTTCCCCTCTTGACAAAGCCACTATTTGCCCTAGGGGTGTCTAAATCTTTCCAGATGGACGAGACATCGTGTCATCTTGTTTTTCTTAATAATATGAAAGCTCTTAAGCTCTTTCCTTATCCAATCCCGAGTATAAGCTTTTTTTGCCTTTTTATTGTGGAAAGTTTCCAACACACTCCTCACATCAGAGACCCCCGTGGGCCCTACCCAGATTCAGCAGTGACCGGTGGGCGACGTTCCCTTTCCCAGTCCTCCCCCACCCCACACAATCATGTCACCAATCAAGATTCTTTCAGAATAGCCAAACAGTTACCTTGTACTGGGGAGTATTGTGGGCAAAAACGGAAAACGGGAAGACTGGGATGCAGAAGGGGAGAGTAGTCATGTGCCCCAGGTAGTTGGGCCTGGCCGGGGCTTTTCAGGTTAAGCCCACTTTCTTCCTTAGGCCCCGACTTCATCTTGGTTCCTTAAATTTCGGGTCCCACTGCCTGTTGTGCCCACGGGGCTGCACTCCACACGTGCCCTGAATTTGACAATATTGAACCGTCTCGCCCCCATCTTCGTAAATAAATGCTGTTTGAGCATCAGGCTTAAAAGTTCATTTTAAAGAACGACACAAACACGATTAGGCAGAACATTATAGAACCAGGTGCCGTGGCGCACACGTGTAATCCCAGCAGCTCGGGAGGCTGAGGCAGGAGGATCGCGAGTTAAAATCAGCCTCAGAAACTCAGGGAGGCGCTAAGCAACTCAGTAAGACGCTGTCTCTAAGTAAAATACAGAAAAAGGGCTGGGGTGTGGATCAGTGGTTAAAACGCGCCCCTGGGCTCAATCCCCGGTACCAAAAGAAAGAAAGAAAGAAAAGAAATTACATTATAGTATTGCAAAACAATCTCCTGGAAGGATTTCCATGGAAATGATGACCCTGCGGGAGGACTTGCTTAGGCACCGCAGTGTCTGGCTGCTCACGCCAGGCCTCCGGGTTCTCTCTGCCCTCATTTTACAGAAGGCGGACAGCCTCAGCGCGTCCACTGCGGGGGCTGGATTTGAAGGCGGGTTTCTGGGTGCCAGGAAGCTCAACCACCCCTAAGGAGAGGTCAGGAACCAGGATGGTAGAACACATGTTGCAGCCAAGGAAACTGAGACTCAGATCTTTTGGGTCCTAACTAGCCAGGTCCGTCTGCTGGCAACCCGGGTCTTAAACACGTGGAAGTTAGACGGCTCCTAAGGCTGACCTCCCCGAGTGAGAGAACGTCTGGATACCACGCCAGGCCGGCTCCGTACGCGGCTCTCTGTGCCTTTAAGGAGGCAACGCGGGGCGGAGCTCTGAGGGCTGGTCCGTGACGTCACGAAGGGGCGGCCTCGAGTTGTCGGAGGGTCAGCGGCGCTTAGGGGCTTTAAGTGTTCAGAGGCGGAGCCTGGGAGACATGCCCAGTCGGCTAACTTGACGCCAAGCGTGCTCCTCCCCTTTAAGTCGCGCGTCAGAGGCGGTGCCTGGATGACCGATGACCCCTTTAAGGCGCGGCCCGCGTCCGCCGGCAGAAAAGCGGCTTAAAGGCGACGCGTGGCGCGATGGCGGCGGCCCCACGCGCGTGCCGGCGGCGCGGGCAGCCACTCCCGGGCCTGCGGCCGCCGCTGCTGCTCCTGCTGCTGCTGTTGCTGGCCCCGCCGCCTCCGGGGGGCCCGCCAGGTGTCGCCGCCTACTTTCCCGAGGAGCGCTGGAGCCCGGAGTCGCCGCTGCAGGCGCCGCGGGTGCTCATCGCGCTGGTGGCGCGAAACGCGGCCCACGCGCTGCCCGCCACCCTGGGCGCCCTTGAGCGGCTGCGGCACCCGCGGGAGCGCACGGCGCTGTGGTGAGCCCGCCCTGCAGCCCCCGGGGCCAGGTCCGCGCGCCCTGCGCCGCGGCTCCCGACTCCGGGCGGAGCCGCCCTCCACGGCCGGAGGACGCGCGGGACCCGCGCTCGGGACGGATCCCAGGCCTCGCGTCTGTCCCCGGCTGGGCAGCCGCCACCTCCCTGGGGGGCACCCACAGCTCCACAAGGCCTGGGCGCCCCTGGGCTTGGCCGTGGCCACATCTGAGGGAAAGGCTTCCCGGCTCTCGCTGCCCTGTTGGGTCTCCAACTTACCCTGGTTCCAGGGTGGCCCTGGGACTTGGGGCTCAGGCGGACCCGTCCTCTGATTTCGTGGGCCAGCAGGGGACCAGATGACAGGGGGAAGCGGAAGGCCGGCGCCGTGAGGATGCCTGACTGGTGACTTCTGCTTTCCTGCCTCGGTTTCCTCCATGGAAAGGGGGGCGAATCGAGGCCGCTGGTTGCGCTTGCCTTTGGGGACAACCCGCCGGTGGCCGTGGTGCCTGGCGCAGGGTTGGCGCTCAGGAGCCACAGCTGGGGTCACTGTCTTTCCTGGTGTTGTCATTACTGGTGCCCTTAATGTTGAACAAATTTACTAGGGACAGTCAACTCTCCGCTTCATGGCCAAACTAGACTCCTCAGCGTCCCTCTCCCCGCTGCCCCACATTCCCTAGTCTGGATCATCCAAGCATACATGTGGTGCTTAACAATTGTTTGTTGAATGACGTGTGAGCACAGCCCACTATGAGGTGTGTCGCTCACAGGAGAGAAGGAAGGCAGGCCGGGTGACTTTATGATATGTAGATTTTTTTTTTTATTAAGTTGCGGGCATCTGATGGGGACCTGGTCATAAGATCCTCCGAGCTCAGCAGTGAAACCCACAGTCGCTCATGTGGTTTTCCAAGCCAGCTTGTTCATGCACCCAGTGACCTGGCCTGTCCCCACTCCCTTTTTACAGATGAGGAAACTGGGGCATGGAGAGGCAGTGTCTCGTCCAGGGCCACATGGCTGGTGGGAGGCCAAGCCAGGAAAGGAGCCCTGGGAGCCTTGCATTACGTGGTCCTGTCTTGTTCCCCCCAGCTGTGCTGACTGTCACCTTGTGCCCACAGGGTGGCCACGGACCACAATGCAGACAACACATCAGCTGTGCTGCGGGAGTGGCTAGTGGCAGTGAAGAGTTTGTACCATTATGTGGAGTGGCGGCCGGCGGAGGAGCCCAGGTGAGCGCCAGGTCCTGCCTGAGCTCCCAGGTCTGACTGGCTGCCCCTCTGCTCACACATCTTCCATGGCTCCCTATTGCCCTGGACCAGGACTCACGGGCCCTCAGCCTGTGACTTTCCAGCCTGATCCCAGATCCATGAGCCCTGACTCCTCCCATCACTGGTAGGCCCTAATCCTCCTGCCAGGCCTTTGTCCCAGCTCTTCCCTCACCTGGAGTTCTTTACTCCTTTGTCCTGGTGACGCCCACTGTATTGTTCCTGTCTGGGGTGAACCCAGGAGCCGCTCTGTGTGAAGCTTCCTTGGGAGCCCTGGGCCCTGTGGCCGCCAGGTTCCTTCCATCGCTTTAGGATCTCCCGCTTCTTTCAAGATGGGCTCTCACGGTGTCCCAGCCCCAAACTGCTGGGCTCAGGGGCTCCAGGCTCCCCTCCCATGCCGGGCTCCTGTGATCTGAGGGGTGTTTCCGCACGTTTTCTGCTCTGTGTCCCTCCCTTTCCCAGCGGCTCCCCTTCATCCTCAGTGGTGCCCTGCTTGGCGCGGGAGGCCCTCTGCAGCCACTGCGAGCGAGCGTTTGCCTCCAGCTTCGCTCCCTCTGGTCCCCTGTGTGTGCCCTGCTGCCCGCGAGGACACACCTCCCAGGGTTTTTCCACCTCGCACTCCTGCCCAGCCTTCAGCTCAGCTCGCAGGCCTCCTCCTTCAGGAAGCCTCCTCTGATCATCCCCAGGGTGGCCGAGCCCTCTCTGGGCTCTGACCGCGCCCCATGCTTCCCACATCACACTGTCCCTTCGCAGGTCCTACCCAGACGAGGAGGGCCCCAAACACTGGTCCGACTCTCGCTATGAGCACGTCATGAAGTTGCGCCAGGCTGCCCTGAAATCGGCTCGGGACATGTGGGCTGATTACATCTTGGTGAGTTGCTCAGCCATGGCTGTGGGCCCAGGGAGGCTGGACGGCCAGGGACAGGCAGAGCAGCAGGATGCGGGGCCATCTTTTTTGAGGGGGTGGATACTGGGGATTGAACTCAGGTCACTGAGCCACATCCCCAGCCCTATTTTGTGTTCTATTTAGAGACAGGGTCTCACTGAGTTGCTTAGCGCCTCGCAATTGGTGAGGCTGGCTTTGGACTTGCAATCCTCCTGTCTCAGCCTCCCGAGCCACTGGGGTGACGGGCATGCGCCACCGCTGCAGGAGCCATGTGTAACCCACTTTGCAGAAGAGCAGACTGAGGCTGCAGGAGGAGGTGCCAGTTCCTCCAGTTTCATGCAGTTGGAGAGAGGAGGAGCCGGGATTCCGGACGCTGGGCCGCCTGGTCCTTGGTGCAGGCCTCAGTCCCCAGGAGAGCGCGATCCATGCGGCCAGTGGCTGCGGGGCCGGGCAGTGCGAGGGCTAGTGCGAGGCCAGCCTGGCAGCTTGGCAAGACGCTGTCTCAGGAAATGGGGAGGCGGTGTGCGTGCGGTGCCCGGGCGCCCTGGGCTCAGCCCCCACTTCCCGCTGCCCCCAAAAGGGTGAGCTTCAGTCCCGTGTGGACCCTTGGGCTGTGTCTGCTTTAGTCACCCCGTCACAAGTAAAGCCAAGCTCTGTGCACATCCCACGGTGACATTCTTTGGGCCACTTCTCAGAGGCTAGGGGACGAGGCCAGGGGCTGGGGGCCCGAGCTGCCGAGGGAGGCCTGATTCCTCTCGCTGCTCCCTAGCTGGCAGCTGCGTCTCGGGTCGGTTGAGTCTGGAACGCGGTTCTGTCAGGATGAGTGTCCACGGCCACGGACCTCTGTGAGCGCCTTCTGTCCTGGCCTGGGTGTAACAGTACCTGTCCCCTCCCTGGGACAGAGGGGAGTAGTGTGCCGACGGCTGGGCCCCGCAGAGCCGGAGAGCAGTAAGGCCACCCGACGTGCTGGCCTCCGTGCTGCTGCCATTGCGGGGACGACTTACACTTGTGCCTTGGCCGGTGTCCACATGCGCTGGCCTCAGCTGGGCCCTGGGGACACAGTGGTCAGCTGAGCCTGCCTTCCTGATCCCCCAGGAAAGGTGACGGGCGCTGAAAACCACAGAACGGAGCCAGGGGACGCCGCAGGCAGGGTGTGCCACGCAGAGCACCTGGAGGGGCCGTGGCGTCCCCCTGCGGTGTCTGCAGTGGGCACAGGCTGGCCCGAGCCCAGCAGGTGGCTCCCACACTGTGGGGGCTGCAGGTGGGAAGTTGCAGCGCCAGGGCTGTCCACCCTGCCTCTTCCCCTTTCGATGCTACTGGGATGCGGCAGAGATGGCGCAGCGCCTCTGCTCTGGTCACATGGCTTCTCGGTCCCCTCCTTTTCTCTTGAGAGGACCCAGTCAGTGGACTTAAGGCCACTCTCTTGCTGGGAGACCTCATCTTAATTTACGCCTTCCTGTAGGTGCAGGAGACCCCGGGCACCTTCACAGGAGCCAGGGTTAGGAGCTCAGTGAATCTGGAGGGCCACCTTTCACCCACAACCAGGGGACGTAATGAATGAGCAGGGGCCGTGTGACTCGGAGGAAGGAACCCAGGCAGAGACCTGAAGGAGAACCGGAGCCCACCGAGCGGGCCGGGGGCAGAGTCCCCAGTAAGAGCAGGGAGCACACTTGGGACACTCGGTGACAGAAGTGCAGCAGTGCTACTGAGTGACTGGGGTGGGGACCCTCCTGTGCAAGCCAGAGGAGGCGCTTGGCTTTAGCTTGGAGGGTGCTGGGTAGCCGTGGAGGGCGGAGCAGGGCAGGGCTGTGTCTCTAGGATTCTCCCTGTGGTTGCCGTGGGTACCAGGAGGCCCAGGGTGGAGGCCGGAGCAGTCCCTGGCCTGCGCCCTGTGGGGAGGACCGAGCACCTTGGAGGACATTGCTGTCCTGGGAGGAGCGAGCGTGGACCCAGCCCCCAAGTGAGCCCTGCGGGTTCCTCCCCACACATGCGTGAGCAGGCAGAGGAAGGGAGGGGACAGCACAGAGGTGGCTCTGGCTCCTCCTAGACTCCTCCGGCACAGAGCTGCCTTGTCCCCTCCGCTGGCCTTTGCTTTTGTGGTTCGGGATTGGAGTTTTACTCTTTCCCTTCAGCACCCCCCAGGGGAACTCCAGATGCCAAGCTTAAAGCAGCTTTTGACACAAAGTTACATTTTTTAGTTGGGGACTTTGGAGAACCATGTTGGAGTGAAACTGTTTGTCTGATGTTTTAGTCCTTGTTATTAAAAGGGCTTCCACTCCTTTTCCCCCCTCAAAAGTTAGGGATATTGTGGCTGGGGATGTGGTTCAAGCGGTAGCACACTCGCCTGGCATGCGTGCGGCCCGGGTTCGATCCTCAGCACCACATACAAACAAAGATGTTGTGTCCGCTGAAAACTAAAAAATAAAAATATTAAAAAAAAAAAGTTAGGGATATTATTAGCAGGAAAAAAAATTAAGAAGCATAAGAGGGGGAAAAAACCCCGCCAAACTTTAATATCGCCTTCCAGAGAGACCATTTGTAGCCGTGTTTGTTTAATTGAGGTGCAATTTACATAAGGTAAAATGAACGAGTCCAATGTGCAGTTCGTGGCCGTAGCGCCTCCTTATGTTACAGGCGGATCTCCTTCCAGAACATTTGCCTCATCCAGAAGGAACCCAGCAGGCACTCCCCAGCCCCAGCCCCAGCCCCTGCCCCTGCAGCCACTACCCTGCTTCCTGTGGCAGTTCGGCCTGCTCAGGTATTTCATGTCAGTGGAATGGCACACCTGGGCCCTCTGTGGGGCTGTCATTTTGTGTCATTTTTTTTTTTTTTTGGTACCAGGGACTGAACCCAGGGGCCCTCAACCACTGAGCCACGTCCCCAGCCCCATTTTGTATTTGATTTAGAGACGGGGTCTCACTGAGTTGCTTAGCGTCTTGCAGTTGCTGCGGCTGGCTTTGAACTCGCCATCCTCCTGCCTCAACCTCCCGAGCGGCTGGGATTACAGGCTGCGCCACCGCGCCGTGCTCAGTGTCTTGTTCTTGAGGTTATAGCTGAGTGACATTTGCTGTGTGGCTGGACCACGTGGTGTCCATCCGTTCATACGGTGACAGCACTTGATGGTTTCTACCTTCTGGTGCTGATGAGTGGTGCTGCTCTGAGCATGCGCCTACAGCGCGTACCTGAGCCGCTCTCCTGGCTCCTACCAGGAACAGCGCTGCGGATCCCGGATCCCGGATCCCGGGGCAACTCTGTTGAACTTTCCCGGGGGGCCTGCCAGGCTCCTCCGGCTGTTTGGACTGGATATATACACAAAGGTCATGGATTCAGATGTCCCCAGGGGCTGGGCGGGGCCTGTTGGTGTGACTGAGGCTCCAGCCTGGGACAGCCGGAGGGCTGCCAGCGGGAGCGGGTCCCCTCATTGCCAGGGAGGTGGACCCCGGTTTTCCTGTGTGTGGCAGTGGACCCCGCCTTTAGAAGTACTGCACGAGGAGGGGAAGCCAGCCCTCCCTGCAGCTCAGGTGGCCCCTACCTGAAAGGCCAGCACCAGAAGGATCTTGGATTTTGGAGTTTTCCGATTTTGGAGTATTGCCTATGTGGAACCCCATAGCGTCTGGCTGACGTCTAAGTCTAGATTCCTTTGCTTCACAAGGTACCTTGTCCCCACAGCCTGGAGGTCGTTTTGTGTAACAGCTTTTAATAACTTTGTGCATGACACAAGGTTCACCGTACAGAACTTCATGTAGTGTTCAAAAATCTTGCATTTTGGATTTGCTGCCTGTGGTTCTGGGGCGCATCCTGACCTGCATGTCCTCGTGTCCGGGGAGCCGGGAATTCCCGATGGCTTTGCTTCCTGTGGGGCGGTTTTCTTTTCTTTCTTTTTTTGTTATTTAGAAAATGTTAGCTCCTGTGATCAACCCCATGTAGATAAGCCCGCACATACTTACACAGCGGGTTCCCTAACAAAGGGGAAAAATTCAAGCTTCGCCTCTAGACTGGGTGGTGTCTGAGCAGTGCCAGCTCCTCACCGTGGCTCTGGTACTTTTTCCAGCGTCGACAGCACAGCTACAGTTTTCCCCAAATTTACGTTTATATAAAAGAGCGCTCGCAGCTGTATGTCTCGCATTGAAACAGCCCTCCGAGCTCAGCGGTCGCCCAGCGGCATGGTGGGGACTCCAGCCACTGAGTTGAAACAGGAGGAGACAGAAGGGGAACCAGCCAGACCCCAGCAATCAGCCAGTTGTTAGCGTTGAGACTCCTGCACGACTCTTTTGATTAGCTTGTCAATCGTCATCCGAAAAGAAAATACTCCAGGGTAACATGAACAGCTCGGATGGAGCGAGGTCACTGCACCGGGTCGTCGGCAGGAGCAGGAGGTACATACACAGCACAGTGTGGCGCAGGGCCTCCGGCACCTGGGAGGCCAGAGGAGACCGTGGGGGCACTGAGACCTGCTTCCAGCCCAGGGAACGGGATGGTGTGACAGCTCTAAAGCACTGCGCTTCTGCCGGGTGCAGTGGCCCACACCTGTGATCCCAGCGACTCGGGAGGCTGAGGCAGGAGGATCCCAAGTTCAAAGCCAGCCTCAGCAAAAGCGAGGTGCTAAGCAACTCAGTGAGACCCTGTCTCTAAATAAAATGCAAAATAGGGCTGGGGATGTGGCTCAGGGACGAGTGCCCCTGGGTTCAATCTGAGCTACCAAAAAAAAAAAACCCGTGCCTTCCCTAGAGGATTGCTTTCGTTCATGGCGGGTCGGAGCTCACGCTCTTCGCGAACATTAAAAAAAAAAAAGAAGAAGCCAGGAAAAAACAAAGCCACCACTGGATTCATGCAAGGTGACCGGGTGGAGGCCAGCGCAGCCTGACTTGCATCTGGCCACACGTGTCCGTGATCTTCAGTGGTGGCATCTCATTTCAGCCTGGGACCAGGTCAAGGTCTGTCCCCCACGTGACCTGCTGCTGCTGCTGGGCTCCGGTTGCTCACAGTTGGTGGGGTAATGACACTGCCATCCCCAACATCCTTGTGTGGCCTTCGTGGAAGGTGTTGGTGACAGTCTTTGGGGTCAGAGTCTGGTGTTGCTGTGACAATACCTGATGCTGGAGTCATGACAAGGAAAGGGTCATGTAACTCACAGTTGGGAGCTGAGTGCGCCACCAGGTGGCCTGAGCGTCATGGCAGTGCCGGGAGTCGGGTGGCCAGGAGCTCTCCGCCACCTCCACCAGGCCCTACCTCTTACAGCCCTCCCCTCCCCCATACCACACAGCAGAGCCGCCCCAGCAGGGGAACTCGGGGACACACTCAGCCACATGCAGCTTATTCTCAAGGGCTGAGCTGGTAGGTGAGGAGCCAGGGCTTCGTCGGGACCCAAGTGGTTCCTCTGCCCAGTGGTTCTGAGTTGCGGCCCACGCTGACGGCCGGCGGGTGCTTTGCAGTTTGTGGACGCAGACAACCTGCTCATCAACCCCGACACCCTGAGCCTGCTCATCGCCGAGAACAAGACCGTGGTGGCTCCTATGCTGGACTCCCGGGCCGCGTACTCCAACTTCTGGTGTGGAATGACTTCCCAGGTAGGACAGGGCGGGGATGGAGGCCAGGTGACAAGCGGGGACCCTAGCTGGAGTCTAATTTGTCTTCACACAACCTTAGACAAATGCCCTCATGCTAACCCTTAGAAAGCCCACTGAGGGAGTGTTTCAATGACTTCCCTACCATTACTGAGGTGGAAACTTGCCTTAAAGCCCAGAGCTAGGAAATGATGGTGCCAGGATGGGGGTTCAGGCGTGGTTTGATCCAGATATTCAAACAACCTTTTTCCCCTCCCCCATTCATTGATTGGCTTAATTCTCAGACTGCACTGGAAAGAACCTAGCAGTGTCCAGCCAGGGGACAGTCCTGAGCCAATTATTAAAGCCAGGAAAATACAAAACTGTGATTGGTCAGGCCTAGTCACAAGTCCCACCCCCAGGTTCAAGTATAGGATACTAAGCAAAGCCACCAGGTTGGGTGGGTTGGGGGCATGCAAGGGGCTGGGGGACTGGAGCCAGGACACTAATCTGTGCTGTCTCCTCCCCACCACCATGACCCTAGGGTGCTGAGGATGGAACCCTGGGCCTCCGCATGGTAGTCTAGCACCCTGCCACCCAGCCGCACCCACGGCTCCTGTCCTTTTTTTCTTTTTTTAAACTTTGTATTTTAGTGGTAGGTGGACACAGTATCTTTATTTATTCATGGTGCTGAGGACCGAACCCAGTGCCTCATGCATGTGAGGCAAGCACTCTGCCCCTGAGCCCAGCCCCAGCCCTCTTTTAGTTTTTAACCGAAGAGAAAATTCATAAACAAAAAATTTACAGTTTTAAAGTGAACCATTCAGTGGCTTATTTATTAGTTTTTTTTAATAATATCCAAATGTTGCACTGTCACAATTCTGGTCTATGAAGGGCCGAGGGAGGACGCCAGCTCGAGGGTGTCTAGAGGTTGAGAACTTCTCTAGAGATCCCCCTCCTGCCCGCTCGCCTCTGGCCTGGGTTTCTGCGGGTCAGAGCGGCTGCTGCGGCTTCCCCTGGCCTGGGGTGGGGGGGCCCTTCCCGCGCCGCCTGTGCTCCCATATCCATCGTCTGCCGTCTGCTGCTGTTGCCAACAGTGAAGGGTCTGGGTGGGGACAGGTTTGATGGCCCTCGGGGACATCCCAGGGAAGCTGGAGGCTGGCTCCCAGTCTTGCAGTCAAGGCTTCCAGCCTCCACTTTGGGGCCGGGCCGGGACGGGTGCGATGGGTGCAGACCTCCGCCTCCGCCTCCCGCAGGGCTACTACAAGCGCACGCCCGCCTACATCCCCATCCGCAAGCGCGACCGCAGGGGCTGCTTCGCGGTTCCCATGGTGCACTCGACCTTCCTGATCGACCTGCGGAAGGCCGCCTCCCGGAACCTGGCCTTCTACCCGCCCCACCCCGACTACACCTGGTCCTTCGACGACATCATCGTCTTCGCCTTCTCCTGCAAGCAGGCAGGTGAGAGAGGGAGGGCTCTGTCATCGGGGTGCCTGCCTGGTTCTTTGGGGTTACGTGCTGAGCAAGTCCGAACAGCACCCGGAATGTTCCAGGAGCTGAAGCTGCAGGGTGCTAGACTGCCTTCAGGCGTGGCTGTATCCAGGTGTTCGGCTAACTCTCTGGGACCCAGTCTCCAGCCCTCATTTCCCTCACTCCCTCCCCAGCCCTTTTCTGAGACAGGGTCTCAGTTTCCAGCTGGCTTCAAACAGGGTCCTTCTGCCTCAGCCTCCTGGGTAGATGCTGCCGCAGCTCTTGGAGGCCTGTTTACCGAATGCGACTTCCCTCTCAATGCGTTTCTGTCTTCTCTCAATCCTCCACATTTGAGCATATGTGGGTCCCTTTATCTGTGGGGAAACACAGTCCAGGACCCTCAGTGGGCGCCTGCAACTGCAGAGGACCAAACCATGTGTACTGTTTCCTTTTTATAGGAACCTGTGGGGAAGTTAAGTCTATAAACAAGGGGTATGGCATTAATGCAGATGTTGTAGTGAATAAAGAAAAGAAAAAAGATCTTTCAGCCACCAAACAGGAAGGCGCTGGGTCCCTGCACCTGCTGCGTCCCCTCCCCCTGGCGTGGGCGTGGCGGGTCTGCGTCTTCACCGGGTCTTGAGCCTTCCGGCTTCGCCCTGTGGAGTCCCCCAGCTGCTGAGATGCTCGCTGGGTGTCACCGAGTTTTCTGTGACTTTGCCCAGTGGCATTTTGGGGGGGTCCTGATCCCTTAGGTCTGCGCAGGCGCCAGGCTGTCCTGCCGCAGGTCCCCGGGGCAGAGGGTGGAATGCCCAGGGCTGTCACCGGTGGCTGGGGCCAGCCGGGCTGTTTTGTGGCTCGCTCTGGGCAGCTCGCTGCTGGTCAGAGGCGGCCAGCGCTGCCCGGTGGCCCCGCCGCGGGTTGCTTGGCCTTCACTTGTCCTTCCTGGCCGCAGAGGTGCAGATGTACGTGTGCAACAAGGAGGTGTACGGCTTCCTGCCCGTGCCGCTGCGCGCGCACAGCACCCTCCAGGACGAGGCCGAGAGCTTCCTGCACGTGCAGCTGGAGGTCATGGGTGAGTCTGCACCTGCCCGGGAGGGCTGTTACCTCCCTCTCTCTGCCACTTTGCATCCATGCCGTGAACGCGAAATGAGCGCCGCAGGTTCGCAGTGAGCTGGGACCTTAGGGTAGGCAGGGGTAGGCTTCCTGGAGGAGGTGCTTGTAAGTGCAGCAGGAATAGGAGTTTACTAGGAAGGGAATTACAGCCAGAGCAAGGCTGGAGGGGACACGAGCTTGGAGGGCAGGTGATCCCAGGGTGCAGGGGCAGGGCTGGCAGCAGGGGGCGTCAGACATCTGGCTGTAGAGAAGGCAGTGGGGAGCCATAGAGGGTGTGGGAGCAGAGAGGGCAGCAGGTTCTTTCTGACGGTCGTTGGGAATATATGTCAGCGTCAGGAAACACTCATCTCAGGCCATTTCTTCCCCCTGCTCCTGCCAAACCCACAACCTTCTATTTAACTGGAATGGGTTTTACTCCTCCCATTTTGCTTAAATGAATGTATCTGATAAAGAAAACTCTACAACTTTTTTGGGGGGTACTAGGGATTGAACCCGGGGGTGCTTAATCACTGAGCCACATCCTAGCCCTCACTGAGTTTTTTGGGCTTTGCTAAGTTGCTGAGGCTGGTTTTGAACTTGCAATCCTCCTGCCTCAGCCTCCCAGTTACTGGGATTACAGACGTCCGGACAGGAAACTAAACATTTGGCCACAGTTGTGGGCTCAGGTCTTTGGCACGTCCCTCCGTACCCCAGGGCATTGGTTCAGGGCTTCCTCCACTGCCAGGACCCACCCATGCACAAGGTCCTTTGCATAGACCCTCTGCACTCGCTGCCTATGATGCTCATCCACCTCCAGAGGATTCACAGCCCCTGATACAGTGCACGTGGTCTGTACGTGGGTGCTCTGTCTTGTTTAGGGATTAACCAAGAAAAACAGTCTGTATGTATTTAGTACAGGTGACTTTTTTTTTCCCCAGAATAATTTACATTAGTTGTTAGTCAGATGCAGAACCCATGGATACAGGGGACCGACTGCATGTATAAAAACAAGCCCATAAGATATGAATGAAGCTAGTGGCTGTGCCTCCTGGGCCTGAAACAGGACGAACACAGGGTGCTGAGTGGCTTTAGGGTGGTGCGGCCCTGTCCTGGGCTGGACATGCAGGTGACGGCAGAGGCCTGTGAGGCTGCCCCACGGCACAGATGTGGAGGGTCTGGAAGGGGCCTCTGCCCAGGACTCAGTTGCCCCAGCCTTCACTGTTTCTGTGAATAGTCTGTCTGTGGCTCCCCCTGGTGGCTAAAAGTGGACCGTCACCCTGCCCTCTGCTTTCGGGAAAACTTTAGGGTCCTTTTGAGATTGCTGTCCCTGGGGCAGTCCACCCAGGATTGACCAGGATTGAGGCTCTGTCACCTGCAGATGTCCAGTGCTGACCTGGCTGCAGTCAAGGGAGTGGGCCTGTGTAGCACCTGCAGGGCAGCCACAGTGCTCCGAGTTTAAGTTTTCAGCTATTTCTATTATTTCCGATAGGAAAACAACTCATGTTGCTGTTAAAACCTCAGAACATGACAGTGTGTGGCTACTTTGCTCATTCTCAGGAGCTAGAACAAACCACGCAGAACAGATGGACGATGGCCTGGAAGTTTTAGATATTTGTGCAAATACTTCCTTGTGCTCCGAGGAAAAATCACATTTTCTGGCCTGGCGTGGTGGTGTGCCCCTGTAATCCCAGAGACTTAGGAGGCTGAGGCAGGAGGATTTTGAGTTCAAAGCCAGCCTCAGCAACTTAGTGAGACCATATTATTAAAAAATAATAAAAAGGACTGGGGGACTGGGGTTGTGGTTCAGTGGTAGAGCACTTACCTAGCGTTTGTGAGGCACATAAAAATAAATAAACAAAATAAAGGCATTGTGTCCATCTACAACTAAAAAAATAAAAATAAAAAGGATTAGGGATGTGGCTCAGTGATTAACCGCCCCTGGGTTCAATCCCTGGTACAAAAAAAAAAAAATTCTGTCCACATGCAGGTACCTGCACTGTGTTATGCACGTGGTATTGCTCCCAAATCTTCTCCCTCAGCCTTTCCCCCTCCCTCCTTTCTTTTGTGGAGCTGGGGTGGAACTTGCCTCTGGTGTGCTGGGCCGCATCCCCGGCCTCAGTATGGTGCATTAGATGAGTGGAATCACAGAGCTCGGCGTCTTCCCTTTGATTCATGGGCCGTATGCAGCGGTGGCCTGCTCACTTTGCCTTGCTGTATAGTATTCCACACAGCCATTTAGCCACTCATATACCTGCTCTTGGCCAAGTCACATGTCCCGCTGGCCCAACAACCACCACATCCCTCAGCCAGTTTTCCCCTGGTTCTCCCAGGGTGTCCGTGAGCTTGCTGTTGCATGTGTGTGAGAAAGTTCCAGGTTTGCATCAGCAATGTTAGAGTGCAGTCCCTGAGACCACGCTCCCTCCTCACATGGTGGCAAGCGCAGGGTCCCCGAGAGCACCCTCAGGTTTGACCCGGAACCCACTGGGAGCTGTTCTACTCAGTTTCTAACACCCATAGGGCAGCTCAGGGAGGGGAGGAGGTGGGGGGGCGAATCTAGAAAGCTCCGTGCGGAGCCCCCGGGTGTCCCCTCCTGCTGGCTGTGGACAGCACCGCTTCCCCACAAGGCTGTGGGGCAGGATGCAAGGACGCCTCGGCTCGCTCTCCAGCGTTTGCACTGGGCTGAGTCCTTAGACATGGCTGCCCCCCTCCCCGTGGCTGAGCTGTCCCCAGGCCCAGCAGAAGTGGAGTTGACGCCATGTGGCCCAAGACCCCCACCCTAGGGCACAGCGTCACTGTGTGGTGTGACCCCAGGCCAGCCTGGGCACTGCTGTGGGTCAGCACAGCCCCGGGGCTTGGAGGTCACGCGGGGCAGAGGCCAGGGCTTGGCCAGTTCCAGGGCCTTACTGTGCGCCGCGGTCGGGGGTTTCAGTGGGGGTCACTGTGCCCGCGCTGCTGCCCTGCCGCCATGCCTGGGGCTCCGTTTCCCTAGAACTGACCGCAGGGCCGAGGACCCCAGCCCCAGCCCTGCAGGCCCACCCTCCTCATTTTGGCCCTTGGCCTCTGTAACACACGGTTTCCAAAGAGGTCGCGTCCCGGGGTCCTGATGGTTGACGGCCAGCATACACTTTGGGGACACAGTTCAACCTGTCAGGACCTGTGTGGTCCAGCGGCATCTCTTCATTTATTATCCCACTTGATAAACGAGGCACCGACTGGTCAAGGTCACACACACGGTTTGCCATCATGTCTTTCCTGCTCTGAGTGACGACTGAGCGCCTTCTGTGGGCCTGGCCCTGCGGTGGGTGGTGGGAACCCAGTGCAAGCAGAGAGCCCCCTGTCCTTCCCCGGGAGCTCACAAGGGGCAGTCATGGGGCCAGAGAGGTAGGAGAGCAAGAATGGGGCCTTGGTGGTGAGGCCCAGGTGCCTGCCCAGTCTAGGGAGGTCAGGAGACCTCCCTGTCCCCTTGACATTGTAACTTGGGGGTGGAGGGAGAAGGTTGTTTCAGTGTGTGTGCAAAGGTCCTGGGGTAGGGATGTGTGTTGGGATGGGGCAGCGCCAGCAGCTAGAGTGAGGTGGTTTCTGGGGAAGGGGCGGAGCCTGGGAGGAGATGGGGGAGGTGTGTGGGCAGGGGGGCAGGGGCCCCAGGACCCCAGCGACCCTTGGTTTCTCTGCCCCGCAGTGAAGCATCCCCCCGTGGAGCACTCCCGGTTCATTTCGGCACCTACCAGGACCCCCGACAAGATGGGCTTTGACGAGGTGGGCTGGGTTCTCCCTGGGGAGGGGCGAGGCCAGCCTGATGGGGGTCCCACCGAGGCTCTGGCCGCAGGTCTTCATGATCAACTTGAAGCGGCGGCAGGACCGGCGGGAGCGCATGCTGCGGGCGCTGCACGAACAGGAGATTGAGGCCCGACTGGTGGAGGCCGTGGACGGCAAGTGAGTCTGTCCTGGGATGTGCGAGTGTAGACCACACTGGAGGGGGGCGTGCGGATGAGTCGCCCGGCCTGTGGGGGGGGGCGGGGCGAGTCCCACCTGGGGTGGGTCGGTCCCCAGGCCGCGCTGGCCCCGGAGGGCTGAGTCCTCGCTAAGGTGGAGGACGGTGAAGCCACGGTGTCACTTGCCTGGTGGGCGTCCTAGGGCAGGGGGTGCTGGCTCGGTGGCCGATGGCGGCTTCACAGTGGGCGGGTTCCTGCCGATGCGCCCGCCCACCTCCTGCTTTCTGTGTCCAGGGCCATGAACAGCAGCCAGGTAGAGGCGTTGGGCATCCAGATGCTGCCTGGCTACCGGGACCCCTACCACGGGCGGCCCCTCACCAAGGGCGAGCTCGGCTGCTTCCTCAGCCACTACAGCATCTGGAAGGAGGTGGGTGGCGGGCCCTGAGGCCACCGCGCCTGGTCTCCTGAGGGATCTTGGGCAGGGCCAGCGGCAGCGGGACCCTGGGCTGTTCTTTGGCCCCTTTGCCTTCGCAGCGTCAGTGTGGCCCTGAGCCTCTGAGGGGACAGCTGCTGTCCTGTTGTGCAGATGTGGAAACAGGCGGGGGAGGGGGGCAAGCCTGGCCCTGCAGCAGGTGGGCCCCTCCCACAGCCTGGTGCTGTGCCCAGCACATACTAATGGAGTGTGGCCACAGTGACATCAGCCAGCACAGCCGCTCACCAGGGTTCAGGAGGATGTGGCGGGGCAGATGTCAGGCTGGGATTCAGATTGGGAACCAGATGGCGTGTCGGCTGCGGGGTGTGTGGTGAGGGCATCTGGGGTGTGAGGTGACGGGTACCCAATGTGTGTCCCCCTGCTTTCCTGCAATTCGTCATGGATGGCACAGGGCATAGCTTGCTGTGCCAGGTGGCCCTGGAGCCAGGGGACCTGGGTTCAAGTCCATTGCTGCCTTAGCGGGTGGAGGTTCTGAGCAAGAAAGGTGCTTCCTAGCTTCTCCAGGTGGCCATGGTCTCAGGGGACAGTCGTGAAGATTCTCAAGGTCATTCATTCAAGTAATTGCTAAGCGCCTATTGTGTACCTAACCTGTACCGGAGACGTGGCAGCCACCAGGAGTGAGCCTGCCCCCACCCAGAGGAGACCTGGGGAGGCTGGGACAGCTGGTGACAAGGGGAGAGCCTGGGGAGGTGGGGACAGCGGTGACAAGCAGCAAAGCAGCAGCAGCATCATAGATGAGATGAGCACTCACGGGAGTGGCTCAGGGCTGCGGATTGTCCTCAGCTGGTGGCATTGGGTGATCAGGGGTGACATCTGAGCTGAGGCCTGAAGGGTGACAAGGAGCCCGCTGTTGGCTGCCAGGGAGGAGGCTCAGCGTGGAGGGCACAGCACAGGGAAAGGCCCGGGTGGGAGGAACCGAGAGCTCGCAGGCGGGACGATCTGAACCCTGGAGGGGCGGGTGCGCTTGCTTCTCTCTGGGTCCCCAGAGCCTTCAAGCAGAGCTGCTAGTTTCAGGCACAGGCTGGGCTTTGGTCTCCTTGTCACCTCTGGGGCACCTTCCCTCAGGTCGTGGACCGAGGGCTACAGAAATCGCTGGTATTTGAGGATGACCTGCGTTTTGAGATCTTCTTCAAGAGGCGCCTGATGAATCTCATGCGGGACGTGGAGCGGGAGGCCCTGGACTGGGACCTCATGTAAGTGGGGGCCTGGGGCCCTACAGCTGGGCCTTGGGGGTGGCCAGGGACAGAGGTGTGCCAGGGGGCGTGGCCTGTGAGTCGGTGGGTGGGGCAAGTCTGGGGGCGTGGCCGGAGCATTGCTGGAATCCTAGAGCCTGTAGGTCAGTAGGTGAGGTTGGGGGTAAGAGTTGTGACCTGGGACAGCCAACTCTTGGCAGCCCGACCAAAGGGCTTAGGTAGTCCATGGGCCTGAGAGCTTGTCAGGTGTGGTCTCAGGTAGGACCTTGGGAGGGTGACCCAGAGTCTAGACCTGGCCAGAAGCCTGCAGGTGTGGTCAGGGTTCGCACACTACACTGGGCCCACGAGGGTGGTGGGCGGGCCTGCTGGGTGTGGTCAGGGTTTGGGGTGTGTCAGGAGCCAAGAGTGCAGTTTAAGGATGTGGGTGGAGGTGGCCAGCTCTTGGGTGGGCCAGGGTGTCCTCCTTCTGCCCCTCCCTCTGCCCCTCCTTTCTTCCCCTCCCATGTGCAGGGTACCGCCCAGGCCTGGCCCCGTGGTCCGCGGGTAGTGCTTGACTGCACCCTTCCCTCCTGGCTGCTCACACCCCCAGCTCTGAAACCAGCTTCACCCTCAGAGCATTCCAGTGATTTGCTCTTTCCCGCTCCAAACCCTCCCATAGCTCCCTAGCACCCTTAGGAAAGACCCACTCCCCTCCTGTGCCCCCACCCCTTAACCCTGTGGTCCTGCCTCACCGCGTCCAGTGACAGTGGCCTCGTTAGTGCTCCCCAGACGTGCTGAGCCTGTGCCGTCTCAGAGCCTGGCAGGGTCACTAGGTCCCTGGCTTTCTGGGTTGGCGTCCTCTGGAGGGTGGGAGTGACGGGGCGCTGCTTCTGCACCCAGCTACGTGGGCCGGAAGCGGATGCAGGTGGAGCACCCCGAGAAGGCCGTGCCCCGCGTGAGGAACCTGGTGGAGGCCGACTACTCCTACTGGACACTGGCCTATGTCATCTCCCTGCAAGGGGCCCGCAAGCTGCTGGCCGCCAGGCCGCTGGCCAAGATGCTGCCGGTGGACGAGTTCCTGCCCGTCATGTTTGACAAGCACCCAGTGTGAGTGGCTGGCGGAGGCGGGTGGCAGAGGGGGTCAGGGGATGGGACTCCAGGAGGGTTCTCTGCCCGCGCCCCCAGCTCTCCGCCCCTTCCCCTGGCCACCCCGTCGCCTCCTCCCCAGGTCCGAGTACAAAGCCCACTTCTCGCCCCGCGACCTGCGCGCCTTCTCCGTGGAGCCGCTGCTCGTCTACCCCACTCACTACACGGGGGACGACGGCTACGTGAGCGACACGGAGACCTCAGTCGTGTGGAACAACGAGCACGTCAAGACTGACTGGGACCGAGCCAAGTCCCAGAAGATGCGGGAGCAGCAGGCGCTGAGCCGCGAGGCCAAGAACTCGGACGTGCTTCAGTCCCCGCTGGACAGCACCGCGCGGGACGAGCTGTGAGGGCTGTGCAGGGCACAGCGGGGTCACCTGGGGCCCCGTGGACCACAGAGCTGACCACGGGGTGGCATCCAGCCAGCTCTTGCTCAGCAGTCCTTGCCACAGGCAGCATTAATGGAGTGCCTACTGTATGCCAGGAACAGGGCTGGGCACAGGGGAATTGGATGGGAACCAGACTGTGTCATCTATTCATGTGCCCAACACTTATTAAGCACCTGCTGTGTACCAGGTTTCTGTGTTATGGCCATGAAGGAGGCATAATGATTCCTCTGATCAGAGATTGAATTGATCATCAAGCATTTATTGATCAGATTAAGAATCAGGTATTAGTGATATATGTTCACCTTTTAAATTCATTCAAAGTATTTATTGAGTGCCTACTGTGTGGTGGGCACCATTCTGGGCTCTGGGAATACTGAGATAAATAAGACGTTCATTTATTCAGACACATGCCAAGCATCGACCACGTGCCTGGTATTTGAGACACAAAGGTAAGTTCTTGATTCAGGGCATTTATTGAGCACCCACTGTGTTGGGACTTCAGCATGGTGCAAGTAAGCGTGGTGCTTCTCTAATTGGTTTCTTCCCTTCACCTTGGGCACCGCTGTGCACAAAGCACTAATGACACCACACAGTGTGACAGCTGTTCAGTCAGCATTTGTCACCACCCACCGTGTGCTGGGCCACACAGCAGTCCTAGGACACAGAGGTGTGTGAGATAGGTCCTTTCATTTCCTCCTGAGGTTGCATCAGGGCTGGGATCTCACTGTGTATCTGTCCTTCATTTCCTCATGCAGCAAGCATTTATTGAGCACCTACTGTGTGCCAGGCCTCGTGGACTCCCAGCTGGATTGAAGCATGCTTGGTTCCCCCCCGGCCCAGGAGGGAGGTAGCTCTTCCCCCACCAGCTGTAACCTCTGGGTCCCAGTGGCCACATGGCTACTTTTGAGCCCCCCTGGAGGGGGCTCAGGAGGCAGATGGGGGCTGGGCCTCCCTCCTGCCCAGCCCTCCTGTCTGTCCGCTTGGCGCCTGCCGTGGAGTCTCGCTCTGTCTGCTCCCTCAGCTGCCTGTCTCCACGCCTCCGTGGGAGGAGCGTGTGTTCGGGGCCTGGTGGGCGCAGCCCATAGGGTGCTGCCCTTGGCCTGGGCTGTGTTCCCAGCAGGGCCGCGGGGTTGCTGTGCCTTCCCGCCAAGTCCACCCTCAGGGCCGGAGCGTCGCCTCGTCCTCCTGGGGCAGCCCTGCTCGCGGGTGGGTCTCGGGTAATTTGCTTATTTTTGTATTAAATGGTCCTGGTTGGTTTCCACCGAAGTCCTGGTCTTCTTGCCGCCCAAACGCCTCCCACGCTCCATACCCAGTGTCCTTGTCCCAGTCCGCCCCGTGCTGCTCTCCCAAGTAGTCTGGGCTCTAGGACAGAGGGAGGCCTCCTCTGGCGTGTGAGGTCAGCCGCAGTACTGTCCACTGACTTCAAGTGAGGGGCACAGACATGGTTTGTCTCCCCAGAAAACAGACCTCAAGATGAGGATTTGAGTTGTGGGGTGACCCCAGGAACCCCGTGGGAGGAGGGAAGGAGCCAGAGAGCAGGCGCCGCCCTTGGCAGCTGGTGCAGGGACTCAGGCCACGCGGAGGTCCCGGGCAGCTCCCCACGCCCAGGTGGATTGAAGAGGTGGGATTTTCTGGAACAAATGCTGGGGAGCTCTCAGGATTAGCAAGCCCTCTGGGTGCGTGGAGTGTGCCCGCCGTGTGTGTGTGTGTGGGGGGGGGGGGTTTGCAGATGGCGAGTGGTCTGCGTGGAAAACCAGAACATCGGACGCGGCAAAGGGACAAAGGGTCGAACCTCCTTCCAGACACGGCTGAGGTGGTGACCGTGCTCGGCTCCTCCCGTTTGCACAGGGGAACACCATTGTCCCTCACTGTCCTTGAGGATTGGCTCCAGGACCCACACACATCCCCACACCAAATCCCCGCCGCATGACAGAACACCTGACGCGCCTGCGTGGTGCGGAGTGACGCCTGCGGGGGTGGGAGGACGAGAAGGTCTAGTGCAGCCCATGCGCAGGGCCCAGCCCCCCATACTTCTACCGGTGGCTCGGATGCAGAACCCACAAGTGCACGCACCTTTTAAAAAAGGATCGGGGGCTGGGGGCTCAGTGGCAGAGCACTTGCTCAAGATGTGCAAAGTCTTGGATTCCGGCCTCAGCTTGGCAAAGAGAAAAATCCTGCTACCTAAACTGCAGCCATCTGCAGGATTTCTTTTGCAAGGGGGTCATCTTTGTCATACAAAAGACAAAATTTTTAAAAACAACTTTCTTCTTCTTTTATCAGATTTAGTTAGTTTTGGAATACTGGGGCTGGAACCCAGCGCTTTGTCCTTGCTAGGAAGGGACATGCTCTACCCTGAGCCACACCTCTAGCCTGGGCCACATCTTTTTCTCTGTTCTTTGTTTGGGTACCAGGGACTGAACCCAGGGGCGCTTAACACTGAGCCACATCCCCAGCCCCTGTTTATATTGTAATTGAGACACGGGGTCTCAGCTGAGTTGCTTAGCGACTCGCCATTGCTGAGACTGGCTTGGAACTTGGGATCCTCCTGCCTCAGCCTCCTGAGCCGTGGGGATGACAGGTGTGTGCCACCGTGCCTGGCACCCCCAGCCCTTTTGATTTTTCATTTTGAGGCAGGGTCTCACTAAGTTGACCAAACTTCGATCTTTGTCTCTCAGCATCCACTGTGGCTGGCATTGCAGACCTGTGCCACCATGCCTGGCTGCCAATGGCCTCGTCCCCTGCCAGAAGTACAGAATCCATCTGGCTGGGCTATCTCAGTTCAGCAGGGTGCTTCTTTCGGGAGAACCAGGCACAGTCCCTCTCCAGGTCTCTTCCAGCTTTTGGAGCTGTTATCCTTCCTGGCCTTGTGACCCCCTTCCTCTCATTCCTCCAAACTCTTGCCTCCATTTCTATATCTTCACCTGACACCTCGTGTCCTAATCCAGGACTTTTAAAATATGGGTCCCACTGGGCTGCCCAGGCTGGCCTCAAACTCCCAGGCTCACGCCGCTGTCTCAGCCTCCCCGAGCAGCTGGGAGTCCAGGCACCCCCTTGCCCTCTGAGGAATCCACCCAAACCTTGCCATCGTCTGAAAATCCTTAATCACATCTGCAGAGTGTCTTTTGCCATTTAAAGTAACATGCACAAGTACCAGGCCATAAATGCAGGTATCCCTGAGGGACATTCCTCAGCCTCCTACTACTTTGTCCCTTAGTGTGGCTGCAATCACATCTGGCCCTGTGGATATATCATAATAAGTATCAAAATATCATCAGCCCCGGGTCAAGGCGGGGAAACAGATCCCACCTGAGGTCATTTAGCAGATGGGTTTGCTACAGGAAATTCACAGTAACTCAGCTCTGCTCTTGTCCTGTAAGAACACGTGCAGGGGCCGGGGTGTGGCTCAGGGGAGAGCTTGCCTAGCAGGCATGAGGCACTGGCACCACTTATAAATAAAAACAAATAAAATAAAGTTATTGTGTCCATCTACAACTAAAAAAAGAATTTTTAAAAAAGCAGATGCAGAGGATATACAAATGAAGCAGCTCAGTAACTGCTAATAAAACTTTATTGACAAAAAAAAAAAGCGATAGGCTGCGGGCGGTGGCACAGATCTGTAAACACAGCAGCTGGGGAGGCTAAGGCAGGAGGACCATGAGTTCAAAGCCAGCCTCTGCAACTTATCGAGGCCCTAAGCAACTCAGTGAGACCCTTTCTGTAAATCAAATATAAGAAAAGAGCTGAGAATGTGGCTCCGTGATAAAACACCCCGGGTTCAATCCCCAGTAAAAAAAACAAACCAAGCAGCAGGCCAGAGCCGGCCCTTCAGCAGAGCGTCTGCTCCTGCAGGAATGACTGCAGAACTGGCCCTCCCGCGCCCACCATGCTTGTCACTCCGCAAGGGGGCGCTAGTTCTGAAGTACAAGCTGTTTGCACACCTGGCTGCCGGCAGAGGGAAAGGAAGAGGACTCTGGTCCCTGCTGCCATTTAAACTCCCACAGGCGCCTCTGGACCGTGAATCTGAGCCTGTGCCCAGCGGCAGGGCGGTCTGTGAGCACAGCTGGGGCTCTGTCACCTCCGCGGGTACAGCGTTGGGCAGGGCGGGGCTCAAGTCAACCCCATGGCTTCTCACCGTATGTCATAATGAAGGCAGGGACTGTGTAATTGGGGAATGCGTAATCATAGTAACCATTACGTGTAATTGCAGGATCAGGAGCAGCACAATGATCATGCAATAAAAAAATGATATAATAAAATGTAATCGGGGACAGATGATCAACCGCATAATTGTTACATTCTCCAGGAAATGGAAGACGCCTTTTTTGACGTTCCCCAGCAATTTGGCTGTGGTGGCAAGTGGAGTGACGCCAGGAACGGGGTCAAGTGGGTTAGGATCAGGGGACATCACAGGGTGGGGGTTCGGGAGCAAATGGGGGCTGGGAAAGGCCCTGAGAATGTACCAGAATTTAGCCTGAGGTTGAATAAAGTGAGAAGCAGGAGGTAACAGTGAGAAGCAATGGATGGAGTCAGAGGTGACAAGCTACAGCCTGTGTTCTGTTATATAAGGTTTTTTTTTTTTAAGGTGAGTCAAGTAACAGAAATCTGCTTTTCTTTTTTTTTTTTTTTTGTTTTGTTTTTGTTTTGTACCAGGGATTGAACTCAGGGGCCCTCGACCACTGAGCCACATCCCCAGCCCTATTCTGTATTTTATTTAGAGACAGGGTCTCACTGAGTTGCTTAGGGCCTCGCTTTTACTGAGGCTGGCTTTGAACTCACGATCCTCCTGCCTCAGCCTCTTCTCTGAAGCCGCTGGGATTACAGGCCTGGGCCACCACACCTGACCCCTGTGGACCTTTCATGTTCACTATTTACAATGTTTCCCTTAAAAGAAGAGCCTGAGACCTGAAAAGTGCATCTCATTCTGGATCAGGCCACCGCCTCTCCCTCTTGTCCCTGGTTGAGTCCTGTTGACTGTTACTTGCAGCCCAAAGCACTCACTGAAGTGGATCCTGTGATCCCTGCCCTGGCCACTCACATGTAGAAACAACCTCAGACATCAGGGGGCTGCCCTTGAATTGATCAAGAAAAAACTGAACTGGGCCTATTTCTGCTCCCTGGTAGGATGGGGGCTGAAAATAGAAATTAATTCTGCTGTAGGAAAGTGGAGGTTTTCTTTTCTTTTTTCTCCTTGCTTTCTCTTTAGGAACACAAAATTTAGTTCCTTGCCATCTGATGTGGGAGATGAGATTCTCACCTGCTGTGACTAAAACAGACAACCTTAGTGGTGTGGGTTGAGTCCCTGGAGTTTGTGCCTGAACTTCAGTTACAAGTAACAAGCTGCCTAATGTCCTGGATTCAAATCTCACCTCCACCTCTTCCTAGCTCTGTGATGTTGCTCCTCTGGGCCTCAGTTTCTTTGTCTATAGCATGGGGATAAGCTGCATCTGCGTTCAGGAAGCATGATCAACGCTGAATGAGAGATGCTAATATTTTGGTTTTGCTTTGATGCTGGGGATGCTCTCTACCACGGTGCCATCTTCCTTCCTTCCTTCTTTCTTTCTCTCTCTCCCTCCTCTCTCTTTCTTTCTTTTGACAGATCATATGATGTTGCCCAGGCTGGCCTCTCCGCCTCAGCCTCCTGAGTAGCTGAGAGGTTAGGGCCACGTAGGGACAGAGACATCCACCACAAATCTCAGACTGTGTACTTTCTTTCTTTTTAATGTCTGCTGTTAGTAAAATATTTTTACAGAGACCAAAAAAATCAGATTAGTGCAAAACATCTCGACACCATGCGTTCATGACCACTTCTCGTTTGTTTTAAACATGTTCCAAGTCACATATTTACAGAGAAATGAGGGCATCCGCGAGGACACCAGATCAACGGGGTGGAATTAGAAAAGAAAAAAAAAATTAAAAAACAGAACAAAACAAACAAACGTTTTGATTTTCACATTTGCAATCACATGCTAAGAGAAGGTGCGTGGGGAGGGTGCGTCCCTGGACTGCGTGGCAGGGCTTTGGGGGCGGGCCTGACGGGGTCTGGGGCAGGGGTGGGGTTTGAGGCCCCCTGGCGGCGAGACCAGGGATGCACGGGGGTGGGGGGGCGCGGAGCCTGTGTCTTCAGGAATCACTGCGGCCCGGCAGGGGTGGGAGGATGGGGAAGGGGGCGGGTCTTGGTTGACAGCGTCAACTCGATTTCTCTCTTTTTTTTTTTTTTTTTTTTTTTTTTTTTTTTTTTTTTTTTTTTTTTTTTTTTTAAAAAATCTTTAATATTTATTTTTTAGTTTTCGGCGGATACAACATCTTTGTTTGTATGTGGTGCTGAGGATCGAACCCGGGCGGCACGCATGCCAGGCGAGCGCGCTACCGCTTGAGCCACATCCCCAGCCCTCGATTTCTCTCTTGAAAAGAATAAAAGGCAAAGAGAAAAGCAACACGTGTCAGCGAAGACGACTTTGGTCCTTAACGATTCTTAGGAAAGGATGTTCATTCAGGGAGAGACGGGACCGGGACCCAGGTCCAGATCGAGATCCAGGCCGAGCCCCGCCCTCCTCACCTGCCGCCCCGCCCGCCCCACCCGGGCAGGAGGTGCCAGGCTGTCCTCGCTCCGCCCGGCTCTCAGTGTCCCCATCTGCAAAACGGACAGCGCAGGCGAGAGCGGAGGGTCTCGGAGGTCCCAAGGATTTCTAGTTGGGTGTTAAGTTTTTTGCATCTCTGATGGGGGGAGGGGCACGATGATGCTGCAGGCTGGGGGCCTGAGGAATGGGGGTGCAGGCGGGCACCTCCTAATCTATGTAAATCCTTGGAGGACAGATTGTGGGAGCGGAAGGGGAGGTCCCTCTTGCTCCTGACCCCCTTTTGCACGTCGCCTGTCTGCACCTCCTCTCTCTGGGTCTTGAATCTCTGGCTCCATCCCTTTTCGGGGCGGGGCTTTGGCTCGGAAGCAGGGAACGCTTAGGGTTACCCCAACATGCCCAGGGGCACCCTCCTTTATTTTTTTCCTTGCTCCATGGGAATTTGGGGCCACCGCCTGGAACCCCAAGTGAAGGCAAAAATCCAGAGGTGTTATTCGAGGCTGGCCTCTGTGTCCACTTGCTGGGTGGCTCTTGGGGGAAGCCCTGCCCCTCTCCGGGCCTTGTGCCAAGACAGGAACTTCCTGAATTCAAACAGCTGCCAGGCCCCTGGACTCCCCTGTTTGTACCTTATCATCCCACTGTGCCCCACTGGGACTCAGCTGCAGTCTGTCTGGACACCTCCCACGTATCCAGGACGTTGGGGAGGGGAAAGCTGGCAGGACAGCAGCGTGGGCATGACCCCGTCCCTGCAGACCCCTGCCCACTCCTGCACGTCTTCCAACTGGGTGAGACCTCACTGCCATCCCCCAGTGCCCACCTCATGCTGGGTCAACTTGGGGCTCCTGAGAAGCCTCAGCCCCGGGGCCAGGAGGAACAGCCAGCCACAGACACCACCAGTGTCTTGACATCAGGGTTAGACTGGGGAAGGGACAGAAGCTGGGACGTCCTGAGGGAGGGGGGAGGGTTTCTACAGTATTTTAATCATGAGTTTGGAAGGATGCATAGGAATTCTCTGAGTAAAGAAATGTGGGAGGGATTCCAAAAACAGTCCTACTCTGGGAGTTGCAAAAATGCACTCAGCAAATACTCCCCGAGGCTCGCCACATGCCTGGGCCAGTGCTGGGACTCACACGCTCGGACGCACGCATGCGCACACGTGTACACACACACACACACACAACACACACACACACAGAGGACTTGACCAGAATGACTCCTTCGGGATCTTTTGGGAAGTATCCTGCCAGGCAGCTCGGTGCCTGTCCCAGGTCACACATTATCTGCCCTTGGGAAATTTCTGTGTTCTGAACTGAGTCACCCATCCATCCTATGGTTGCTGCACCCCCAGCAAGCCCAGATTTCCAATCCGCCCCTGGGTCTTGTAATGGAGTTCCCCACCCTGCTCCTGGATGGAACCCCCAATGCATTTTACATTATAGTACAAGAATTCGGGTCACCTGAACCTTGCCTGAATTTAGGAGCCACAAAGCACCTTCAAGCAAATTGAAAACTAGTTCCACTCCTTCCAGATGCTTCCATTCATGTATCAGGAGACCATCATCATAAACACATGTCACTCAACGTCTAGGATTTGCAGATGGATTAACTGGAGACGGCAAATCCTGGAGCAGGGCACAACCTGCAAGGCAGCACCTGGTGGCCCCGGGGCTCATCTAAAGGCAGAATCTGTCTTTATTTTGGAGGGGCGCTCGGGACTGGACTCAGGGGTACTGACCACTGAGCCACATCCCCAGCCCTTTTAAAAAATATTTTAGAGACAGGGTCTTGCTGAGTTGCTCAGAGCCTCACTAAGTTGCAGAAGCTGGCCTTGAACTTGTGATTCTCCCGCCTCAGCCTCCTGAGCTGCTGGGATTACAGATGTGCATCACTGCACCTGGCTTATCTTTTATTTTTAATATAGTTTCCAAAAAAAAATTTTCCAGAAATCAATTTCAACATCCTCAAAGTATCCCCCCATTGATCTCTTCTCCATACAGCAGCTTTTGGGACCCGGACTAGAGTCTCCGGCTTCAAAATCTCCTGGGGAATCCCCAGATGTTTCAAAATAAAAGCAAAACTTCTCAGGGCAGCATGCAGAGCCTCGCCTGGGCTGACATTTCTCCAACCGCCTCGCTCCCGATGATCCTCCTTAATGCCTGGCTTCAGCCATAGCACCTTCTTGCTGTGCCCCAAACGTCCACCTCCTGGCATCTGCACCTGTGGCTTGCTCTACCTGGTGGTTTTCGCTCTGGTGGGAGGATGCCTCAGTTTCATAGCAGACAATCCCCTCCTGAGTTCCCATTCCTCAAACCCATTTTAATTTCTCCCTAGCGCAGCACAACCCTGCCCTTCCCGTATGTGCCTGGGTCCATGTGTGGGGCACACAGGCCATGCCAAACTTTCCCAAAAGGCCCCACTTGGATGAGCTGACTTTCCGTCCAAGTTACCCAACTGTGCCCACTACTGGAGCAGCTTCAGGCAGCAGAGGCTCCACCTGGGCACGAGCTCCTGTGGCCCTGGGTTCTGAATGGATGAGATTCTGGAGACTAAGCTCTGAGCATGTCTGTGTATTCTCTCTCTCTCTCTCACACACACACCCACACCACACCACACCCCTAGTTTCCGGTCTCTTCCTGTTCTTTCCTGCTTGGAGAATTTTGGCAAAGGAAGAAGGGGCTGAGGGAGCCTGGGTCCAGGGGATCCCAAATTCTCACTCTCTTTTGGAAGGGAGGCCAAGAGTTCTCAGGGACTCCCCACTGGAGTCTCAGGAGAAAGGGTTCAGGACAGGGGTCTTGCTTGGCAGCCGAAGGAGGGAGGGTGCAACAGGGGTTTTGGCCCATAACCCCCACACCTTGTAAGTACTGGGGGAGGTCCCCTGAGGGGGAGTTAGCAGCAATGAGGAGCTATGTCGGGTCATCCGATCTCAGCCCACCCTTCCACGGGGCACACAGGTCTAAGGGACTGGGGAGGGGGCATGGCACTGGGAAGCTGGGCCAAGTCTCAAGCAGCTCTCTGGGCCTCAGTTTCGCCATTTGTAAAATGGATGTGTTAAACTCTATGAGGACTGGGTTTGTTGGGGGGAAAAGGGAGGCAAATCCCCACAGGGTAGTGGGGGAAGTGCAGATGCCCCAGAGCCGTCCCCTCGGCCCCCTGGGTTTGGGCGCCCGAGGGCGCATGTGCTTTTGAAATCCCATTCTTCCCCCTCCCCCCACTTATTTTTTGCACAAACATCAATAGGGACACCGGTCTGCCCGGGTCCCTCCAACAGGCATCCTGGTGCCTACAGCCCCTCGGCCCATCTCAGGGGACTCCAGGAAGCCCTATCCCTTGCCCAGGGCCCGCTCCTCGAGGGAGCTGAGAGTTCCATACTTGGCAATTGGTCTTGGGCCCCAGGATTTGGAGCCCATCTTATGGCTTTTCCAGGGGACAGGAGGCGGGGCCTCCCGGAACCAGAGCCCTGGGATATGGCCTCCTTCAAAGGGACAGGTTTCCCTCCGATCCCAGCTCGAAAGGCCCCTTAGATGACGAGGGCGTGGCCTCAAGTAGGGGAATGTGGCTTCTTCCTTCTTCGCGCCCTAGGGCGTGCCCTCCCGGCGGGGCGGGGCATCGTCCGCTCGCCTTTCCCCAGAGGGAGAAGTTAAGAAGTCTAGGGCGCAGACGCAGCCCGCCCACTGCGCAGAGCCCGGAGACTTGCCCTCTGGGCGGTCCCAGCGCGCAAGTCCCGCCCCGCCCCGCGCTCCGCGCAGGCGCAGTATCGCCCGCCGGCCTGCTCCCGCTCTAAGGCGCAGGCGCCGCACCGCCCTCCTCGGCAGAGCGCGTGTCCGATTTGAGCTTGACGAATTCTTTGGCCACCTCGTCGTTGCTGCGCTGGGATAAGATACGCAGCACCGTGAGGCCGGTGTCGTCCATGTGGATGCGGCGGCCGAGCGGCAACCAGCAGGCGGCGCTCCCGCGCTGGGCCAGCTCGCGCAGCTGCAGCACAGCCAGTCCCACCGTGCGGTCCTCGCGCGCGAAGCAGTAGTCCTTGACGCACACCTGCAGCTCGTAGCACTCGGGGCCGGCGTCCGCGCTCAGCGTGCTAGGGGAGGGGTGGGGCGTCAGGGCGCCAGTCGCTCCCCCAGCTGACTCCGCCCCGGCTGGGCACCGCACACCGTTACCCGCCCGGAAATCGCCCAAACCAGGCCCTGCCCCGGGTGGCTCCGCCCTTGCAGCGCCGGGTCAAGACCACCCCAGGCGGTACCCCTCCTCTGCCCCACTCCGCTGCAGTCCGTGCCTGATCACGCCCCTATTAGCTGGCCCCCAAGCTGGCCCCCTCCATACCTCAGTAATATTTCTGCTTAACCTGTCCTTTGTCCCCACCCACCAAACACCACCCCCCTCAAGTGGCCCTTCCTGACCTGGCCAGGCCCTGGTCCAAACTCCAGATACAGGGCCTTTGCTCCTGCCTGCTGAGCTGCAGATATCCCATCCAGAAGCCCCCCCCATCACATTCCAAGTTCTTCACTGATGTGGCCCCGCACCTATCCCCCCCCCACCCACCGTCCCTCCTGATGTGACCCTGTCCTGGTACCTCACCATGGATGACAACTAGCACATCCCCTACTCCCTCCTGCCCTTAAGCCCAAGTGACTTTCCCAGACCAAGAGCCTGCCATGTTGCACCCTTATCTGAAGTATTTGGCCACCCAGGCGACACATCTGCCTTTCCATGAGGACTTGAAACTGCTCTGGAGCATTCCTTCAAGTGACCTACCACCTCAAAGTTCTCGGACCAAGAGTCCTGTCCTGACAGCACCCACCTCTCTATATATAACAGGGCTCTGACGCCCCCTGCCTTCTGCACTTCATCCCCCAAGAGCACCCCCAACACTGCCCCCTTCCCACTTGATCCAGGTATCTGCCCCTAGGAATGGAGCCCTACCCCAGGTGACCCCACACACCATATCCCCTGATCAGACTTAGCTTACTCCCCAGGTTTCAGTCCCCTCTAGACTCGCGTACCTGGAATACTACTCTCAACTCCAACAAGCCCAATCCAGATATGGCATCATGCGACACCCACCTCATGCCCTAGGTTAAGCCACCCTCTACTGTGTTCCTAGAGTTGACTCCTCCAGATGACCTGACCCAACAGTCCCAACAAAGCTGGCTGCTCATTCCAAGAGCCAACCCTCTGTCCTGTCCGGTGACCTGTCCTGTCCCCAGGCCCCTCAGCACCTATGGCTCAACATGATCACCACATCTCTTAGGCTAGTCTCCAGCCCCCAAATGGTCCTGCCCATCATACCCCTTCTGCCCAGACTTTCCCTCCCCTTCACCACCCAGGTGACATCCCACACCATGCGCCTTATCCCATTCACTGACTCCCCTGGGGCTGCCTGACCCAGAGGGTGACCTCCACTCTGGGAACTCCCTGATCACTCTTGAACCAAGGTGCCTCACTTTTCAGTGTTCACATGAAGGCCCTGAGCCTTCCCACTCCCACATCCAGGTGCCACTGGCCCATCAGACATCTCTCCTACCTAGCTGGCCCTGAGGATCCCCGGAAAGATGCCCCTCCCTTCTCTCCACGCTTTCCAAACACCCCAAACTTACAACTGGAAACTCTCGTTGTACTTGGGGGCCCAGCTGTTGTTCTTGGATTTGGTTGCAAACTTGCGTTTCTTATCACTGAGCTGGGGCCCAATGATGTTGACCTCGATGAATGGCCGGAAGATACCAGAAGTCTGCCACTTGAGGTCATTAGCAGCCACCACTGTTGGGGGAAGTAGAAGAGGAGGCTGGTCAGGTCACACAGCATGACAGAAGTAGATAAAATACAAAATAGGGCTGGGGATATGGATCAGTGGTTGAGTGCCCCTGAGTTCAATTCCCAGTACCAAAAATAAAAAACAAACAAACAAAAAATACCCAGCCCAATTCATGTTCTGGTTAACAAAATAATAGCTAAAAATAAACACACACACACATGCACATTCTCTTTGGGGCTGGGGGTGTAGTTCAGTGGTAGAGCGCTTGCCTAGCCCCTGTCTGGCCCTGGTTTCAATCCTGGTCCCACAAAAACAAACCAAAACTAATGAAAACACAGCTAAGAAATGGAGAAAGGGGCTCGAACCCTGTGAATGCACTTCTGGGCCCGGTCATGCCTGAAGCAGCCCACCCACTTCTGCACCCTTCAGTTCTTTTGTTTTGTTTGTTTGTAATGAGGACTGAACCCGGGGTGCTTATCTACTAAGCCCCATCCCCAACCCTTTTTCTATTTTATTTAGAGACAGTGTCTCCCTGAGTTGCTTAGGGCCTCACTAAATTGCTGAGGCTGACTTTGAGCTTGAGATCCTCCTGCCTCAGCCTCCCGAGCTGCTGGGATTACAGGCATGCACCATCGCATCCATCTTGCACTTTACGTTTTTATGAACCATTAAGCAAAATGTTTGTCACTTTAGCCAGCTGGAATTTGGTTTCTGTCTTGGACTTGGTGACTCCTGGTTGAGGCACCTCCTTTCCTGCCTCGGGCCACTCACCTTTCACCGGGCCACTCACCTTTCACCGTGACCTTTTGTTCCCCAGTGCCTGGATGGGTGAAGAGCTCGACGTGGACAGAGACTTCACCCACAGGGTCTTCTACCCCAGAGCCTGGTGGGACAGGGGAGAATACAGCTGTGAGCTCAGTTCCTTCCCACCACCTGGGAGGGCCGTTGGCCACTTCCCCCTCACCGTGTGCTGGCGGCACCAGGTCATCAGCCTTGACAGGGAGGCACTGAAGGGGGCCAGATGGCAGGTGCTTTTGGAAAGCCAAGAATCCTGGGTTCTAGCCTTTCACTACTTTGCTGTGTGACCTCAGGCAGGCCCATCTCTTAACCTCTCGGAGCCTCCTGCATCTGCCTTCCTTTTTCTCATTCCACCGACTCTCATGTGGTCAGACTCTTCATCTTCCGCTACACTCTGGCAGTCTCTGGTCCCAGGGCCCTACCTTCGCAACACGCCCAGAATCTGACCCATATCTTTTACCTCCATCCTGATCCAGCTCTATCAGGGCGGATCTGGACTTTGCAGTAGACTTCTTGGGCCTCAATGTCACATCCCTCCTCTCTTCAGAACCCTCCCGTAGTTCCCATCTCACGCTGGGATAATCAGTGTTTGTGGGATCTGCGGCCCGCCCCCCAGTACTACCACCTCCCCTGCCTCAAACCTCCCCCACTGCTCTCCTTCCCCCATTCCTCCCTCTCCACCCCACGGCCTCCTCACGGCTCCTCCGACACACTGGGATCACCTGGCCCAGAATCCTCACCCCTCCTGAAGTGACGGCTTGTCTGGGCACATCTGAGGTTCCTGGTCCTGACTTCCCGTCTGACAGATTCTCAAATTTCCACTGACAAACGCTCCCGGCCTCACCTCCGACCTGTGCTCAGACCCTGGGGCTCAGATAGGGGCGGGCCATTCCCGTGTCCATTCAGGGAGGGTGGAATGAACCACGGCTGTCCAATCAAAGCAGTCCCTGCCTATAACTGAAAGTGATTGGCTCCTGGACAGTCCCATGACCCAAGCTGGGCCAATAGGAGTTAGATTTGGGACTTTGGCTGCACAGGCTGAGTTGCGCTGTGTCCCTCTCTGGTGCTAAGTGGGAAGGGCTATCTCTGCCGAATAAGGAGACAGCCTGTCCCACAGAGACCTCCCTGATGCCATCTCAACCCCCTGATCTTTCAGTTCCACAGCCAGCTTGAGTCATGGTGACGTCACTCTTTCTAACTAACATAGTATCCCCAACAGTGCTCATGGGGATCATGGAAGGCGCAACTTAAAAGCTCCTGTCTCAGTCCCCTCTGACCCTGTGACTTGGAAGGGCATCCTGCTGGGCCTGTGGACCTGTGACCGCCAGCACCTCCACCAAGACCCTCCCCAACCGCCCCCCCCCCAGGCAGCTCCCTAGTCCTGGAGCACCCATGCATGGGACAGGAACAGGGAAGTTGGAGGTGAGGGGTGGGGGAGAGGTCAGTAAGAGGTTGATCCAGGTTACCTCACACTGGACAGGAAGTGACTGAGGGTCATGGAGAAGAGGGGCCAGGAGACCCTCATCACCCCTGGTTGCTGCCCACCCCAGGCCACCTTCCTCATCTTCTCAGGCTCCCACCCCCCACAGTCACATGCTCAGCCTCCCCGCCCTTCCCTCCCCCAAGGCTGATGCTTCATAGCAAGCTCAATCCGGGCCAAACTGAGGTGCCAGGGGTGAGTTAGACGGTGGTGGGTCAGGTGAGAGGTCAGACCAAGGCCAAAGCTAGTAAGAAGGGGGAGGGGCAGTGCGGGGCACCCCCTCCCATGGTTTGCTGGCTCCACAGAGAAGGGTCTTTTATGGGCCTGTCTGTGCTCCCCCTAGCCCCACACCCCGCTCCCCAAGTCCCGGGTCCCCTTGCAGGGGAAGAAGATTCCCTGGGCAAGTGGTTTAGCCTTGTTGAACACTCCTTCTCCTCATGTGGAGGGTGATGGACGCTGTCCGGGGACAGCTGGAGAAATCTTTTTGAGATTTTCCAAGAAATACACCCTACAGGGTCTGGCTGTGGGTTGGAGCTTGTCGGTTGCTGTCTACTTCAAAAAATGTGCTGCTGAGTCTAACAACATTGGCTAACAATCGTGAGCTTCCTGTGTGCCAGGAATGGCTCTCAATTTAATTTCTTCTAACCTGGAAATTAATCCCCTGGGATTAATTCCTTGCCTGTCCCCGTTTTACAGATGGGAAAACGGAGTCGCAGGGAGGTGGATTCTCATCTGCCTGGTAGTGCCCCGCAGGCGGAATGGCTGACTCAGGACCTGAGCCCAGTTCTTAACCTTGCAAGTGCCTGTTTGGGGACCCGGGATCTGGCTTAGGAGACACTTCTTGGGGAATCGCTTCTCCTTCTCCATGTGGAACCAGCAAGCGTCCTTCCCCCTCGCCCGCCTGGCCGGGGCACCCCAGTCCCGGGAGGCGGAAGGACGGGCCTTTTACTAGCCGGGCCGGGAGGGGCGCAGGCACCGGGCACCGGGCGCGGGCGGCGGGCGGCATTGGCACGTACCCTTCTCAGGATAAATGTCTTCACTAAGGGTAAACCTAGTCCCCTTTCCACCATGGACTAATCGGGTGGCAAGGGAGGAGGGAGGGGCGGGGAGGGGGGAGAAGAGCGAGTGACAGGTGGGGATGGAGGAGTGTGCGTGGCGGGGGGCGCGGAGAGGGGACAGCAGAGCGAGAGGGAGGAAAAACAAGAGAGAGAGAAAAACGTCAGCGGCGGACGGACGGACGGACGGACGGACAGACAGCCTCCCGCTTCGGGAACACCGAGGACACTAAAAGCAGTGAGGACTCTGGGGAAACTGAGCCGACGCCCGGGGAGGGCCCGGGCTGCCGCGGTGGGGGAAGGGGGGCACCGGAGGCCACCGGGCTCCTTCCCCCTCCGCCGCTGGAGCAAAGCCTGTGGTCAGGGGCCAAACTTCTTCGTCCTGTCTACACCAGTTTTGAAATGGTGGGTCCCCAGGGAGGGGAAACAGGCCCCTAGAGTCCCGCCCTCAGCCCCAGCTGCGGTGTGAGCTCCAGAGGGACAGAGGCGGAAGCACAAGACAAGAGCTAGAGAGAGAGAGTTCGAGAAATGGGGCCTCCTCCGTGCTCCCCGCTCCCAGGTGGGGTCCTTCCGGTCCTGGAGCGGTCAATCATTCCACAGCCCCAAGACGTTATGGAGATCCCGCCCTTGGGGACTGTAATCGCGGTCTGGGTCCATGACGTCAGAGGTTCTACCCGGGCTGCCAATCATCCCTTGCTCCAGGACCTCCAAGGTCTCGCCCATCACGAGCTATCAGTCACTCTCCAGTTACCCTCCCCTGGAGCTGTCAACCATTCCCTGGTGGACGCAGTTGTCCCAGTAGCTGTCAACCTCTCAATGGTCCTGGGACATCATAGATTCTACCAGATGACAATCATTTCAGAGCCCTCCGCTGTCCTGGGTTCCACCTCTAAGTTGTTGCCATCGCTCTCTGGTCCTTGAGGTCGGGGCCCACTCCCAGATGCTGTAGATCACTCCTTGACTTAGGGACAGTGGAACGTCACTGTCAATTCTACCCAAGCTCATGATGTCATAAGGGGCGGGGCCAGTGGCTGCTGCGCAAAACGGGGGCGGGGCTGCCTCTGCAGGCAGGGGACGTGGTGGCGACCGACCCGCCCTCACCTTGCGCTCCCTGGGTTTGCACGAAAGTCTTGATGAGCAGGTCGGTGGCCTGCGTGTAGAGGGACAGGGCATAGCGCAGTGACTGCAGGTCGGGACTCTTCTCCAAGAAGGTCTTTTTGAGGCCCACTCCACCGGCGTGGAAGTATTGCTGTGGGGGACAATGAGGGAGGTGAGGGGGGGTGTGGTGGGGTGGAGGTTGAGAGGGAAGCCCTGCGCAGCCATGAGACTAGGCACTCCCACTGTCCCCTCCCCTTCCTTCACATCCAGCATCTGGATGACCCCCTGCTCCTCCCCCACCGGCCCCCCAAACCTTCCATGGCTCCCAGCACCCTCAGAACTGCACCCATCCAGACCTTTCCCAGCCTCCCTCCAAGGCCTTCCCTAGACCTTGCCCTCCATGGGGACTTCAGACCTCCTGTGCTCACTGGGGGAAAGGCCCTCTCTACTCCTGGCCCATTTGCTGAATCCGAACCTCTGTGCATTCCGCAGACCCATCTCCCCAAGTTCCCTCCAAAAGCCCTGGTTACTCCCTCCTTGGGCTGCCCCCATCCTGCCTCCCTCCCAGTCCTGACCTCGCCAGGCTGAGGATGTCTGTCCAGCATGTCCTCTCACCTGGGCTCCTCAAAGCCTCAGTCGGTCTAGCTTTGGCACAGGAGAAGGAACCCAGAGTGTTTAGAAACTGAATAAATTCATGAGGGTCCAAGGTGAGCCTAGGTCATGTCCATACCAGCCATGCCCTCTGCCTACCCAACTGGACAGGACTCTCACCTTGATGGTGTCCAGGGCTAGTTCAACAACTGCACATTGCTTCGGAGTCAAGCTCTTGGCTTCTTCTCGTACCATGTGGTCCTAGATGGATGGGGAGATGGGCCAGTTGGGCAGGGCAGATCCAAACTTCAGGATCTACCTATAGGTCTCACCCTTGCTAAACACTGGGGAGTTGGACTAGGAGTCGTTTTCCTCAATCCCAGTGCCCAGCAAGCAACTAGCACTCAGTAGGTGCTCCATGCATATTTGTAGGCAAAATTATTTGCATTCTTGATTGAACTGTACCTGAAGCTGAACCATGCACATCTTCCCAACACAATGAAGCAAATAAATTGTGTTTAAGTCAGAAAACTGAGTAAGTTTTCTGTCCCTTGAGCCTACAAAGCATGTCACCATCCCACGATCTCCTGCCTCTTCTGCTCCCACCTCTCAACTCACCTTGAGTTTGGACAGCTGACCGAGCTCCTTAGCGGCATTGAAGATCATCTGGGTCCCCTGCAGGTAACAACAGACACAGCTGGGGTGACGAGGGGTCCCCCAATCCACTCCCCACCCACCCAGACGACACCCAGCCCTGGACACCATCTTGGTTTCTGGGAAGGGCAATGGCCATGTCCCAAAGACAGAGGTCTGGAGCCACCCACCCCAAAAGTGCCAAGGAGAAGGTCACGACCTTGACCCTGGAAGGCCCAATCCTATGGGAACACTACCCACCACTGCACCTCCACCATGGCCCCAGGATTGTGGGACACAGAAGAGAAACAGGCAAGGATTGGGCTGTGGGGGACAGTGGGTAGGGGGAACCCCAGACGGGAACGCTGGGGGTGTGAGCTCTAGAGTTAGGAGGCCTTGGGAAAGCCGTGGGCAGGGCTGGGCTTCAGGAAATGGCCCTGATGAACCCCACCCCCACAGCCATCCCTTCTGTGGGGGATTCACTCTGTAATGGCGGGGGCTGTTAGTCTGACCTTTAAAATGAAGGGACCTCCCCTACCCCCTCTGCTCCCCCAAAACAGACAAAATAAGATGGCAACATGGCTATGGCTCTGCCAAGTCAGGTGGGCTGGGTTCAAATCCCAGCTCTGCTGTGTGGCCCTGGGCAAGTTACTTAACCTCTCAGAGCCTCAGTTTTCCCTTGTAAATGACAGAAACAACACCCACTCTGTGGCTTTGCGTCTTTGCCCAGTGTTCACTCTAATCATTGCTTCATCTCAGTCACGGGCAATGCTGAGACCAGATCCCAGCCTGGAAGCCATGTGTCCAGCCTCCTCCATCACTGTGCCAGGGGACCTCAGGCATGTCCTCGAGCCTCTCTGGGCCTGGTTTCCTTCACTGGCTAATGAGGGTAGGGGGTAGGGCTGAGGAGCAGTGGGGTGACGAGTCTCGCATTACTGGGTCCTGGGTGGGTTTGGTGGGAAAGGACCCATTCACAGGTGGGGTTTGTTTTTCTTCTTTCCTGTGGTGCTGGGGGGGGAACTGGGGAGGAGACCAGGGCCTCAGCACGCTTGGCCAGTGCTCCCCCCCGGGCCACACCCCAGCTCGAGGTTGATGCCAGCCGTCCCCCAGGCGCCCCGCTGTCTGAGCGGTTCCCTGCGGCACCCACCTAGAGTCTGGCGGGGAGCCGGGGCCCTCCTGGCACCCTCGGCCCTGCCCACTGTCCCCCACCTGCCCCCCAAAAGCAAGCCAGACAGACAAAGGAAGAAGAAACCAACAGACAGGGTCACAGACGGCCCCAGACGGCACGGACCACAGAGGTGGAGGGCGTGGGGAGGGGAGCCAGACAGACAGTGAGGGGCCTCTTACGTCTGAGTGGCTTGGCAGTTTCACCCTGCCCTGCGGAGAGAACCAGGCGGAGGTCAGAGTTCTGGTGGCTGCTGGGAGGCCGTTCATGGGACTTCCCTGTCCCCTGGAAGCCCAGCCCTTGAGCTGCCTCCCCGGTCCTGAACCTAACACTGGGTCCCCTCCCCAGGTAGGCACTGTCCCTGTCCCCGAGTGAGGGCTTAGAGCCAGACCCTTTGACATCCTGGGGGTGCTCAGTGAGCTGGCCTAAGCTCATCCCCTGGGGACAGGTGCCTGATCCCACCCGACAGCCAGCGTGCCTGGCAGGGGACTGGGGGGGTGGGAGGGGAGAGAGGGCTCCGGGTCTCTTCTCCCCCACTCCCTGAGCCTCCCCGGCACCTGACGACCCGGGACATACTGTTGGGTGCTGCAGGTACATTCAACAGAGACACACACCCAGGCATTCACATGTGTGCACACTTACACACACACACACAGATCAACACAGAAACACACACGCAGAACTCACATGCTGAAATACACGTGTGCATCCTCATCACCTACACAATCACACACACAGACCTACACACACTCACACCCTTGTGGTTGCATATACATGTATGCAGTGCCTGGAACATCAAAGGTGCCCCTCAGAGGGCTGGCTGAGTGGACATGGAAGTCTTATTACCCATGTTCACAAAGCCGAGACCCCACATGTGTGAGCACAGGGATGGCGTCTTCTGTGCAAGTGCACAACGAGGCAACTGCTCATGTGCTGCCACAGCTCCTATCTCCCTACAGCAAACACCCATTAGAACAAAAGAATTTGCAGAAAAATCAACACAGGTCCCAGTCCAGGGCAGTGATCCAATTCTGGCCTCTAGAGAGACCACAGAGTATCAGTGGCACCCAGGACAAGGAGGAGCCCTTGGGGTGTTGCTGTGCAAGGGCAGGAGTTGTCTGTATACAGTTTTGCTCATGCACTCACATTCCTCATTCCTCTATGACTCCCGACTTCGTGGGACTTTGTTAGAACACCTGCCTTCTACCCGTGACCCCCAGCTGAGCTTCCTACCCCCCCACACACAGATAGGCCAGGCACACTCACACCCAAACACCACGGCTGGGGACCTCAGCAAGAGGAGTCCCTCATTACCTTTTCTAATCCCTTGCCATGTTTTCTCAAGAGGGTGCCCTGCAGAGACAATGTCACAGGGTGATCAACCTGGCATGTCGTGCAGCATGGGGCCCAGGACAGTCATAGGTGTACTGTGGGGATGGGGGCCCACACTGCACAGGTGGCCAGCGACGAGTGCATAGGGACTGTGTGTGCTGGCCTTCATGGCCGACTCTCAAAGATATGAGTCAGAGACACAGGAGAGAGGAAGGGGAGAGAGAGAGAGAGAGAGAGAGAGAGCGAGCGAGCGCAAGAGCTAGAGAGAAGTCAATGCCAAATATGGTCCATTTACATTTAGTGTACATATGAGGCTCTGGGTTCTTGGAGTATCAGAAAAGCAAACAGGCTCCATCCCAGCCAGACCTGAATTTGAATCTTGACTCTGGCATGTGTTCACTCTGTGGCCCTGAGCAAGGGACTCGGCTCTGGGCCTCAGCTTTCCTCATCTACAAAATGGGAATAACAACATCCACTTCACTTAAAGGGTTGTCAGAAACAGCAGTTGTGACCAGGCCTGGTCTACATGGAGTCACCAATAAACACGAATTCCTTTATCCATGGACAAGGGCATTATTTAGGATTGGCACACGGCTGCCAGCCGGAAACCCCAGATGCGCCCGTGAAGAAGAGAGACGAGCAGGTGAAGGTTTGCTGGCCCACAAAGGGGTGATGTACCACTGACAGGGGCCGCCCTGATTTAGCAAGCCTGCTGCCCCCAGGCCAGGCCCTGAGGAGCACGCCAGTGACTGAACCCCGAGAGCTGCTGCAGTCACCCCATTTTTCAGACAAAGAAATGGAGCTTAGAAGGTGAAGTGATTTCCCAAGATCACGAAGAGAGAGAGTGGCCGGGCTAGGATCTGACCCCCAGTCTATCAGACACCGAGGTCCCCCTGCAGCCTCCCACCTGGGCCTCCACCTGAGCATCTGTGCACAGCAGGCGTGGGGCAGGTGGGAACGCCAGTGGACAGAGGAACAGAGCCTGGCGCTGGCACTTGGGGGGTCAGAGGTAGGAGCCTGCCCTGAGAAGCTGAGTCGAGAGCCACGGGGCAAAAGCCTGCCTTCTGGGGTGCGCCTAACAGTTCAAGGCCCAAAGGGGAGGTCAGAGGGGCCCCCTTGACTTTGACCCTCTTTCTAGCTTTGGAGGGAGATCCAGGATCCTGGTGGTATCTGGGCAAAGGAATAAGGGTCGCATCCAACTAGAGGGCAAGGACGGATACGAAGGGGCTGGGACACGGGTTTAGGAGCTGGCAGGTGCCTCCTGGACTTCTAACGGGGCGGGGGAGGTGGGTGTGGCCTCCCGCCCTCCCGGCCCCTCCCCTCCCCATGCCCCGCCCCAGACAGACACAGGCACATCTAGGCGGGAGGTGGGACGGTGGGTGAGGGCTGGTGGGTGGGGAGGGGGCGCTGGGTGGGGTGGGGGTGCAGCCACGCGGTGGGCCGAGTCCAGACACAGAGCGGACGGACAGACAGACGGACAGACGGGCCTCTACTTACGATCATCTGTCAGCCGTGTTGGGGACCGGGCGGTAGGGAGGGGGAATAAGGCACCGTGAGTGTCCAGGGAAGGCCAAGGAGGGGGCGGAGACGGCACCCAGGGGCAGGCCCCTGACCCGCCCTGCGCACGGAGAGGGGAGGCTGGGGAGCCTCGGGCCTCCACCCACCGCTGCTTCTCTGTGGTCCCCAACCCCTCCCTGAGCTCCCCCATCCACCCAGGAGTGTCCTCCCGCTCTGCACTCTGGGCTGTGCCCTCAGTGTGTCACTGCCGCCTGCAAGTTTCTGTCTGCGAGCCTCTGAGCCTCCCAGAGGGTCGCGTGCCTCCCAGGGGTCTGGGCACCTGCCTCCACCCTTCTGGGCAGCCCGATCCCTGGGGACTCTGGTCTCTTCTCCCATCTCTGAAAGACCCAGATGCACAGCCTGGTCTCTGGATAGCCACTGGCCTCTGCTTGGGCTACCTCTGACCTTGGATGCTCTCCGTGACCTCTGGCCTGAGTCTGTCTCTTTACTGACCCCAAAACCCTTTTGGAGACCTGAACACTACTGATCTACAGATGTCTTCAGCCCCGAGCTGACCTTTCTTTTCTGGGTGACCTCTGATCTTTGAATGGTTCCTTGAAATCTCTTGACTCTGTTTGACCTCTTTGACCTTGGAGTAACCCCAACTATTCCCAAGTGACCTCTTAGACCTTTTGATGACCTTGACCCATGTCTGACCTGTCTGACCTCTGGTGGCCTCTACTACCTTCGGCTGGCCCTTGAGCCTTAGATGACCTCTCTGAGCCTCCATCCCCTTGTCCTGGTCCCCCAGCCTCAAGGCACCAAAGCTCTCTAGGCCCCCACAGGGAGCTGGCCCGGTGGCGCGGGGTCCCCTGCGGGCCTCACCGTCTGGTCGGTGAGCGGCGGGAGGACGATGGTCTTCTCCATGGTGTTCATGACCAGCTTCCACAGCTCCTTCAGCACCCGCTTCAGCACCGTCTTCTCGCAGATTTTGGCAAAGAGAGTCAGGCTGGGGGCGGAGGGCGGGTCTGAGAGGGGCTCCCCCAGCGCAGCACGGTAGGGGGCACTCTGCACGCGCAGCCCCGAGGTGCCCTGAGGCCCGACACAGCGGCCTGTGTGGGGCATGTGCAGAACCCTGGTGCTCGGAAGGTCAGCGGGAGCCGCACTGGAAGTGGCTTTGGGGCCTGGGGAGGAGGCTCGCACCTATCATGGGGATGGGGCAGCGGGAGCCATGGAGGGCTCTAGAGGGACATGCCCTGACATTCGCGTGGGAGCAACCTTGCTGTGGGGTGAGCCGGACCAGGAGCGCTGCAGACCAGGGCTGGGAGGGGGCGGGCACCGCCAGGAGGAGGGTGTGGCCCGAGGAGGGCGGACTTGGGAGGAAAACCAGCAGAGGGTTTGTGAGTGGATGTGCGGGGGTTAAGGACAGAGAGGGACAGTCCACATGACCCACACCGACCTACCCCGCCATCCACCAGACCCCGGCCCAGCCTTCTCTCGTTCTCTTCCGTTTCCTTCCCCCTCCCTCCTCCTCACCCATTCATTTCCTTCCTCCTTTCTTCCACCCATCTGTCCGTCCTTCCATCCATCTGTCCGCCCACCATCCTTTTCAACCTTTGAAGCCTCTTTCCTTCAGTCATTCATCTTCTCGCTGCCCAGCCCTGGAGCCCTTCATCCACCCAGCCACCACCCATTCTTCCGTACAGATACTCACTTACCAGTCCTGCCAAGTATCTACCCTCCACTTACACACTCTTTCACACAACCCCCCCCTCCCGGCAAGCCCACTGGAGCCGCCTGGCTCCCTGGCCCGGTTCCGGCCTCCCTGGTCCGTCCCAGCCCCTGTCGGCTCACTTGCTGTCCAGCAGGTCCATGATGGGCTGCAGCACGTTGTCGGCGTCCTGGGCCACACTGCTGCAGGCGCTGGCGGGCACGTTGCCCGTGCCCTTCACCTGGCTGAGGATGTCACCCATCTGTTTGACGCATTCTTCGATGTGTGGCTGAAAGCTGGGGACACAGTGGGGAGGGCTCAGACCCCACTCCCCTGGCCTCCCAGAGGGTGGGGCGGCCAGCGCCAACCTGTGTGGTGGTCCAACGCCACACCAGGGAGCAAGGCCACCCACAGCTGGCAAGGTCGGGACGGGCAGAACCGCGGGGCATTGATCCGTGTTGTTCATTTCATTCTCAAAAGTCCTGCTCGGGGCCTGTCTATCATCATCCCCACTTGACCCATGAATAGGCTAGGGCTCAGAAAGGTTGGGTGATTCTCCCCAGGACACACAGCTAGTAAGCAGTGGAGCCAGGATTTGAACTTGGCATCATCTGGCACTGAGCCTGGTCTCTTCCTCTGCTGAGTCTCCAGATGGCCCAGGCTCCCTCCCCGACGCCCGGGCCCTGTGGATGCCCACCTGGTGGCGAACACCCGGCTGAGCTCATCCAAGACATTGTTGAGTTTCACCTGGAGCTCCTTCAGGATGTCACTGGCCTCGGAGTCCAGCTGAGAGCGGAAGGGACAGCAGGTCAGGAGGACGGAGCATCCAAACACCTGGACTTCTCATCTCACCAGGGAGAGGGAGCCCGAGGGGCAGCAGAGGACAGGAGACCCGGTGAAGCCGCTGGCTTGGGTCTGAAGGGGAAGTGGGGCTAAAACCCAGCCCAAGACCCGGGGGACGCGCTGCGGGGACTCAGGGGGCGCCGCACCTCCTTCCCTCCCATGGCTTCGAACATCTTCTCCAGCTGGACGCGGAGCTGCTGGGTGTTGTTCATGAGGATGCAGGGCTGCGGGCCGGCGGACGACGGGGTCAGGCCTCGGCACTGCCCACCCCCCCAGGGACCGCGTCATGGGCTCAGGGGCTGGGGCTGGGGACCCCGGGCCGCAGGTCAGGTGCGCTCAGGTTCCTGGGATCACTGGGAGCTCGCCTCCGGGGCTGGGGCGGGGTGAGGATTGAAGTGATTTTGCCCCCACGAGCTGGGCTGGGCAGGGTGGGTCCAGAAGAGGGTGGGGGTCCCCTGTGGACCCAGAGCTCCGCACTCACACCCACCACTCAACACCCAGACGACAACACTGAAGGCGCCAGCCTCTACCCCAGTCAGACCCCCAGGACCAGAGACACTCTCACCCCACGCCCATCACACAGCCAGCGAAGGCACAGACATGGCGCCCAGGTGCCCTGTGCCCAGACACACAGAACCCGACACACACCAATCAGCACACTCAACAGCTCGCATCCGGCGGGGACAGTGAGGCCACACGGGCTGGACACACAGATATCCAGGTGTCAGGGCGCGGGGAGGGTGGGGCCCTGGGGACGCTGGGTAGGAGTGGGCAGGGGACAGGACAGGGCGCCCGCAGGTCACCACTTTCTCCTTCTCCTTGGAGCAGTAGGAGGCGAAGTCCTTGGAGATGATGTCCGCGTACTGGAGAAGCACGTTGCTGATGGTCTGGGGGGACACGGGGTGGGTGAGAGCAGGGCAGGGCTGGTCACCAGTCCCAGCAAGACCACTAGCGAGATCATGGATGAACTTCCACTCCACGGCATCTAAGACGGTCCTCTGGGCTGGGTGGATCTCCACCCAGGACGACCATCAACCGCCAGATGAAGACCCAGGTTTGTTTTTTTTTTTTTTAATATTTATTTATTTTTTAGTTTTCGGTGGACACAACATCTTTGTTTGTATGTGGTGCTGAGGATCGAACCCGGGCCGCACGCATGCCAGGCGAGCGCGCCACCGCTTGAGCCACATCCCCAGCCCTGTTTTTTTTTTTTTCTTTTTTTTTTTTTCCTATTTTTTCGTGCTGGGGATTGAACCCGGGGCACTTCACCCCTGAACCACATCCCCAGGCCTTTTTTTGTATTTTATTTAGAGATCGGGTCTCACTGAGTTGCTGAGGCTGGCTTTGAACCTGCAATCCTCCTGCCTCAGCCTCCCTAGTTGGTGGGATCACAGCTGTGAGCCACTGTGCCTGGCTCTTTTGTCTCTCTCTCTCTCTCTCTCTCTCAAGAGAACAACCACCATATTAACCTAGACTCAATCATGACCTGATCCTGAATTGAATCCCAGTCTGACCTGAAATCCCCACCAAGGTCCACCTAGCCTCATGACAATCCAAACTTGAACTCCAATCCAACAATACCAAACTCACCCGGAAACCTTTCTAACTTACAGAGACCACAGCCTCCGCTCCAACCTCAATGCGACTCAAAACCCCATCCAGAAGGACCCCCAGCCTCAAGCACCAACCCCAGCCCCAGCACAACGGCATCACCAACCCCAGCTCCATCCACTCTCCAACCCCAGTCCGGCCCAACCCCAAGTCCCAACAAACCCAAGCTCTGACCTAAACCCCGAATTCGATCACATGGCTCCACCTCCACGGCACCCCCGCCTCCACCCTGAGCAAGCCCAACCCGCCCTGACCCACGCTGCCCCCCGGAGCGCACCCCACACCTTGGCAAAGCGCCTCATGTAGTGCCCCACGATCTGGGGGTCGGGGCACTCGAGCTTCTTGATGATCTCGAAGCTCTGGTTGAGCTGGGAGAAGACGTCCACCACGGAGCAGGAGAAGAGCGCGTGCTCCGAGGTCTGCTGGAACTGCGGGGGGGCAGGAGGGGACGGTGAGAGCAGGGCAGGCCCCGAGCACGCCCTCCTGGCCTCCAGGGGGACAGCGCACACTGACCACCTGGAGGGGTGGCACGGAGTACCCGGATGGCAGACTGCCACCTCTAAAGGTGGTCACAGAGGCCACGGGGTGGGTGGAGAGGTGGACACCCACGGCAGACTGCGCTCACCTCAAGGGCAACGGATGCTCCAGGTGGACCCCAGTGGGTACCCCGAGGGAACGAGGTCACTATGGGCAAACGGGGAGTGTGGTCACATGCTGACCCCTTACCCCATCCTTCTTGTCCCGCTCCAGGGCGCCATGCAGGAAGTCCCGGGACACCTCCTCGTTCTCATCCAGCCACTGAATGACAAACGGCTCAAACCACCTGCGATGGAGGGCTGTGGTGGGGCCCAGCGCTCCCCTCCCCGGCCCTGCTCTGCCTGTTCCCACCCAGTACTGGGGGGTGTCGGGCCGGTTGCACTCCCCCGGACTCACCCTGTGGCCTCGGGTGGCCCTTGCTCCCCTCCCTCACTGGGCTCAGGGACTTTGCCCATGAAATGGACCAAGCAGCAGCCATCAGAGGAAGGCCCAGACTTCATGAGCCCTGGCTCAGATAAACCTCCTTCGCCCTCTGAGTCCTGTTCCCTACACGGTCCGCATTCTGCATCATGGATTCCGCCACCAGGATTCAACCCACTGGGGTTCAAAAATAGTGTGCAGAGCCGGGTGCGGTGGCACGCCTGTCATCCCAGCGGCTTGGGAGGTTGGGGCAGGAGGAACGTGGGTTCAAAGCCAGCCTCAGCAATGGAGAGGTGCCAAGCAACTCAGTGAGACCCTGATACAAAATATGGCTGGGATGGGGCTCAGTGGTGGAGTGCCCCTGAGTTCAATCCCTGGTACCAAAAATAAATAAATTAATAAATTAAACACAACACAGTAGTGTGCAGACACCGCACCATCTAGTAGAAGGGACCTGAGCACCTCAGACTTTGTGTCCTGGAACCACTCCCAGTGGACGCTGGGGGATGACTGCACAGCAGACTGTCCCACAGGGTTGCTGTGAGCAGTGACCAGTGTGGCACTCAGTAGGTCCTGAGGAATCGGTGGCCACCATCCCCATCCCCCACATAGCGCAGGTGTCGGTCACCCCAAGTTCACCTCCTGGGTCCATCGCTGACCTCACTGGACCAAGTCACCGGCATCTTTTAACCTCCATTTCCTCACCCAGAAAGTGGGGACGGTAACGCCCTCGTGTCACCTCATGGAATCACCAGGAGGATTAGGTGAGAAAAGGCACAAGGGACAGCGCTGTGCGTCCCCGGTCTCTCTGACCACAGACGTTCTGGGCTATGGGGGTCCACAGTCCAGTGGCTGGGAGTCAAGGAGACGGGGCGTGAGCCCCACTGTGCCCTGACGCCCAGGCGTCCCTTAGCGGGTCTGCCCTCTGCTCCGGGTCCCCTGGCTGCGGCGCAGTCCTGGCTCTGGCCAGGCTCGGGCGGAGGACTTACGCGGGGTACTCGGGCACGCGGTCCTTGAAGGCGGGAAGCTCTGCCACGTACTCATTGTAGAGCCACTTGACCTTGAAGTGCAGATTCATGTAGTCGGCGCTCTTGCACAGGCGGTGCTTGTCATGCTCTGATGGGGACAGAGGGGACGGCTCACCCGGGAGGGTCCGCCACCCTCCCCTCTGTCTCAGCAGACAGGTGACGACTGGCGTCCGACGCCGGCAGAGTCCAGACACTTGCAGCCTTGGAGGGGATGCTTGGGTCCCGTTTGGGCAGCGGCGTGGCCGGGGCGGGTGGGACTCACCGTCCATGGCGTACTTCATGTCCTGGGCGAACAGGTTCCACATCACCTCGGCGCTGATCTTCCCCACATTCAGCTCTTGGGGAAACCTGGCAAAGTCACGGAAGCATGAACTCTAGGCGACCGAAGCCAGAGGGCACGGGCTGCTCCTCCTTCCCTGTCCAGGTGGCCGTGTGGGCAGGGCAGGGGTCTGCATTCAAGTCCCCCATGGACACTGACTAGCCGAGCAGCTGCGCTAAGGCCTGGATCAACCTCAGCCTCTGCCACCCACTCTTCCCTGCGTCCCTCCGTCCACTCATTCACTCACTGGCCCAAATATTGCCTGTCCACCCACCCGGCCATCTGTGCATCCAGCCATCCATCACCTCTCCATCTGTCCCTCCATCTATTCATTCACTCACCACACATCCACACATCTACCTGCACCCACCCGGCCGACCACTCCCTTGCCCACCCTTCCCTCCATTCCTGTCTCTACCCATCCATCCATCCATCCATCCATCTTTCCATCCATCATCCATCCATCCATCCATCCATCCCCCATCATCCATCCATCCATCATCTATCTTTTCATCCATCATCCATCCATCCATCATCTACTCATCTTTCCATCCATCCATCATCCACCATTCACCTTTCCATGCATCATCCATCCATCCATCCCCCATCATCCATCCATCCATCCATCCATCTTTCCATCCATCCATCATCCATCCAACCACCCATTCATATACCCAGCCATCCATGCCCACCCATTCCTTCATCTACCACTCACTCACCATCCGCCCACCCATTCACCCACCTGTCTATCCATTTACCCATCCATCCATTCTTCTCTGTCTATCCACCCATACATCCACTGTGCTCCATCCAGCTAAATCCATTATCTTAACTCTATATCTAAGTAACCAGGAGCTGTTAGCACCCCAAATTAAGGGGCCCCTTTAGCACTCACCTCAGAAGAAATTAAACACAACAGCTCACAGAGCTAACACGGATGCGTATTTCACAGATACGTAGATCCCCAACAGACCTGCACCCACATGCACACCACTATACAATATCATACAATATTTTATTACACAATACACAATATTTATATTGGATAATATTGTGTATTTATTGGACACAATTCAACCCACTGACCACCACTATACACGAACTCCTGTACACACACACACTTCAAATAGGAAACAACTTAAATGCAAAACATTCGGTAGAGCATCTAACCTTTAGTAAATATTTGAACAACACTCTCTATGGTTATTTATGAATTTATACACACGTACAAAATTGCACACGTATGTACACAGTTATTCACGCAAATCAGCACTTAGAAAATGCATATTATCTACCTGCACACATATTATGTACCTGACTTCACATGGGCAGAACCACACCCGTGCCCCTCCACCCACAGCCTATTTGTAATGAGACATGGTCCCCTTTACACACTAGACACAAAGCTGTGTGTCGCACACTCACAACCGCCCCGGGGAGGGAACCCACGGGCCGCGACTCACTGGTTGAGGCAGGGGGTGTAGGAGTTCTTGTCCTCCTCGATGATGGACACTATGAGGGTGATCAGCTTGGACCAGAAGTCCAGGTTCTTGATGCTGGGCCCCTGCTCCTCGGGGGGAACCTCCCCCTTCTTGGCCTGGAAGGGACAGTGGTGACATGGGTCCGAGGGCTCCAGGGTCAGTGCCCAGTCAGTGCTTACAGGGGGCAGAGGTGGGGGAGGCGTGGCCCTGTGGAAGGTAACCAGCTCGGGCACAGCCTGCCTGAAAACTGGCCCCACAGAGTTGCTCATGTCCCCAGGGCCCTGCGAGCTCAGGACTCTCAGACTCGACTCAGAAACCCGCTGAATGCGCCCAAGACCTGCAGAGCGGGCGGATCGGGAAGGAATGCAAACCAAGCGGCCGGCGGGACAGAAGTCAGCCCCAGAGCCGGTTCCGCGGAACCGAACTCGGCCCAACCGCACTGAATGGAGGGGAATCAAACTTCACTGGGTTGAAGGAACCTCAGGTGAAGTCGGGGATTCAATCTGATGGACACGTCCAAGAGCAACGTCAACAAACTGCAAATCAACAAACTGCAAATAAACAGGCTCCGACTCAGCCCAACCCACTCAAGGCAACCGGAGGCCCCCCAACCCACGTCCCTGCAGGGCACCCACTCTTCTCGGCCCAGCAGAGCTTCAGAAACGAGCCCCCTCCACGGACAAGATCCCATTAACCGACTTCACTGAGAACAGCTGCATCTGACCCACACCCCAGCTCACCCCGACTCAACCCTGTGGAGAACAACCTGACGGAGGGAACGGAGCGGATGCCGAGTGGAACACAATGGACGGGTGGAAATGAACGAGTTCAAGCTCCAGCTCAGCCCAGTCCAGTTAATTCTGTTGACTAATTTGTCAAGAGCAATCTCGAGCCCAGCCGACCAAACAGCAGTAAACGAAAGGACACTGATTCAGGTGAACCCAGCCAGTTCTACCAGTTCACCTCGACTCAGTTCAGTCCAGTGATCGATGTCACCCAAATCAATCGAGTGTGAGGGCACACAGCGGGGTCCAGGGATGATCTCAGCTAGGGTGTCTCGTCCTAACAGAAGCCAGGCCAGGGGACACCCTGGCTCCCACCGTCCCCCAACTTCCCCATCTCAGTGCTAATTACCTGGTTGTCAATTTCCAACTTGAACAACTTTGCCTCCTTCTAGAATATCCACTCCCCCAAGCCTCATCCGCAATCCCGGGACATTATGTGCACAGACAAGTGTTTGTTGAATGATCTCAAATCAGTTGAGTTCAAATGGTTAAAAATGAAATTCTTTAGAATTTTTTTTTTTTTTAGTTGTAGATGGACACCATGCCTTTATTTTGTTTATTTACTTTTATGTGGTGCTGAGGGCCGAACCCAGGCCTCACACGTGCCAGGCCAGCGCTCTACCGCTGAGCCATGGCCCCAGCCCTAAAAATGAATTTTCTATTCAAGAAATTCCACTCAACTTGTCTCGAGTGACTGATCTTCTCCCAGGCTCACCGTTTTGGGCCCAACTCAACTCAGCAAGCAAATTCCCTGAGCGCCTACTGTATGCCCAAGGCTCAGCACTTAACTGGACTTGATCTGAAGCTTCTCTTATCAAATCTCTCCCCCAATCCTGAGATGGGGGCTCAGAGCTCCCCATAAAGACGACACTGAGGCTCAGAACGGTTGAGTCCCTCGAGAAGGGGCAGGGCCGGGATGGGGGCCAGGGCCGGGCTGGTGTCCCTGCTGCCCTCTGCGCGGGCTCCTCACCGGGTCGGTCTGGTACTCGCGGCTGTAGAGTTCGTGGCAGTTGTTGAAGATGTACTCGTAGGTGGAGTTGAGGCAGGCCTTCACGCAGTCCTTCACCACCTGGCTGGCACGGGGCGGGCTCTGCAGCTCTTGTACCTGAAAGGAGGACGCGGGCAGGGGTGGGCACAACCGGGCAGGGGCACCCAGGAAGTAGCCACGATCACTCTGGGTTCAAGAACTGAAGCAGCGGTGTGAGGCAGAAGGTCAAAACCACAAGGAGAGATCACGCACCCTTCAGAACCAAAGGGAGCTGGGGAGGTCGTGGAGAGAAGGGGACCCCGCACACTGGGAATGTCAGTCCCACTATGAAGCCACCACGTAAGCATACGGAGGTTCCTCAGAAAGTTAAAGATAGCCAGCCGGGTGCGGTGGTGCACGCCTCTAATCTCAGCAGCTCGGAAGGAGGCTGAGGCAGGAGGATCGCGAGTTCAAAGCCAGCCTCAGCAAAACTGAGGCGCTAAGCAACCCAGTAAGCCCCTGTCTCTAAACAAAATACAAAATAGGGCCGGGGAGGTGGCTCAGTGGTTAAACGTCCCTGGGTTCAATCCCAGGTACCAAAAAAAAAAAAAATTGTTTTTTAAATTAAACACAGAACTATCATATGGCCCAGCAGCCTCCCTCCTGGGTATGCATCCAGAGGAAACGAAATCAGTATGTAGAAGAGACACCTGTGCCCTGGGCTCACACACCACTCACAAGAGCCATGGAGTGGAAACAACCCGAGTGGCCATCAACCGAGGGGTAGGGGGAAAATGGGGCGGTGTATGCACCTAGCGGAATACCATTTGGCCACTAAAAAAGAACGAAATCCTGGCCCCTGCAGCCACACAGATGCAACTGGAGGCCACCGCGTTAGGTGAAAGGATCCAGACACAGGAAGACCGACGGCCACAGCCTCACCACATGCAGATCTAGAATGTGACCTCGTAGGAGGTCGGAGTAGAGTGGCGGTCAGCAGAGGCGGGTGGGGACAGGGAGGGGCGACCGAGGACAAGAAGCCACAGTTAGATGGGAGCCAGAATCCTGCAGGACCCTCCCCATGGCACTCCAGGGGCTCAGGTCCCCTCTCCTACCTTCATCCGGAAGAAGGTGATGCTGGTGAGGAGGTCCACAGTGGACTTGAGGTCCTGGAGTCGCTCGGGGCTGCTGGCTGGGAAGTTATTCTGTTGGAGCGAGAGGAGAGGCGGGCTAGGAAGCAGGCTGGGGGGCGGGAGTCAGGGCATGGGGGGTACCGGAGCTCCCAAGTTTCAAGAGGCGGGCTGGAGGGTGACAGGGTGTGCCTGGCTGCCCCAAGCCAGCGGGCAGTACTGCCCGCCGGGGGGCATCCCACGTGTTAGGAGGCTCCTCTGTGCACAAGCCTCTCGGTAGCCGTCCCCTTTAGGCACACACAGAGGCATGACACGTGCGCTTCTCACCCGGTACATGGAGAGGTCGATCCTCAGGGAGTTGTGCAGCTGGTCTAGCAGTTTCACAAAGCGCTCTTTCTGAGGAGGCAGGGGGATGGAGGATTGATGGAGGCCGGCCTTAGTGGTCTAGAGAAGTCACTGACAGTGGCTGCCAGTCCCCATGAGCAGAACCCTCATCACATCTATTTTCCTTCTACATCATTCTACAGAGGACCAAGCTGAGGCTTAGAGAAGGAGAGTGACTGGTGCAAAGTCACACAGCAAGTCAGGTCCAGGTTGGGAAACCAGGAGTCAAGCAAGACCTGGCAGCAATGCGCTGGGTTCCCCCTCACCCTTCTGCACCCAGCCCTGGGACTGACCCCGAAGTTGGAGGCTGCAAAGCGGTCGGAGGCAGACACGTTGGTGGAGGCGGTGGTGTGCGCATAGTAGGCGTTGATGTTGGCGAGCAGGGTGCTCATGACGGCGGGCACACCGGGGCACATGTACTTGGAGGAGAGGCAGGCAAAGTGGCTGGCGAGAGGAGTGGGAGGCACTGGGACGGGGCCAAGATGGGCGGAGGCCCCCAAGGTGCCTCCAAGGGGCACCAGCAAATGGCACCCTCACCCCCCAAACCAGTTCCCATCCTTCTGCCCCTTCTGTCCCGATTTCTCTGTGCCTCCTGCCCCCACCTTTCCAGACTTCTGGGTGGCGCTGCAGCTTCTAACCCAGTCTCCTCCCTGTCCTCTAGCTGTTACCAAGGGCGCCCTACTGGCCTCCCCGGGAACTGCACCACCCGCCACGCCCACTCCCTCTCTGGCGCTTGCTCCTAAGACCTCTCCAGCCCACATCCGCCAGCGTCCACTCCGGGCCCCTCCCGCTTTCCACACGCCCCCGCCCCGGGCTGCGGCCTCACGTCATGGCTTGGTAGATGGACTCGACGCCGTAGCGCATGGCGAACTCGTCCACGATCTCCTGCGCCGTCTCGTCGTAGTACACCTTCCAGGCGTCGTCCCCCTTGGCGTCCGGGATCTTCACCACCCCGTTGTTCTGCACGTCCGTCACGAAGTGGAACAGGTTCTGCGGCCACGGGGAGCCGGGGTCATGATGGAGGGCGCGAGGGACAGCAGGGGCCCGAGCTCCCCGGCATGTCGCCTGCCCGCCTGTGCGTGCCTTCGTTTACTGAGCTGCCGGTTCACCCACCCACTCACCCAGCCGTCCGCCCGGCCCCTCCACATTTCACCCAGCCTTCCAGTAACCCAGCCACACAGGCACTGCCCATCCACGTCCACCCACGGCTCTGCCACGCGTCTAGCTGCCATCCACCATCTATCCATCCGTCGATTCACCCACCCACCCATCTATGCACCCGCCTGTCCATCCACCGTCTCGCCCATCCATCCCACTGCCCCCAAGTCCCTCATCCTTCCTTTTATAATTCAACCACATATCCATGCATCCATCCCATAACCTGTCCACAACTTAACCCATCTATCCAATCTGTCCGTCCTGACCTCCGCTCACCACCCATGTTCCCTCCTCCACCTGCCAAAACCTAGCTGCGCATCTTTCCAATAAGTCTGCGCCATGCCCCCAGCCCCACCATCTCCCCCAGTGTGGTCTCTCCAGCCAAGGGTTCATCCAGCCTCCCACACCCATCGACATCAGCCAACAGCACCTGTCAACTCATCGCCATCATCCATCTTTCCACCCAGTCACCTCTACTTGGAGTGACTCACCAGACTCCTGACTCCGCCCCTCTGCTCTTATCCATCTATTCAGCTCACTCATTCTCTTACCATATCTCTGCCTGTCTGTTCACTATCTTAACACTCACTCATCCATCAATCGCTCATTCATTTATCAGCATTCATTTAAAAAAAAAAAGAGTCCTGAGTATATAGTTCCCTCCAGAAGCCCCCAGGCAGCCAAAAGAGACAGATGGACACTCAGAGTCCAGCCCGGGATGGAAGGAAGGCCACGGAGTTGAGGGGCGGGGAGTTGGCCTGGAAGTCAAGCAGGGCTTCCCAGAGGAGGAGGCCCTGGAGTCCGACCTTGAGGGGTGGAGAGGAGGCCTTCAGGTAGAGGGGATGGCACAGGGACTGTCTGAGAGGGACTGGGGCAGGGTGTGCATAGCTCCAGAGGACAGGGCGGAAGTGGCCAGCAGTAATGGCAAGGGGCGGGCAGCAGGAAGGTCCCAGCACAGAATTCTCAGCAGCTTTGACGGTGGCTCAGCGGGGCTCACCTCGTGCAGACAGGTGTACTGGACATGGTAGGGGGCCACCTTCTCCTCGCCCTTGATCTCTACGCTGATGTGTAGCCGGATGGCGCCAGACACTGCGGATTTGTCTGTTCTCTTATCTGCAGGGCAAAAGGGGCTGGTGATCCCAGAACTCTGAGCACAACCCTGGGCTCCTTTATGTCTGCACCATTCTCTTGTCCTTCCAGGCCTGGGGGTCTCCCTGGGCTTCTGTCTCCTCCCTCAGACTAGAGTTCCTTAGACCCTGCCTCTGCCTTCACACAGGGTCCTAGACCTGGATTCTTCACTAAGATTAAGTTCTTTTATGGGGTGGGGCATGCCAGGGATTGAACTAAGAGGCACTCGGCCACTGAGCCCCATACCCAGCCCTATTTTGCATTTTATTGAGAGACAGGGTTTCACTGAGTTGCTAAGTGCCTCACTTTTGCTGAGGCTGGCTTTGAACTTGAGACCCTCCTGCCTCAGCCTCTGGAGCCACTGGGATTCCAGGCGAGCACCAAAGTGCCCGGCAGGATTAAGCTCTTGAGTCTGAGTCTCTCTCCTTAGACTAGCAGCATCCCCAAACTGAAGTCTCAGGCCCCAGCTCCTCTCAGACGCTCTACCCAGCAACTGGTCATCTTCCCAGGCAGGTTTGATGGGTTCAGGCCTCTCTCCTCAGTCCAGGGTCTCCAGGTCTCACTTTCTGCCTCCACAGTCAAAAAGAGATACCTGGATGTCTCCTAACCCATGAATGATGCTCGTGATCTCTGCTCATCCCTCCCAGATTGTGCTCTTCCTACACCCTCAGACTATACTCATGCACACTCCTCCTCCCTCAGATGGTGCTCCCCAGATTCTACGCATCTTTTTAGACATGGGTCTAGGTTCTGTGGGGCTCCGCTCAGATTGGGATTCCCAAATCATAGCCCCCTCCTTAGACTAGATTCTCAAAGCTCAATCTTTCTTCTCAGATTGGGTCTCTGGGTCTGCATCTCTCCCCTCAGACTGGATTCCCAGGCTTTGCTTCCTGCCTCCCATGTGAGACTGGGCTATGGAGATTCTGCCCTTCCCCTTCTTTCTTCCTATAGCAAATTAAGAAGTTCCTGGGCTCTGCTCACCTTCTCAACCTTGGTGTTTCCTGCCCCTACCAAGTTGGGCACATGGACCCTGCCTTCCCCACCAGATGAACTTTCTCAACCAAACTCCTTCTGAGACCCCAGCTCCCCACTCCGCTGGGCTCCCTGCTCTGTCTGGTTACCTGGGGACTGTCCCTGCCTCGCTCACCCAGATTGTACCACACGTCCATCTCGCCGCTGAGCGTCCGAACCTCGATGATAGTCTGCCCCAGGAAGTCATCGGACTCCCTCTTGAACCTCTGCTTCACGCGGGATTTGATGTCATCATCCTCATCCCAGACGCGGACCTTGATGCGGTCAGAGGAGTTGTGACATTCACTGCACAGGGAGGAGGAGGCAGGGACAGGGATCAGGCAGCTGGCACGTGCTGGGTCTTGGGACCCTCTCTAGCTACCCCAGAAGTGAGCTCTAGGTGGGGCTGGGGACCCAGCCAGGTGCTTACAAGTGGAAATTCTCTTCCCACACGGGGTTGAGGTTCCCATAGATGGTTTTTGTCCGTTTCTTGGTCTTCCCAACCTGGACTGTGACATAAGGGTCACTGGATCCCGTCTTGTCCTTTGCCTGCAAGCCTTGGGCACAGACCACTAGAAGACACAGAGGACAGATATGGAGATCAGGGTCAGGCACACCAAGAACAGGTGCTCCACATGCTCCAGGCTGTTCACCGGGGACATTGTGACCTGACCTCAGCACAACAGCAGGGCACACTAGGCTTGCCAGAGATTTAACACAGATGGTGCCCTTGGCCCATGTAGGATGGCAAAGTACCCAGCCACCTCGCCCATGGGTAGGACTGCTCTCAGCCACATGCACATTCTGTGCTGTCTCCCAGAGGTCCCCAGGAGGACTCAGTCCCAGCTGCACAGGAAATCATCTGCTCACTTGCGCCCCCTGCAGGCTCCACCCTAGACTCAAGTCCCAGTCTCCCACCTGGGTCTCCTGGGGTCAAATCCTGGAACACCTACTTGCCCTGAAATTCTCCTCCTCAAGTTCAAATGCGGTTGGGTGTGGATAAACATCCCAGGGCTCTTGCCCTTGGGTGGGATCACTCAGAGACATACGCTAAACATTGTCCCCTAAGGTCATCCAAGAATCTGAGCCCTAGTTGTCACAGTATTGCCTGCTCATTGGCACCACCTGCAGGGATCCTTTCTTTGATGTCCTACTCCCCAGCCTTCCCCTGGGCCTCTGAACCACGTGCCCTCAACTTTCTTGAGGGTCTCGTTCATTGAGCTTGTGTAGATGGCGAGCACACGCAAGAACTTGGAACAGACAGGGACACACCCAAGTACAACACAGCAAAGCAGAGAGTCCTGGGCGTGGAGTAGAGCCCAGGGGCTGAAAAGGAGGGGCCGTGCCACGCCCTGCGCCTCACCAGTGATGCTGATCTTGGCTGACCACTTGGACGTGCCGTCCAGCACGCTCTGCTTGACTGCCTTCATCTGCTGCGTGTGCGCCGTCTTGGTCACAGCGAAGATTTCCTGGATGAGCTCGAAGATCTCGGGCTTGTTGCGCTCCCGGATCTTCATGCGGTCTTTGAGCACCATGATGATGTTCTGTGTCCTGTCCTCCGCCCCGTGCTTGGAGCTCTTCTCCGCGGCCCCTGCGGACGTCCATGGCTATCACTGTCCCAGTGCATTCCACCCAGAGGAGCCAGCAGCCCCACCCGAAGAGCTCCCTTGGTTGGGACCACCTGCATTTTATGCCATGGGGACTCAGAAGTCACCTTCAGAAGTTAGCTTCCTACCTGCTCCGAGTCTCTGAATGCCCCTACACAGGCGTTTCACCCTGAGGTCCTCTGGTTCTGAGCCCCGCCCCTCGTCCTCACCCCTCCTTAGGCCACGCCTCCCAGGAGACACACCCTCCTCCTCCTCACCATTGAACCACGCCCATTTTGAGTCCCCACCCACTTGGAGTCCCCACCCACTTGGAGTCCCCGCCCATTCAGAGTCCCTGCCCGCTATGTGTCCTCCCCTCACGTGGAGTCTTCTCCCCTCTCTGAACCAGGTGTCCTTGGTGTCTGGCCCTCTCCGAATCCTTTTCCCTGAGCCCCACGCCGTCTCAGCCCAGCTTCTTGTGAGTCGTCACCCCTGTCCCAGCCAGCTGCTCCCCAATCCTGAACTGAGCACATCCTCGCCACCTGAGGCGTAGCCCCTCTTAGACACTTCTGCCCAGTCCTTCCCAGTCACCCCCGCGTCTCCGCCCCCTTCCAAGCCTCTTCCTCTGTAGCCTCTCCCACTCTGAGCTGGTTGCTCCCTGGGATCCCTCCCTTCGCCCCACGGACCCAAACACTAGGCTTATTTTTCTCCAAGGAAAACGCCTCTTTCCATTAACTCCGCCCCTTGCTCCGCCCCACCCCTCTTTGACCCCTCACAGCTCCCGTCCCCGCCCTCGATCCCCTAACTCAACCTCCTAATCCTCCTGTTCCGCCTGCCTGTCTTATTCCTCCTCCTAGCCTTGTCCCTCCTGGGAAGCCCGCCCAGGTCCCTGCAGCAGTCAGAGGTCCCCGCCCAGAGGTGCCCCTGAGCTCCGCCCCTAGCCTGGTCCCGCCCACCGCCCCGCCCAGAGGCGCCCCAGCACTCTGCACTGGGCACTTGGCACTCCGTGAGCACAGACCCCGAACTCACGCTGCAGGCAGTCGGCGTTAAGCAGGTCCTGGCACTTCTCATGGCACTTGACGCCGCACTCGGTGCAGCGCATGCCCTGCCGCGCGATGCCCCACAGCAGCCCCTCGCACTCATAGCAGTAGGTGGGCGTGGTGGCCGTCCACACTTCGAAGTTGTGTGGCGTCGTGCAGGAGATGGGGTAGATTAAGGCTTGCAGGGTCTTCTTGTAAACGTGGTTTTTCTGCGGGGATGGAGGGAAAGCAGCATGGGCCCCTGCCAGCCCTAACCTGGGGGGCACTGCCCGTCTTGTGTCCTCTCCCCCACCCCCATGCTGAGCGCTGTAAAGTCCCAGTCCCTCCCTTCCCCAAGTTGCTCATCTGTGTCACACCCCTTCTCTTCCTGGAGGACATGAGAGGCTTGGACACTTCCAGGAGCTCCCGCGCCCCCCCCTCCCAGTTCATCCCTAACTCAGGGAGGGGTGGTGCCCCACACACCAGCTCTTCGTTGTTCAACGTGCTCGAGGCCAAGGCCGAGGTGATGCCAGCTTTTCTGGACTGGACCAGAGACTGGGGCAGGAAAGTCACAAAGGGAGTCACAGCCACAGATGGGAAAGGTCAGCGCAGATTGGGGCCACCAGCCACGGATGGGAGTCACCACAACCAATTGGAAACAGGTCACAGACAGCAGCGACAGCAGACCCAGCAGAGAATAAGAAGTGACAGAGGCTGAGTCAGGAGCTACTCTGGGAGGTGAGCAGCCCTGCACCTCTGACTTGCAACCGCCCACCACAGATAGGCTTGGGGGTCACACTTGGCTGTGATCACCAGCCACAGAGCAAAACCATCAGCCACTCCGTGAACCAAGGTAGGTGAAAGGTGGGAAGTCAGAGGTGGGAATCAAGGTTCCCCCAGAACCCACGATTAGGGGAAAGGTGGAAGATCCCCCATGTAGGTGGATTTGGAGAGGAGACCCCGGGGGGCCCAATTCACCATCACTCACCATGGCCTGAAGTGTCCACGAAGCACGTGGGATAGAAATCAGATTACATTAGTCACAGAAAATGCCTAGCCAGGCCCCTGTCCCAAGACCACCATGAGTAGTTGTACAGGTTGCGCATGCTCACATCTGCCCGGTAGTGAAAGGCACAGGCGCTTACCAGATCGCTCACAAGTGGAATGGGCTTCCTCTTGCGGATGTCCGGCATGCTGTCTATGATGATGAGACCGCCCCCAGGGCTGTAAGACACACAAGGACATGAAGGAAGGCCCAGGTGTCACCAGCTCCCATGCAGATATCACCTGAAGCCTGTGCAGGATACTCAGGTGTCAGGGGTTCAGCTGTGTCCCACAGAAAGATATGCTGAAGCCCTGACCCCCAATAGTTTAGGATGTGACTTTATTTGTTTTGTTTTGTTTTGTTTTTGTGGTGCTGGGAATGGAACCTAGGGCCACACCCCCAGCCCCACTGACCTCCACCCCAACCCCAAGATGTGACCTTACTTGGAAATAGGGTTACTGCGGTTATGATTAGTTAAAATGAGGTCTTAGTGGAGTAGGGGGCCCTTAATCCAACATGACTGGTGTCCTTATTGAAAGATAGTCATGAGACAACGTGGGTGAGTGTCAGAGCGATGCATTCACAGACCAAAGGGCTCATGGTTTGGAACAAACACCAGAAATCAGAAGGGGGGAGAGAGAGAGAGAGAGAGAGAGAGAGAGAGAGAGAGAGAGAAAGAGACTGTCCCTATACAGATTTCACGGGACATATGGCCCCACCAATACCTTGATTTAAGACTCCGGGCCTCCAGAGCCGTGAGAGAATAAATTCCCATTGTTTTAAGCCACTGAGTTTGTGATAATTGATTACAGCAGCTCTAGGAAATGAAGATTCAACTTCCATGGCTGGGAAATGGGGTGATGATGCAGGTGTCCGCATTAAATGAGAAATTTAATTAAAGCAAGTCTCAATGCTATACTAAAATATATAGGGAAACTTTCTGATGCTCAACATTGGAAATACGTGTGCATTTTCAAAATCTATCTAAGGAGTGAGTCCCAAGATGATGGAAGCGAGAACAGGAATTGTTTGCGCTATTATTGCCTTTTCACAGTTTTGCCTCAGCTTCCAAAAAACGGCTGCAGTGGCAGATGTGGTAGTGATTTCTCAGAACCCTTCTTACTGAGAGGTGTGGCCATCCTTTGAGATTTCAGGGCGTGGCTCCTTTCTGAAGGTTCCCATTGGTCAATGGGAGATCCCTGGCAGCCAATGACTGTGGACGAGGCCTCACAGTGGCTCCAGACTGAGAGTTAAAAGGCGCCTGGACCACAGGTGTGTTGGGCTGCTTCCCTGGCCCAGCACGGCCTGCCTCGCAGGTCTCTCCTGAGAGCCCCTGTCCCATAAATCACTAGCGCAGGAATCCCCATCTCAGGCTCTGCATCGGGGGCAATCCCCAGCAGGGGCACCGGCTCATTTAATCATAGCCACTTATCTCCCTGCCTCTGTTCACAAAGGATGTGCAAGGAAGGGAAAGAGGTCATTCTCTTGCTGCTATTTTCAAACACGAATGTCATTAAAAATTATCTTGTGCATCCGGTAACACCAGCCAATACCCCTGCAAATCTTAAGACGTCAGCTCCGACAGCATGCTCCAATTAAGTCTAAATGACTGTCGTCAATTGAAAAGCCATCAACTGTAGCGAGAATCTGAGAAATTTAAAAACAGAATCGAAGCAACAAATGTGCTCCAGGGTTGCAGATGGAGGACGTGGGAATTCGTTTCTGCTTTATCTTAAATTTATTTCTGCTGGGTGTGGTGGCACGTGCCTGGAGTCTCAGTTTCTTGAGAGGCTGAAGCAGGAGGATATTTGAGGGCAGTGATTCGAGGCCAGCAATATCGGGCAATATAGGGAGACCCAATTTCAAAACAAAACAAAACAATTTTCCAAGGAGAAATGGCCTTGAACTATACAAGTTCCTTAAACAGAGCACACATCTCTCTGGACTCAGTTTCCCCATCCATAACCTAAAAGCAGCAGAGCCTCTCAATTATTCAATATCTTTAGATCAGTTCAAAGATTGCCATCTTTAGCATATGAGTGTGGTTAAGGGCCATAGGTCGTGGCCACATTATTTTTAACACCTTCATTACTGAGGATTGAGCCCAAGGGTGCTCTGCCACTGAGCTACACCCCAGCCCTTTTTAAGTTTGAGACTGAGTCTTGCTAAGTTGCCCAAGCTGGCCTCAAACTTGCTACCCTCCTGCCTCAGCTACCTGAGTAATTAAGATTACAGGCACGCACCACCATGTCCTGGCCACATTACCTTGCCCAATATCCGTCTCCTCTCTAAATGAGGCCACCCGTCGGCCCCACTAGGCTGGCCCTCACATGCAGATGAGCCTTAAGCTATGAGTTCAAAAATTACTTCCATTTCCTTCAGTACTGTTTCTTACCCGCCCTTGAACCAAAGGGATTTGGACATCTCTCCTTCTCCTCGGGCCTGCAGGACAGACAGATGGACATGGTCAGTGTGGTTGTCCTCCAATCCTACGGCAGACTGCAATTCAATTCTGTTTCCCCTTTGAGTTTGGAGTCAGGAACCTGGGTCCTACTCCCAGCTGTGTGTCCTTAGGGAGTTCTCCAGATTTCTCTGAGCCTTAGTTTGTCCATCTTTAAAGTGGGCTGGGGGAGATTTCTCTCTGTCACCAACTTCAATCAAACCTCATTTGTCAAACCTGGGGGTTTGTTAGCATCATCCCCAACAAGAGCTTGTCCTCTGTAGCTCTGGGATTACAGGAAGCAGTGCTCTTCTGAAATAATGATGAAATATTTTGCATATCCAATTTCTTCCCTTTGTGGTGCTGGAACCCAGACTTTGCAAGTGCTCCACCACTGAGCCACACCCAGCCAGAATGTCACTCATCTTTAAGTGTTACCTCCTCTAGGAAGCTTTCCTGATCACCTTGGGGGTAGTTTTATGTTCTTCTGTGAAACCCAGCTAACCTGCCCAAATTTATTTTTCTTGTCATATCACTAGTTCCACCAGCAACAGTGAAGGCTGCATTTAACTTGCTGACTTATAGAAAGTTACTCAATAGACTTTTTTGTTTTTTACTAAATACTCTTTCTTCTCTTTCAAATTTAGAATCATGTGAATGTTTTGATTAGTCAAAAATAATATAAAATTCCATTTCAAAACAAATAAGGCATTTGGTTTGAAATTTCTGAGACTTTGATATTTAATGGTCTCAGGTGTTTGTTTAGGGTCTTCTGCCAGCCTCACCCCAGCTTGAAAGGTCACTGTGGATGACACAGCCCTGGTGGGCGGAATGAAGGAATAATGAGTGGCTTCAACCCCACTGCCCATTTGCAGTCAACCCAGAAGTGAAATCTTTCACTTTATTTCTTCTCTGATGCTGACCCAACCTCACATCTTTCTCTAATCTGGACAATGACCTACAATTTTTAACAGGGAAAACCCTAAATAAACCCTCTGGCTTCACTTTCTCTTAATAGATCTAAAAATCACTAATCTTGGAGGGCATGCAGCCGGGAAATACATTGTTAGTCTCCCACTAGCTTTGCTGTAGATCACATCCCTAACGTCTGGCTATGTGATCATGACAGTTGCCTAGGTTACTCTTCCAGGACCTGAAGGTCACTTTTTGGGAAAACGCCGACTCTTCCCTTGGTCCTACAGGCATCCATGCTTACTGGCGTCTGTCTCCCCTGCTGTCTTAATCTTTGGGTCAGATTCTGCTCAGCTCTGCATGTTGACATGTTGATCATTTGAGAAGTGGTTCTTCCAAAACTAGAATACAGGGTTAACTCCACCGAGGCTCTCTCTGCCTTCAAGGCTCAAGACACCTACCAGCCAGCAAGGAGTAAAAAGAGGTGGCACCTCAGTTCCTGGAGATCTCAGCCTAGGCCCCTAAAGACATAAATATTCCTCCCCTGTATTAACCTACCTCTCATAATAAATTCCTCTTTTTCCACCTAACGTCCTTGAAAGTCCTCCCTGTGCCAAGCAGAAGCCCTTAATGGAAGACTTGGCTGGGCACCTCCTTCTGGCCTCCTGTCCGTGCCTACCTCCAGGAGGCTAAAGCCTGGGGTCTCTGACCTTCCTTTCCCAGCCTCACATCCCCTGTCTGCAAAGGTGCAGCACTGCCCAGCAGGCCAGAGCAGCAATGGGCGGGGCCAAGCAGGTGTGGGCCAATTTGGCTGTGGAGGCAGCGAAGGCAGGGCTGCAGGAGGTGGGAAATGGGCGTGGCCAAGCTGTCTTTAGGCTGGGTGTGGGCAAGGCCAGGGCACAGGGATCAAGTTGGCAAGGGTGCGAGGTGGCGCGCAGCATGAGGAAGCTATGGCAGGAAAGGGTCAGGGTGAGCGAGGCGCGGCGGGATGTGGGAATACCAGCAGGAACAGGAGAGGGGAGTTGGGCGTGGCCAATTAGCCTGAACGGGTCAGTGGGTGGGGTCAAGCTGCGTGAGGGTGTGGTATTGGGCGTGGTCAAGCTGGTGGGGGCGGGGCTGCGTGCTGCTCACTCACCTCCTGCAGCTGCATCCGCACTTTGTTGAAGGCTCGCAGCCAGTTGGCCTTGGCCCTGGACATGGAGTCCTGACCCTCCTGGCCTTCCTCATCCTCCCGTGGCCTGAAACTGAGGCAGGGAACGTGATGAGCTGCCAGGGCCATGATCCCTTCCCCCGACCCTCTGTCTTCCAAGCCATGCACGCTGTGGCCTCTCTGGCTCCTTAGAATCGCTATCACCCTCCGGACTCACCCCCCTGATCCCTTCACAGCCAGAACCCCCTGGCCCCTCTGGCCCTTGGTAATTCCGTTTGTCCCTGGTCATTCAGATGCTCTGAGGCCTCTCCTGTCTCAGCAGCCCTAAGGTCACGCCCCTAAGAGCCTTTCATGAACCCACTCACCCACCTTGTCACCTCTGAGTCCTTCAATAAATGCACGGCCCTGTGACACTCCAGACCCACAACTGCCCAGGTCCACAATCACACCCTTCATGGCCTTGCTGACCCATGACCTTGACCCAGCCCCTCCGAGCCCCTCAGCCCCGTCTGTTACCTCTCCTCAGCCTTGGGGGGTTCAGGCTCCGGTGCTCCAGGCACCTCTTCAGGTGTGGGTGGCTTGGAGGTCGCCTTGGGCACATCGGGGGCCTCCGTGGGCAAGGTGGGGGCCTTGTCCTCCTTCTCGGGAGCAGCTGGCGGGTGGCTCAGGCGCTTGAAGTCTTTGGGCTCCGCTGCAACTGACTCCTGCTGGACATAGCTGCCCAGGTCGTCGGGCACCTCCTCCTCCTCCTCCTCTTCCTCCTCCTCCTCCTCCTCTTCCTCCTCCTCCTCGGGCAGCTCCTCATCCTCCAAGTCCTCCTCCAGGTCCTCCTCCAGGTCCTCCTCCAGGTCCTCCTCATCCTGGTCCCAGCGGGGCGAGTCTTTGTGGTAGCTCACGGAGCTGTGGCAGGAGTGGTAGGAGTCGCGGTCCCGCTCGTCCTCCAGCTCGGAGCCCTGCAGGCTCTGCTCGTCGGGGTCGAAGTCCTCGCTCAGCTGGGAGCTGCCCTGGCTGAGCTCTCCCGAGGAGGCGTAGTGGCTGCTGCCGGTAGGGCTGCGGGATGGGATGGGACGGAGCTCAGGGCTGGGGTGCCCCATCACTGACCCTGAGCCCCATCATCACCCTGGCGTTCACTCTGCATCAATTGAGCACCTGCTGTGTGCATGCATACAGTAGGCACCAAGAAACACAGCTGAGAACAAAAAGACCCAAGTCCCTGCTCTTGTGGCATTTACATCTGCCTGTGAGGCTCTGGGGTCTCTGTGCCCCCTGAGGATGCTGCTCAGGTCTGGGGGTCCTAGATCAGCTCCCTGCTACAGCCTCCATGGTCACCTGGTGCTTCCAGAACTCGAATGTGGCCACGCCTGGCTCTTGGTGTCCTCCTGTGTCCTCCCACCATGAATTCCTCTGGACTCATCAGTACCTGGGCCCTCTTGCCTCTGTTCCTTGCCAGCCACCCACAACCCCCACCGCAGCAGGTCCCCGAGCCTCCGCCTCAAATATATATGGGAGGCCCAGGGGGTGGCTCAGTGACAGAGCACCAGTCTAGCAAGCGTGAAGCCCCGCACTGAAAAAATAAAAATAAAGATTAGGAAATGCTGGGGCTGGGGTTGGAGCTCAGTGGTAAAGTGCTCGCCTAGCACATGAGAGACTCTGAGTTCGATCCACAGCATCACATAGAAATAAATAAAATAAAGGTATATGTCCAACTACAACTAAAAAATAAATATTAAAAAAAAGGGTAGGAAATGCATCCACTTTCCTAAGTCCTGGGTCTAGACTCTGTCCCAACATCTACTCCTGTCCCCAATGGACCCTGCTCCCTTAAAGGCCACAAGGGAACCATAAAGCAAATTGCATCCCTCTCTTGTTGCAAATCCTACCATGGCTCCCTAGTACCTTGCAATAAAACCTGTGCTCAGCCTCATGGGGCCCAGGCTCCCAGCCTCCCACCCCGACCTCCCTCCACTTTCCCACACCCTCCACCGCAGCCTCCTCACTGTTCCTTCAACACCCTCAGTTTACGACCAACACCGGGCCTTCTCAGAGGCCAACACCCTTCCTTGCTGGCTTTACCTGGTAAACTCTTACTCATCCTTTAGGACCCACTGAAATGTCCATTTCCTGGGTGTGTTCACACTCACTGGCCAGGTCAAGCCCTCATTATATGCTCCTTATGTGCACCCTGGATTGTTCTCTTCATGACCAGAGAAAATTACCTGTCTCTGCCCTAGGAAAGGCGGGCCAGCCCGGGGCCCACCACTAACCTTCCAACAGACGCTCTGGTCATTCAAAGCATGTCATTTGTCCCCATCTTAAATACTGTTTCCAGCCTCAGTGCTGAAGACTCTCTTCCCCAGCCAGTCCTGGGGGTGCTTTAGGGATCATAAGAGGGGCTTCTCCCTCAAGTCCTTTTTTGCTAGATTGTGTGTTTAGTTAGTTGCTTTTTAGCACTGACCTACTAGCCACCAGAGAGAGGCTGAGGGAGCAGCAGCGATTAGCAGGCGCTGAAGGACTAGGGCGCCCTCTGCTGGTGGATTCTTCAAAGTCCACCCCGGCACATTCTAGGTGACACGGTAGGGCTGGGGTCCCAGCTTGTCCACCTGCAAACTTGGCCACCATATAAACTGGTTTAACAGGCTTCGTTTCCACTTCTCAAACTGAGGGGTGGTACTCGGTGATCCCCAAGACTTCTCCCAGCCCAGGCTCTGACATTCGGAGGCTGATACCACTCAGGTGCCTCCCCAGGCTCCCCTGCCCTTGAACCAGCCTTCTCAGAGGCCAACACCCTTCCTTGCTGGTTTTATCTGGTAAATTCTTACTCATCCTTTATAGGTGTGCACCACCACTCCTGGCTGGCATTCCCTGAAATTTTACACCTGAAATGAGTTTCTTGTTCCTGGGCTCAAGATCTAGGGCTAACTTTCAATTGCATGATTCCGCCCCCTCACCCTTCCAGCCCCGAGCCACTGTTTCTGCTGCCTGGAATCCCTTTCCCCTCCTGGGATGACATAGTCACCCTTGAAGGGGGGAGCCATGCACCCTCCTCCAGGAAGCATTCCCTGTCTTCCCACACCACCATAATGCCGCGCCCTGTCCCTCCCTCCAGCTGAGCCCTGGCCTGTGGGATGACAGTTCCAGTGGCCAGCCTCTTGGAGCCCAGCATCGGCTAGGATGGCCACAGAGGGTGACGCGAGTTGCTCAGGGGACACAGGTGGTTCCTGCCCCTGTGTCTATCCCCCATTCTGGAAAGTCTCCTTCACCCATGCACGGCCAAGCTTGGGTTGGGGGTCTCCTCCTTCCTGCTCTGCACCACCCCCTGTGCGTTCTCAGAAATGTGCACAATAGGCAGGACTCCACCAGGGACAGATGGATAGACATCAGGCCAGAGAAGAATGTGAAATGGCCACGTACACAAGATAAGAGGTGAAGGTCAAGCTACACCAGCCAGAGCTGGACGGACACCAGCCAGAGCTGGACGGACACCAGCTCCATGCACAACAGCCTAGAGACGTGAGCAACACCCCTGCCCGTGGGCCTCAGTTTCCCCACCTGTAAGATGGGCACAATCCACCTGTGCTTCCCAGCTTCAGGGACATTCACAGAGATCGTGAGGGGCATTGTGCACCCTCCACTCCAAGGAAGAAGAGTCTCGGAGAATCCATTTTCCCTCTAAGGAAAATATTTCCAGGCAAATACTCTTCCCAGAACTCTGCGGATGACACCAGGCTGATTACTACCTTGTTTTGTTTCCTCTAAGATAAGACTTCCTTCTTGGTGAAGAGTTAATATTTTATTTATGTGCAGTGCCTCACTTTCCTCTGGGCTGCTTCCAATGCATTGAAACTTTCTTCCAATAACTGCATAAAAGACCACGCTGACTGCAGAAATGGTCGTGGGAACTGCTAGAGAGACGAAGCGCTTCTGAAGAGAGTTTGAAAAAGTTGCAAGTACAAATAAAGAGAGATCTGGGTTTTCATTTTTAGTTAAAGATCACAGATGGCTCCAAGATTTGTGGAAGGATGGCCAGAGAAAACCCACTGGGTGTGATTCAACCCCCACTTCCAACCTAAAAGCGTCACACTGAGTGTATCCTTCCATTTCCTTGGATCTTAAATATCAACAGAATAGAGTATGTGTCCCAGCTTTTAAAAAGTTTCTTCTAGAATGTTTTATCTATAAACTAGACAGGTTTTGTGTCTAGTGTCCTATACAAAATATAGGAACTTCAAAAAAATTGTTCGATACCTGCAAAGAAATCCTTGATGCTAAAGATTGAGTAGGAAGCGTAGGAAGGTTTTCTTTCAAATTATATTTTGATTGAACTCGGGGGCACTTAACCACTGAGCCACATCCCCTGCCCTTTTATATATTTTATACAGAAACATGGTCTCGCTTGTTGCTCAGGGCCTTGCTATGTTGCTGAGGCTGGCTTTGAACTCATGATCCTTCTGCCTCAGCCTCCAGAGTTGCTGGGATTACAGGTGTGTGTCCCAGCACTCAGCTGGGTCGCTTCTTTTTTAATTCATGGATCTATCAAAATATAACACTAAGCGTTGGGGATGGAGCTCGGTGACGGAGCACTCACCTAGCAAGCACGAAGCCCTAGTTCTGATCCCCGGCACCATGCATAAATATACATATTATATAGAATATATTATAGGTATCATTTATATTATAGAAATATAGATATGTGTATTATATTTGTATGCAATAAAACACTAAAATATTACTTATTTTTGGCATCCCTTAATTTCTTCTCATGTGTGTGTGAGACAGAGAGACAGCACACGAGAGACACTAGGGATTGAACCCAGGGGTGCTGAACCACTGAACCACATTCCCAGCCCTTCTTATTTTTTATTTTGAGGCAGGGTCTTGCTAAGCTGCTGAAACTGGCCTTGAACCTGATCTCCTCATGCCTTAACTCACGAGTCCCTGAGATTATAGGTGTGCACCACCACGCCTGGCTGGCATTCCCTTAGATTTTACACCTGAAATGAGTTTCTTGTTCCTGGGCTCAAGATCTAGGGCTAACTTTCAATTCCAAAGTACTGGGAGTCTTGCTGGGAGAACACAGGGCGGGGCCATGTGGAGGAAAGGCGGGGCCACAGGGAAGGGCGGGGCCAAGTGGGAGAAGGGCGGGGCCACGGGGAAGGGTGGGGCCTCGGGAAGGGCGGGGCCATCACTGCGCCCCACCCACACACACCGGTTTCAGCTTTCCCCTTTGGTCATCCCCTCTCCTCTGCCCGGTCACACAGTACACAGGGACCAGTGACTTCTAAAGGGTATGCCACAGAGGTCCCATAGGTCCAGGAAACCTCTCGGGCCTGAAGGTCCCTCTCGCTTCAGCCCAAACAAGCCGCCTTTCGTGAACCTCATGGACTTTGCTGCCCTTCGGTAAAGCAGGATTCCACCGCCCACAAGAGAGCGTGGACCCCCTTCTCCGAGATCTGCTTACTGCGCCCCACTCCCGGGGACAGCGACCCTCCCACACGCCATGGCAGCTACCTGAGGACCCGCGCCTCGGAGAATTCCTCATAACTGTGCATGGAGTCGCTGTAAGATTCCCGGGACCCCAGAGGCGGCGGGCGGACAGAATACTGGTGGACAGAGGCGTTGGGCTGCGACGTGGTGTAGTAGGGCGGCGGGATGCTGTTGCTGGTCTCACTGCGGTAGTCACTGTCCCGATCATCCACAGCACTGTCGGGGTCATCGTCTGGAAGAGAGAGCAGGTAAATGCGGAGAGTGAGGAGAGAGAGGGCACACAGGGGGTCAGTGCAGTCCCCAGACTTGGGGAGTCTTTATTGGCTGCTCACCAAGAGAATGCTCCCTGGTAATGCTGGAAGGACGTGGGTTACGTTAATAGAGGCATAGGCTGAGGAACAAGGGTCACACTAGACCTAGAGTCTGAGTGTCCTATAATTTGAAGAGGACAGGGATAATCTAGAGGGTGTCCTTCAGCTCAAATGATGAACTTTGTCAAAGTCCAGACGCTCTGGAAAATGAGATGGGATTTTCCTTCCCCACCAGGCAGTTGGTTTCCTTAAGAGAAGCTACATACTCGGAGGCAGATCAGGAGGAGCAGCTGCCCTTCAGCCCTCGAGATTGCCCCGTGTCTGAGGAGGGCCCCGGGCCTGAACCTGCACCAACCCCCAGGGTTGGAGCTCAGGCCAGCAAGACCGCCTTCCCCGCCCCAGCCCCCAGTATGGCTGGAATTGAAGCACACACTGGCTTGGCTCGGCTCCTAGTACAAGAAAACAGTTCATTTTCTAAATTCTAAAGAAAGAGGATTCTAATTTTAAAGCCATACACACGGGTAGTAGAATAATTAAGATGCAAACATTTTTTTCTCTCTTCTTTTCTGAACCTTCTGGGAAGTCTTTTTTTTTTTTTTTTTTTTTTTTTAAGAAGTAGTTGGACACAATACCTTTATTTTGTTGTTTATTTTTATGTGGTGCTGAGGATCAAACCCAGGGCCTTGCATGTGCTAGGCCAGCACTCTACCACTGAGCCACAACCCCAGCCCCATGGGAAGTCTTTATTTCAATAATGCACAGGTTACTTTTCTAATTTAAAAGAATGATACAGTTATGTTTCTTTTGAAAGTAAAGCAAAATTTAGTTGATGTAGAAAACCAGAAAAGTAGGGGAAAGTGTGTGTGTCAGGGGCAAATCCCAGGTCCCCAAATCTCTGACCAGTGAGGGGGACCTTTAGGCTTTTGCTGCATTAGGAGGGAGATGTGATGTCACCAACAGCATCAAAAATGTGACTCTGGCCAGGTGCGGTGGTGCATGCCTGTAATCCTAGCAGCTCAGGAGGCTGAGGCAGGAGGATCTTTAGAGAGACCTGGCTTTAGAGAGACTCCCCTGGATCAAAGAGGATGTGGGGAAGGGGACCGGGCCTCCAGTGGGTGGAGGACAGGAAGAAATTTTTCTAGAAAGGAAGGACAGGAAGCCATTTCCTAGGGGGAGCGGGTCTGCCTGGGGGGGTGTGGCCTCCTTCCCTGGCAGGTGGGGGGGCTGGCGGGCATTGCCTGGGGAGGCGTCCAGGTGCCCCTGGGCTCAGCCCTGGCTGCCGGCCTCCCTCCCTCTGTCCCTCCCTCCCTCCCTCCCTCAGCCCTCTGAGTGACAGGGTCTCTTTCCAGGAGGAAGACAGGGGACAAAGAGGGAGGAGAGGAGATGGATTATACACGGGGACAAGAGGAGGGGGTCCTGGTGCCCAGCGGGCCTCCACCTGTCCAGTCCTCCCTGCCGAGTCCCCGCACCCAATGGCCATGCCTGCGCCCCACCAGACAGAGCGTGACCCCGAGACTGGTGTTGATGGATGGGGCCCCGGAGGGCGCAGGAGAGGGTCTTGCCAGCCCTCTGAGCCTCATGTGGCAGTCTCAGCTCCCCATTAGGGGGCGCTGGGTGGGGGACCTCGGGGTCACCAAGATGCCCGCCTCCCCTTGAGCCTCCATTGGGTCAGGGTTACTTACTCTGTTCACCCCAGCCAAAATAATTCCAGTTGCCTACAAAGAGAAGGGGCAGAGATGATAAAGGGGGGCGGAGGGAGGGGCTCTCCCTGCGTCCTCCCCTCCCCGGGTCCCCCAGGGTCCCCCTCATAGCTGACATCTGCTTCCTTTGGACCCTCTTCCAGCTCCCGGCCCTGCCCTGGCCTCAGCCAGAAAGTAGCAGTGAGGGCATTTGGACCCAGGGCTTGCAGACTCTGAAGTCTGGGGTCAGAGTTCCCCACCTCTTCGCTCCCCCCCAGCTCATGGACAGAAAATCACATGACCTTGGGAACCCTAAGCTCCCAAACACCCTGTTGGGTGGCTTCCATCATTTGGCTTTTTAAATTATTATTTTTTTTTTAATAAGTGAAGAAATGGGCTCAGAGAGGGTCAGTGAGCAGCCCAAAGTCACACAGGCTCTGAGCAACAGGCCAAGGGAAAAAAAACCCCACATTCTTCTTTTATCCCCAATACTGTCACCTCAGAGAAAGTCCCTCTGGAATCCTGGCTCCTCTGGGAAAGAGGGGTGAGGAAATACTCCCAGAGGAGGCACAGAGTAGATTCAGGCTCCATTTCCCCAATCAGACCCAACCCAAGTCAGTCTGGGAGGGAGGTCCCCTCGCGGTCCCCAGGATCTCCATCCCCAACTCCTTCACCACCCTCCTGGGCACAAGGGGGACACGTGGATATGGGGGAGACCAAGAGGGGAGGAAAGGAGGAGGGGGAGCGGGTGGAAAGGAGAGGAGGTTGAAGAGCTGCAGGGGAGCAGGGGACCTGCCCTAGGGCCACATCATCTGTCCCTTTGTCCCACTCCAGAGGACTGAGGGCTCCGTGGGGCAGGGGACTTTGGCTTGGCCAGTGGAGAGGAGGTTCAGAGGACCAAGGCACAGCAGCACCTTTACAGCTCCCGCCCGAGGGAGGGCAGTGGGCGGGGGTCGGCGGGGCCACCGTGGGCGGTCGCCATGGGTCCTACAGACCTGGGCCAAGTCCTGGCCAAGCATGTGACCTGGGGCGGGTCCCCTTTCCCATGGCCTCCAGTTTCACTTAAGAAAACTGCTCATGAAGGAGCCGTAGCCCCAGGATGCATGTCCTCTGACCGGGTGTTGGCTGCGTGGACCCCACCGTCTGACCGCGGGTGGCCTGGGGTCTGGTGGCCTGGGGTCTGGTGGCCCTGTGCCTAGTTTGTCAGATGAGCTGCAGACCCTTGGCCAGGGCTGATGGGAGCTCAGGGGTCCGCAAGTGTCTCTGCCTCGGGTTCTGGGCCCCGACAGCCTAAGGGGAGGACCCCAGGGGTCTGGGAGGGACAGGAATGGGCCTGTGGCCACACGCAGGATGGGACTGCGCCCAAGCCCCCGATCACTTCTCTTCCCCCATCAAGGGACACTGTCCCCCTAGGACTCTTCTGCGGGGGGGGGGTCCTCTGGGCAGGGGGAGGTACTCACAGCACTGGCTGCTGGGCACGGGCAGCGGCTTGTCCTGCTCCTCGTGGAAGGAGTACTGCGGAGAGGGACAGGAGGCGCTCAGGGCCAAGAAGGTCCCCAGCCCTGTGTCCCCTCCCCCGGCCTCCAGCCCCTCCAGCTATCAGAGAAAGAGGGGACAGAGCGGGGGTGCAGGGGAGGGATCTGAGAAGACTCGTGCCAAGGAGAGGCTCTGTCCTCACTGCACTGCGCGTCCCCTGACCCCCGTCACTGCTTCACAACTGGCACCTATGTCCCCGTCCCCCCCCCACCGTGCCCACCTTGCCACTGCAGCTGCGTGACAGAGCCCTCTGAACAGACGCAGGGAAGAACAAGCCAGGGGGGGGGGGGGCAGAGGTGGCGAGGGGGAGGGGAGGGGGAGGGGAGGGGGATGGGGGGGGGGGGGGGAGGGGAGGGGGAGGGGGAGGGGAGGGGGAGGGGAGGCCGCACCTCGTCCTGGTCGCGCAGGGTGTTCAGCTGCTCCAGCTTCTTGGCCCAGTACCGCGCCTCCTCCTCGGGGATGTCTGTGGGCACAGTGGGCTGAGGCTGCTGGTCTGGTGGCCCCAGCTGAGGGCTCCCTGCCACTGGCCGTCTCTCCTCCTGGCAGCCCGAGGCCCCACCGGGACCCCCAGACCTGAGCCCCGAGGATCGGGGGCATCTGCCACTCATAGGTGATGCACAGGGGACAGGACGGTCTCAGGCGTGCAGTGGGGACACCTCTGCCAACTCGGTGCCCCCAGGAGACGCCCTTCTGGGGAGGGGACCCGGTCCCCAGCGGGCAGGGCTGCCTGGGCCCAGCTGGACGCGGCCACTCCCCTGGACTGGGGGGCGTTGGGAAGCCGGGACTCACCCAGGGGCAGCTCGAAGCGCGTGTCCAGCAGGATGCGGTGGAACGTGGGGTCCTTGGTGCCGCAGATTTCGCTGTCCGCCATGATCACCTGGGAGTCCAGCGTCAGCCACTCTCCAGGGCCCTCCTGGGGTCGTGGGAGGGTGACAGGGACCAAGGGCTCTGGTTAGCTAAGGGGATCGTGTCCCCAGCAGGGCCCCCGCCCTCTCACAAGGCACCCCTCACCCCATATCACCCCTACCCAGAGGGCAAGGGTCCCTCCCCACTTTATAGTGAGGAAACTGACCCTCAGAAAGGGAGGGTCTCAGCCCAGAGCCACGTGGCAGGTCAGGGAAACTCAGAGGCGAGGACCCAGGAGAGCAGGCAGGCGCTGGTGTAGCTTTGTCACAAGGGGTTTGGGGACTCTGGCTTCACAGTCCTCCCACCACCCAAGGAGGAAATGCCCAAAGAGAATGAGCCTGTTCCCTGATGATTCAGGGACATGGGCCCTGTGAGCAGGGGAGTCCACTCTGAACCTCAGTGTTTTCATCTCTTAAATAAGAACAATCTCCTGTGGAGTCCTCTGACTGCTGTCCCGCATGACCAGGCCCCCCTCACACTTGGGGGGGCCACTCGAGGCCTCTTTTGAGGCTCATTTCCTTGAACTATTACATTCATTTCCTCCCTTGTCCTGGTTCATTCAATCATTGACTCAAAACCAAATGCTCCCTGGAGCCGCCTCTGTGCCAGCTTCATGCTGAGTGACACCAGGGTCCCCAAGGGCCCCAGGCATCAGTCTGGCTCCTGAAGAGCTCACAGTCCTGGGAAGCAACGCTGGGCCCATGAGGTCAGGGCCAGGCCTGAGGGATCCAGGGACATTGGCCAGGGCTTCAGGAGGGGGAGGTGTAGCTCAGAGGGGAGTGGAAGGGAGGGCGCTGGGGCCCAGGAACAGCATCTGCAAAGGCTCAGAGGCCAGGATCTGCACAGTGAGCAGGCCATGCCGAAGGCCTCCCAAGGGACAGGGCGGGGGACAGCTCAGAGCTCCAGGCCATAAGATCCTGCAGCGGTCAGCACAGAGTGGGTGAGAATCAGGTCAGGAGGCCCCGAGAGGAGGCCAGAACTGGGCTATGGGGACAGGGAGGTCACCAGAGTGGTCCCCACCCTCTGGTGTGGTGTGAGGGCGGAGGTGTTGGGCTTCTGTCTACACTGTCCTCTGGCTGGTGTCATCCTGCTGCCCTCCCAGGGCGCAGAACACTAGCTGCCCACATCCCCCTCCTTCTTCCATAGAAATCTATTTTTAGCTGTGATGGGGGCATGGCTTAAGACTACATTTCCCAGAATTCATTGAAGCCATGTGGAACCACAATTCAGTTTTGGCCAATGGGATGTATTTAAAATGCTGGGAGCAGCCTCCAGGTTGGGCCCTTAACTAAGCAGGTGAGCACTCCCCTTTACTACCTTTCCTTGGCTGGAATGAAGATGCAATGATGAGCCTCAAACAGCCACTTTGGACCATGAGGTAGAAGTCATACGGGAGAGCAATAAGTTGAAGGAACTTAGACCCCAGTGGCTTTAACTGTCTTAACAACCCCAAAGGTATACATAGATATTGTCAGGGGGCAGAGAATGTAAATGCCCATCTTGTTTAGGCCACAAGGCTCTGGGCACTCCTCCTTCCCCACCTTCAGCCCACCCACCATTCACCTCATTGGATTGTCGGATGGTCCTCAGTGGGATCCACACAGTGCCCACCATTGTGTCCCAGATGAGACCCTTGTTCCACACCTCCACAGTCAGTCCTAAATCCAGGCGGTTAATCTCACTGTGGAAAGGGGAGACGCGGTATCAGGGGAGTAGGGGGGAGAGCATGGGAGCTCAGAGAGGTTAGTTTGTTTGCCTGAGGATACACAGCATACTGCAATTTAACCCCCTTAGCTGGATGGCAAGAGGGGAAACTGAGGCCAGAGGTGGGAACTGACTGGCTTTGAGTACCACAGAAGCCAGCCAGGAGGGAAGGAGCGGGGACACATGTCACACGTCTCCCACACCTGTCTTCTGAGCCCCTGCTGGAGCCTTCGACCCTGATGATGCAGGAGAGTGAAGAAGCTGCTGAAACCCCGCCCTGGCCCCACTGTACCCCGATAACAGCATCTGGGTGTCTCCAGCCTTGCAGTGTCACCTCTGCTCAACCAGGTGGGGACGCTCCTGAGCACATGAACACGTGCACTTTCATGCCCTTTCCTTGAGGGTTCACCCTGGAAATGGGCCAATTCAGGGACTGTCTGCCCCTCCCCCGGCACACCATCCCCCACCCCCCACCCCCTCCGTCCTCTGCTTCAGGGTCCTCAGTGCCCGGCCTCTCCTGTCTCCTGCCCCGCTGACACTTCACTGTCAGGCTCTGCTGGGGCATAGCCTGGGGGTGGAGAGTGGCCTGGGACCAAACCCCAGCTGTGACACAAACGTGCTGCGTGACACTGAGCAGTGGCTCTACTTCTCTGGGCCTCCATTTCATCATCTGTAAAAAGGGGATTGCAGGGGCAGCTCCCCTCCCAGGGCTGTAGGTGCAGCTGATTTAGTTCAAGCAGAGGAAGCCTCTGAGCAGGGCACAGACCGCGGCTGTCATCAGAGTAGACTGGACGGAGGTGGTTTTGCAAACGGGGCACTGGGTGGCTCTAGACTCTGGGCTGATCCGGGCCATTAATTCATTTGCTTATCAAATGGTTCTTGAGTACCTACTATGTGCCAACTCCTGTGACAGGGGGTCACAGTGGGGACAGAAATCAACCCTGTCCCACCCTCCTGGAGCTCCCAGTCTAGCAGCCGTGGCCAGAAATGAAAAACTCATAGAAATGGCTAGAATATCCATTGGAGGGGAAGCCCGGGGAAGATACCGGGCTCTGACAGTGGTTTTTGGAAGAAGAAGGGTGGGGCTTCCCTGGAGGGGACACGAGCTGAGATCCAAAGGACAAGCTGCTGTTTGGGGTGAGGGGAGGAACGCAAGTGCCAAGGCCCTGGGGCAGGACCAACCTGGGCTGTGGGAGGAACCTATGGCTGGGGCAGGTGAGGAGGAGAAGATGGAGAGGTGCTGGCGGGGACAGCGGGCAGGAGTGTGGCTTTATTCTGAGGTCGACAAGCTACGGACACGTTTGGAACAGAGGAGTGACAGGATGTGATTTACAGTTTTAAAAATATCCCCCTGGCTGCCTGGAGCAGAGCAGATTGTGGGGGGCGGGCCGCAGCGGGAGGCCGGGGGCGGAGGCCGGGACTTGGCCGGTGGCTGCTGAGATAAAGGGAAGCGGTTGCATTCTGGATGCGCTTTGGGAAAGAGCCGGCGGGGCAGGGAGGGACAGGCCACTCGGCTCCCTGGCGGTGCCAGGCACTGCCCGAGGTGGCCGCGGCGCGGGCAGGGGCGTGGCTGAGCTGGACGCGCAGACTCACAACATGAAGTCCTGCTCCCAGCTGGGCTGGCTGCCGCGCACCGCGATGGTCGTGCTCTTGACATTCTGCACCTTCAGGGTCACGTACGTGTTGAATTTCTCTGTGGCGGTGACAGCAGAGTCAGCGACGCAGTTCAGGGACTGCACCGCCCGCTCTGGGTCCCCGAGCTGACCCGCAGGGGCTCCTGCCCGGCCAGCCCTCCCCACGCCAGGCCCCCAGGCGACAAGCCGGGCTGGGGGAGGGGACATCTGAGATCGGGGAGACCTGGAATCTGGGGCCTCACCCAGCTGCCTAGAAATGACCAGCTCCGGGGCTGGGGGCGGGGCCGGCTGGTGAAGCCCCTGCTGGCCTGAAGTCCCCGAGTCCAGCCCCGGGAACAGGAGACCATGCCTTTGGTTTGGGCTGAGAAGACCAGGGTCCCAGAAAAGGGACAAAACTGACTGTGAGAAACTCCCTTTGGGGCTGGGGCTGGGGCTCAGGGGCAGAGGGCCTGCCTGGCACGGGAGAGGCACGGGGTTGGGTGTTGGCGTCGGGCCATCTACAACTACAAAAAAGATTTTATTCTAAATAGAAAGAAAAAAAAAAACAAACTCCCTTTGGTTTTTGCTTTTCCGTACCTCGGTATCCTCATCTGTAGCAGGTCTATCCCCTCCTGGCCTCCCGAGACCCCTTGGGAAGCCAAGGCTCGGAGTGAGCCCCACTGGCCTGGGCCAGGGGGGTGGAAGGTGGGGACACAGGGCGATCCCAGGCCAAGGTCCCCCTCCCAGCTCCACCCTCCCACGCCCCTCCTCCCTGCGCAGAAACCAAGTCTGAGTCTGGACGCAGAGCCAGACAGCCTCCCAGCCTCTCCAGGGACAGACAGACAGACAGGGCAAAGGAGCGGCGCTTACCTTGGGCACCATCAAACTTGGCTTTTTTGACTGTGGAGAGAGACAGAGAGGGAGGAGAGGAGGGGGGATGTGGAGGGGACACAGACGGACAGACATCCAAGCCAGAGCCACAAATGCAGAGGAGAGACACAGAGACACAGAGAGTCACAGACACCGAGAGACACGGGAGAAAGCCACAGCCAACCAAACGAATGAAAGAAGCAAAGCCAGGGACAGCAACAAGGAGGATGAAGGAGGCAGGGGAGAGAGAGAGAGAGAGAGAGAGAGAGAGAGAGAGAGAGAGATCATCAGACAGATGAGTACAGGCAGACCTAGGCTGGGAGGAAACTGGATGGCAGGAGAGTCCCCACAGTCCCCCACCTCCCACAGCCCCAGCCCTCCTGGAGTTGAGCCTTCATCTGCAATGGAGCAAGAGACCTAAGAAGGAACGGGGCAGGTGGCAGTAGATGCCTCCTCCAGGAAGCCCTCCGGGATTGATTGCCTCCCGAGCAGTGTGGAAGGGGTGGGTGTGAGGACAGCTGCAGCCCTGGGGCCCTCAAGGTCCAGGTGCGACTGGTTTACAGGACGGGAACTTCCCTTGACAGCATCTCTGCCCCTCCCAAACCTGCTCCCCGTGGGACCCCAGTCCTTCTTCCCTTCTCCCTCCTTTCACCCTTCTTTTCCAATTCACGTCTTCATCTGGGTCCATGGCACCCTGGACCAAACCAAAGCAATCGAGGTACGATCGAGGAATGAAGGAGTTCTTCCCCTGCCCCCCGCCCCAGGGAACCCGGGTCCTCCTGACCCCAGAGATGGTTGCGCACCCCCTTCTCACCGCCCACCCTTTGTTCTACACCTTCGGGTTTCCCCTGTCCCTCTGCCTCCTGGGTCTGTATTTATGTATGTATTTATTTAACTGGGGATTGAACCCAGGGGCACCGAGTCACACTGAGCCACCTCCCCAGCCCCTTTTTATATTTTATTTAGAGACAGGGTCTTGCTGAGTGGCTTAGGGCCTCGCTGTTGCTGAAGCTGGCTTGGAACTCGCACCCTCCTGCCTCAGCTGCGCCCAGCTTTCTGCGTCTCTGGACGGGTGCGTGGAAGCCATGGAACAATGAATTCCTAGAAACAGGACCGTGTAGGGACAGGTGCCACAGCCTCTTGGGTTTGTATCTCTGTCCCCATCACTTGAGTTTCTGCCTTGCAAAACGCTTGACTGGAACCAGGGAACACAGGAGTCCATCCAGGGTGGGAGCCAGTGGCTCTGACATAGGGATGGTGACTATGGTCGGGTCCCTTGCAGCAGAGGAGTCAGCAATGAGAGGGTGCTTTCCTAAGCCAGCGCCAACCTCCTCACCCCAAAGGCCCAGACTTTAAACGCAAATGATGGGGCATCACACCCGCCACACTTGAGTTTGGCCTTGGCAGGTAGAGTGTGGATGGAGCCCTTGACTGGGCGTTGGGACAGGTGAGCACTGGCTCTGCTGGGAGTCAAACAGAGTTGGGTTCAGATTCAGTGCTGTGTGACCCTGGGCTAGTGAATCCCCCTTTCTGGGCCTCCATCTTTGTCTTACTCTCCCTCCCTGCTTTTCTAGATCTGGTTCTCTCCCTCTTTCTTTCTCTCTCCCTCCCTCTCCCTCCCTCTCTCCCCTGTCCTCATCTCTGTTTCTTTCCCCCACACCCTGAAATCAGTATCAGTCCCTGTGTCCTCACTTTTCTGCTCAAGGCACATGGCTGCATGAGTTAAGGACCCTGTCTTGCCTGCTCAGTCAGTCCCTGTCCCACTGCCCTGTGGAATCCTTGTCACCCAGCTCCCAGGGAGCTCTCCTACCCGTCGCCCCAGCCTGGGGCTATGCCCAGCCTGGCCCAGGCCTCCTCCCCGGGGAGAGCACACCTGGGAGGCTCTGGCAAAGGTGGGCAGCCGCGGGGCGGGAGGGAGGCACCCAGATTGAGGCTGGGAAAGGCACCTACAGGGCAGACGGAGACTGAGAGAGAAAAGGAAAGGGGGAGCAGGAGGGGAGGAGGAGGACTGCACAGCAGGCAGGAACCCTCAGGTCACTGTTGGGGGCAGGCGCGGGCGAGGTGGGGGAGGGGTGTGTTGGGGGCACTTGGAGGGGCAAGCTGTGCGCGGCGCTGGGGGAATCCAGGGGCCCCTCGGCTCCTTGGACAATGCCCGCTTTGCAGACCATGGGCCTGGCTCAGGGCAGCCCTGGAGCCTTCTGGTGCGTCTGTCTCCCTCCCTGTGTCTTTCCTCCAAGAGGCTCTCGCCGGTCTCCCACCAAGTCTCCCTGCTCCTCGGTCTATTATTCTCCCCACCCTGTCACTCGTTCCTCCTCCGGTCTCTCCGGTCCCCTCTTCCTCCCTCTGGCTCTCCGCTCCCTGCAACCCCAGCCCGGCCCCTCCCCGCAGGCTGTCGGGACTGAGGGTGCGGGGCTCAGGAGGGCCTCAGGCCGTGGGGACTTGCTGGAGGGCTCTGTCCTGCTGACTGAGGCCAGCTCGGGCCCTCAGCCCCTGCAGAAGGTCCGGGGCAAGGACATCAATATTTGCTCATCCTTCAGGAGGCTCAGAGGGGAAAAGGGTCTCAGAGAAAAGGGAAAACCAAAAGCCGCCCAGGCTGGGGACAGGGGTCTTGGAGGGAAAAGGAGCTCGAGATCCAGGAGGGACTCAAGAAGGCTGCCAGGCTTGGAGGGGAGGGCGGGGCTTGGGGAGGGTGGTCTCGGGGCGGGGCTTAGGGAGGGTGGTCTCGGGCGGGGCTTGGGGAGGGTTCTCGGGGCGGGGCTTGGGGAGGGTGGTCTCGGGGCGGGGCTTAGGGAGGGTGGTCTCGGGGCGGGGCTTAGGGAGGGTGGTCTCGGGCGGGGCTTGGGGAGGGTTCTCGGGGCGGGGCTTGGGGAGGGTGGTCTCGGGGCGGGGCTTAGGGAGGGTTATGGGGCGGGGCTTAGGGAGGGTTATGGGGCGGGGCTGGCAGGAAGGGTGGTCAGGGGTAAGGGGCAGGAGGGAGGGGTGGTCTGAGTGAGGAGGGGCTTGGAGGAAGGTGGCGGGGGGCGCTCAGGGGGGGACCAAGGGGCTGGAGAAGGAACGGATTCGGCTGGTGTCTTTCCCGGCCGGCGCATGCTTTCCCCAGAGGCGCCGTCCTCGCCGTCACGTCCCGCCACCTTCACGCCGCGCCAGTTGCTGGATGAGGGTCAGCGGCGCGGAAGCGCCAGCCCTCCCCAGCGGGCTCCGAGTCACAAGCGGGCACCAGGCTATTTATAACGTGGGCGCGGAGGGCGTGAGCGACGCGACGGCGGGGAGGTGGCGGGAGCGGCCCGGGCGGGGGGAAGGGGGGGCGCGGGCGCTGTCGCCCTCTGTATCGGGTGGGTGGAGACACCGCGTCACGCGCAGCCAGTGGCCTGCGCGGCCTCGGATGTCTCTGGGGCCCCATCAGCCGGGACTGATGAATGTGGTTACAGATGCTCCCCGAACCTGGGGAAGCTGGAGCGGGGGTTCAGGCTGCGGGATCCCCATGGGCACTGCGGGGCTCGAGGCCTCAGTTTCTGCATCTGGGAAATGGGGAGAGGTCGAGCTGGGAGGTTTTGATCCCCTCTTCCTCCCTCTCCTCCTTCTGCACTGTCATTATTATAGTATCATTAATAATAATAATTAATAATAGTATTTACACATTATTATTAGGACTAGTATCATGACTATTTTTATTATTTGGTTGATTTCTCCGCGTGCCCTTGGCTAAGATTCTAGGATCCTGAATTCTAACTGAAGGGGCCTCCAGTCTTGAGGCACTTGTGACCTGCCAGATGAGGGGGGCAGTGTGAAGGGCAGGGGGAGGGGAACCCAGCCATCAAGGAGAGATCTGAAAGCCCACTCCCCTGATGTGCTCACTGAGTGTCAGAATATACACAGTGCGAGGCCACCATATCAAAGGGTGGCTTTGGCATGGGGGTGGGGAACATAGAAAATCCAGAAATAGATTCCAGGATATTTGACGGTTTCCCGTGTGATGTTGCTGGCAGACACTTCAGCGGGAGACGGATGAGCTCTATGATATAGGGCGTTGACCCTGCGGGTTTTGCACGGGGCAGAGAATAAACGAGGACTCTCAACTCTACTGGAGGAATAAGCTGGAGCCTTCTGTGTGAAAAACAAACATGCCAAGAGCCCAAGGATCAGTGATCCTGTGCTGCTTACCACGGACAGCTAAGAATTAGGCCCAGTGTTTACAGTTGTAGTTGCTCATTAAATAGTGATTTGCTAAAGGCGTGACGTCCTTTCCTCCCATGGTTGACTTGCGCTAAGACGGCAACTGGACGCTGTCCGTGGTGCTGAACCCTCCATCCCTGCTCTTGTATCCCTGATGAACTTGGCTTCCTTTGTCCTGCTCAAGAGCTGGAGACCCCTCTTAGAGCCCTCCTCGGGCCTACATAGAGTGCCCTACACTGATGGACCTCCTTCCCGAAAGCTCTTAGGCTCCATTAATAAAAATACCATCATTGATTTTTCCATTTCTTTGGCTCACACTTATTGGGCCTTCCCATAGGCCAGCATCATGCCAAAGGGCCCTGCCTCCTCTCATTAGAGCATCCTGTCAAACCCAGGTGGCACTGGCGCTATTGGTGTGCCCATTCTACAGATGGGCATGCTGAGGAATGAAGAGCATGTGGGATTTGCAGAGAGTGATGAATGCAGGATTCAAACCCAGACCTGCCCAAGACAGAATGCCCTCGTTAGCACCTCACATAGTGAGAGGAAAGACCCAGATGCAGATGCCCCCAGGTGGGTGACATCACAGATGGGGCAGCCCTGGAGAGTGATCTGTGAAGTCTTCCTGGGAGAGAGGAGGAAAACAGCCATTATGAATGAGGAGGTGGTGACGTGCCAGTTTACTGAGTGGATACGGGAAGAAGGCAATCAGGACAGACTCTCACCCATGGAGGGAATTTGGCTGTCTCCCAGGTTCTGAGGCTGAGAGAAGGCTCAACGCCTTCCCTCACCCACAACAGGCTCAGGAGTCTGTTAGATTCACCTCTGGCTCTGTGGCAGTAGACAAGTTGCTAGACCTCTCTGAGCCTCAGTTTTGCTCATCTGCAAAATGGGGCTTCTCTGAGGATTCAAGAGGGCAGTGGGCACAAAAATCCTCGAAACCGTGCCTACAGCATGCTGGATGGGTGGGACTTGTGGATGTTATTATTGGTCATGAGGCAAATTCTTTCCTCACACACATTCACTGATTTGTTTGCCTTATTCGCCCATCAAATATTTATGGATCCTTTAAAACCTGATGGTCTATGCAAAATGCCGGGAGGCACAGGAAAGCCTGGAATTGATCCTGACCGCTGCTCCTTGGACCATGCTGTTCCTTTGCCTGGACCACTGTCTTCCCTCCGATTATCTTTCCCCTCATCTTCTGACACTCAGGCAAATGGTAGGGGTGGGGTTCAAGGCAGGCTTCTAGAGGAAGAGTGTCCTGGACCCCTCCCCCGCTCCCCAGCCTTTTCCCATCTCTTTTACCCTAACACGATTAGGAGAGTGGCCAGGGGTAGGACTGGGTCCCCAGAACCAAGAACGGTGCCTGGTACACAGCAGGTGCTCAATGACTGCTTATCACGTAAATATGAGCAACTTCATAAAGGAACCAGGTGCATTTACCATTGGCAACCTCAGGACACTGCCAACAGCTGGCTGGCCGATTAAGAGGAGGCCATGTGTTTCCACACAGGTAAGGAAGCAGGAGCCCGGAGCCGGGCCTCTGCGGACAGGCTCCCGTTTGCTCCCGTTTGCTGGCTTGGGGGGCACGCTTGAGCACTTCATCGGCCTGTTTGCTTGGATGTCTGCAGGGAGGAGTTCACTTGCATAACCAGGGCAGGCGGATGTGTGTGCATGTATAGAGGGACATGGGACTGTTTGTGTGCAGGTGAGGGTCTGCACACATGTGCCTAGAGATGAAGATGTACTGGCATGTGCAATCTTGTGGACAATGAGTTAGTAGCACACACATGTTGGCACATGTGTGCATGCCATGCAGTTCCATGACCCATGTATTTGTGTATTTGCATACACACACTCATGTGTACCTGCGTACCTAAGTGAGTGTATGTAACATCCTTCGTCCATTCAAAAAGACTGCTTCGAATGTCTGAGCAAGCATTGTCCTGTGTGTACACATATGGTGTTTGTATGTGCTTATGTGTATAGAAGTTACTTCATGAGACTTGGTACCTTAACGGGTGCAAACGGGTGCATGTCTGGGTGTGAAGTGGTGAGGAGATCTTGTGTATTCTGCACACACGTCAACTTTGTATGGATACTTCCAGTTGTGCACCCGAAGACACACCCATCTGTATTTCAGGGACTTTGGCTTAAGACTGGATCACACACACACACACACACACACACACACACGGGACTGTGTTCACGCAGGCATGGGTCTGCTCGGAGTCCTGGTAAGCTGTCTGTGCACAGCAGCAAGCCTGGTGGGAATGTGTGTAGGGCGGTGGACGCATGGGTGAGGAGGGGCAGGTGTTCCAACTCCAGAGATGAGCTCAGACCCCAGGGCCACCCCTCCCAGCCTAGTTTCCCTCCCGCCCAGCCCACCTCACACCCCCACTCACCCCACCATCCTCTTGGCTCCACCCCTCACCCCGGGGCTTTACCCTCCTCCAGCTCTTATTGCCCCCCACCCCCTCTCTTCCTGCTCCAGGTTCCCCTCCTCACCAGGTCTCTCCGCCTCCCACCGCAGCCCCAGCCTCGCCCTGCCCATCAGCCCTCCACTCTGCCGGGGACTCCTTCCCACAAAGTCCACAGAATCCAGCACAATCCTGCCCCCGGGCCTCCCTTTCTGGAAGCCTCCTCCCTCTTACTGCACCCCCCCCACACACACACACACCACCCCCGCAGCCGAGCCTCCTGTTTGCGTCAGAGCTGAGCGTGACATCCCGCCCCCTGCACTAGGCAGGCCTTCCCCAGGAGCCCTGCGAGGGGTGTGGGGGCGGGGAGAGGGCAAAGGAGAGGACGGGGGTCAGCAGGAGCACCCCACGGCCCCCGGCTCCGGCGCCGCTTCCTGGAGTGCCAGGCAACTCGAGAAAGGGAAGAGCCCGCTGGGTCTGACACCCAACTTCCCCTCCATCCTTCCTCAGGCCTAGCCGTGGGGATAGCACGGGGGTCCCCTGGATTTCCCGACAACACTAGCTCCGCAGGCCTGGAGGTCAGGGGCTCGAGGTGTTGACCTTTGACATTAGGGATCCTTCTCCCACCACCCCCAGCCTCGTCAGACCGAAATAAGCTCAGAGAAAGGGGGCTCCTGTCCCTTTAAGAACACCCGCGTCCACGCCGCCGGCCCGACCCTATTTGCACACGGGAAGCCGCGGCGGGGAGCGGGCGGGCGGGGCTGGGTTTGTGAATGGAGCGGCGGGGGGCGGGGCGGGGGCGGGGCGGGGGCGGGGCCGGGCTCGAGCCTGCCCACCTGGGTCCAGGCGGCCGCTGGAGTTCGGCACGCACGCGCGCGCTCGTACACACGCGCGCGCACACACTCTCACACTCCCCGCCGCCCAAGGTCTCCAGAAGCCTGGCCTCACACTCGGTCGACACCCTCCTTCCACCACCGCAGTCTTCATGAAGTGGGCGCGGGGAGCCGCGAACCCCAGTCCTTAAAAGCCAGGGTTCAGAATTCTGTGGGCCTCGAGCCCACCCACCGCCAGCCCGCTCCCCGCCCAAGGTCTCCCAGAGCCTGAGTTCTCTGTGGGAGTGCCTCGGACGCCCGGGCCCTGGTGAGCTGGCCTCTCCCAACCCTAGGCTCAAAGGTGTGTTGGGGGGTCATGCGTCTCCCACGTTCCTCTCCCTCCCCCCACCCCAACGCAGAGCGTGGGCCTGGGCGTGGGCCTCAGTGCAGATGGCGCTCTGGCCCCAAAATAGCTCCCCCTTCCCTCCCTGCAGCCCAAAGTGGGTGAGGTGAGGATGGACCCACAGGGGTCGGGGTCGAGGGCGGGTGGTCGTGCGGGGGTCACTGCTCTTCCAAAAGGGTCTGCACCCTACAGAGTAGGCTGGGTACGTCTTCAGGGGGTCTGGAGGGGGCGGGGGGAAGGTCCCTCCCGCTGTCCTCCCAGTCCCCATCTGGGAGGCCAAAGAGTTCATGGGAGAAACAGCCCCACACCCCCAGCCATCGCCCTCTCTGGACGCTGGGGGTCTCCCTGGCCCCCTCCCCCTAGTCCTCTTCATCCAGGGCTGGGGGGTCCTAGAACTCTCCGCTGTCCTGAGGGCCAAGACGCCCGCCCACCCAGACCTTCCATTTCCGGGGCTTGGAGACCCGCGCCCCTTCGAATGCCCAGCCGGGTCCGCGTCCCCGAGGATCCGTAGCCCAGCGCACAGGACCGGACTCCTTCCGAGTGCCCCGCAGGAGTCAGACTACCCAGCCAGCCCGCTCCACACGGACCCCTACACCAACAACCCGGTCTACACCATCGCCCGAGCCTGGACCGCTTCGGGACAGAACCCGAGATCCCCACCCGCGTCCACACGATCCCCAACAGAGGCTATCGGGACCCCCGAGAACCGAGCCGCGTCTACACGGGTCACCCCCCGAGGCGGCCTGCCGCAGCGCCCACCGCTCTCCCCTCGGCGGTCACGCCGCGTGTGCTCAGGTCACCCCCGGAGGAGCCCAGCCGCATCCACGCGGACCCCGGGAGCAGCCCGCGCCCGCACGGGTGCCGACCCGCAGCCTCCCGCCTACCTCCAACGCAGAGCAGGGACATGGCTCCGGAGTCGCCGGCGGGCCGGGGGCGGCCAGGCTGGTTCGGTGGGGTCGGGCTCAGCGGCCGCCGGCTCCGTGCATCTCGCGGCTGCAGCCCGCGCTCTGCTCACGCCCGGGCCCGGCCGCCGCCAGCCATCTTGGTTCAGCACCGGGGGGCGGACAGCTCCTGACGTGGCGCCGGCGCGCGGCGGGCGGGGCCGGAACGCCTGATGGGGCGGGGGCGCCGCAGCCTGGGGGTGCATTAAAGAGCCCCGCGTGGAGCCCCGGATCCCCGCCTCCAGGCCTCCCCCGCACGGGGACTGGGCGGCCCCCACGCATGTCTCCTGCCGGCTCTGCCCGGAGGATCTCCGCTCCTGGGGCTCTGGGTCTCCGTCTCTCCAACACTCTCTTCCCTGCTCTCTGCTCCTGTTCTCTCCAGGCCTTTCTTAATCATGTCTTCCTCTGAGCCCCTCTCTGTTCCTTTTCTGTGCCTCTGTTAGGTCCCATCTAGGTCTCAATGACCCCGTTTCACTTTCTCTAAGCCACCCATCCTTCTTTCCCTGTATAACTAGAAATCTATTCATCCGTCAATGCCCTCTCCTCCTCCTCCGGGAAGCCTTCCTTGACTTCCCTTGCACTGACCTCTCTGGGTCCCCAGCTCCCAGCCCTTCCTCTGGTTGGGCCCTGATTCGAACTCCTCTGCACGCACCTAGCTGGGAGCCTCCTTATGGCCCTTACCCTACAAACCTGCTCACGTGTGTGCCAGTGTCTGGAATGGCACCGGAGGCCGAGCCCCACAGAGCAGCCTGTCCCCGACACACAGGAAAGACCTTCATAAATACAGAATGTGTATGGAGTTCGCTGTGAGGGAGGCCTGTGTTTAAAACCCCGCTCTGCTTCTAATCGCCAGCATGGTCTTGGCCAAGTCACATGACTTTTCTGTGCCTCAGTTTCCCTGTGAAAGGGGATGACAACTGACCCGCCTCTCAGGTGGCAGGAGCTGTCATATGAGTGAACACCTGAAAGGGCTGGGCACTGTAGTCTCCTGTTAGCCACGTTACATCTCTCTTTGCTTTCAGAGTGTTAATTAAGTCTCAACTAGATGTGCACAGGAGAGGGATGAGCAGTAGAGCCACAGGCTTGGGTAAAAAGCATCAGCACACAGTGGGAGGCTCCTCGGTGCCTCCCCAATCTCATCCCTCAGCTCAGAAAGGAGAATTTCCCCCAATTTTTTCACTTCCATGCTTTTCCTTACACATGCTTGACAGCAAACATTTGAATTTTGATTGTTTATGACCTTTATGTAACTGACACAAATGTTCACATTCTTTACCAACCTGTTTTGTTTGCTCAACATAATTCTGCTGATGTTCCTCTGTATCAATGCTGGCTGTGATGCGGGTCTTTTACACTGCTGTATAATATACTGCTAATGAGTACAACAGTATGATTGACCTATTTTTTTCAGTTAGTGGGCCTTTGGGTTGTTTCAAATTTGGATTTATTGCAAATACACACACACACACACACAGATTTATGACCATGCTCAGTATTGTGTGCTGGTTCACATGGATGATAATGGCTAAGTCATAAAACATATGTATGCTCACTTTCACTGGATAATGTAAAAACAATTTTATAGTGACTCCAGCAATTTTCATCATACTCGCATCAAAGATGCATCAGTGGGCCGGGTGCAGTGGCACATGCCTGTAATCCCAGCAGCTGGGGAGGCTGAGGCAGGAGGATTGCAATTCAAAGTCACCCTCAGCAACAGCAAGACCCTAAGCAACTCAGTGAGACCCTGTCTCTAAATAAAATACAAAACATGGATGGGGATATGGCTCAGTGGTCAAGTGTCCCTGAGTTCAATCTCTGGTAAAAATAAATAAATAAATAAGTAAATAAATAAGGGCTGGGGCTGAGTGGTTGAGTGAGTGCCTCTGAGTTCAATCCCCAGTACGGGGGGTGGGGGGGAAGCATCAGTGGCTGCGTTTCCTTGCTAATGTTTGAATTGCCAGGATTTGGGGTTACACCCTTGCAGAGGGTTGGAGTGGATTCCTCTCTGATTGCTCATGCAGCTGAACTTGTATGTGACGGCTGGCTGCTTCTTCAGGTGAGATGCCTGTTCAAGCCTTTCGTTCATTTCTAAAACTTTGACTGTTTGTCTTTTCCTGTTGAATTGTAAGAGTTTTTCTTATTAGTTACGAATCCTTTGTTGTTTCATGTGTTGTAAACTCTCCAATTTTGTGCCTTGTCTTTGCTATTTATTGCATCATTTTCTCAACAGAATCTCTCTTGATTTTTTTTTTTTTTGTACCAGGGATTGAACCCAGGGACACTCAACCACTGAGCCATGTCCCCAGTCCCTTTTTATTTTTTATTTTGAGACAGTGTCTCACTGAGTTGCTTAGGGCCTTGCTAAGTTGCTGAGGCTGGCTTTGAACTTGTGATCCTCCTGCCTCAGCCTCCTGAGCTCTGGGATTACAGGTGTGTGCCACCATGCCCAGCAGAATCTCTTAATTTTCTTTTTTTTTTAAATCATACTTTATTTTTTAGTCGTAAGATGGACACAATATCTTTATTTTACTTTTATGTGGTGCTGAGGATCGAACCCAGGGCCTCGCACGTGCTAGATGAGCGCTCTACCGCTGAGCCACAACCCCAGTCCCTGAATCTCTTAATTTTCTAAAAAAATTTTTTATGAAAAAATATAGATACACAGAACTACGACAGAGGCACAGAGCTGCCAAAGCTGTTGGGCACCTTAGCTTCCACCCAATTAACATGTAACAAATGGCTACAGGGTGCAGATGTCAAAACTAAAACACTCTCGCTGCTGCTCATTAGCAAATAAATTGCAGGTTTTATTTTGATTTCACTGGGCTTCCCACCAGTGTTCTCCTTCTGCCCCAGGAACCCCCCTCTGCATTCGGTCATCTTGTGTCCTTGGTCTCCTCTGATCTGTGATATTTTCTTAGTCTTTCATACACACAGACACACACACACACTCACACAGGGGTGTTTGGTTGTAGATGAGCACAGTATCTTTGGGTTTTTTAAATTTATTTTTATGTGGTGCTGAGGATCAAACCCAGTGTCTCACAAGTGCCTGGCCAGCGCTCTGCCACTGAGCCACCACCCTGACTCTTCTTAGTCTTTCTTACGTGGCATTGACCTTGACAGTTTGGGGGCAGGCTGGTCAGTTATTTCATAGGAAGTTCCTCAACTGGAGTTTGTGTGATGTTTACTTCAGATTAGGTGCAAAAAAAAAAAAAGATTAGGTGCAGTTTTGAGGGAAAACCTGAAACGGGGGGGGGGGGACACCTTCTTCATGACATCATACCAGCTGTGCCAAATACCCCATGACATCATCAGTGATGTGAGCCTTGGGGACCTGGTTAAGGTGGCGACTGCAGGTTTACCCACTGTGAAGTTGTAGTTTCCCTTTTCTTACTGTATTATTTGGGGGGGAGTTGTATCTGGAAGGTGGTGTGTCTACAAAGCTCTTAATTTTAAGTTCTTTTTTTTTTAACTGTCATAAAATCCACATAACAGCTGGGAGTGGAGACCCCACGCCTGTCATCCCAGCACCTTGGGAGGCTGAGGCAGGAGGATCTTGAGTTCAAAACCAGTCTCAGCAACAGCGAGGCCCTAAGCCACTAGAGAGACCCTGTCTCTTAAGGAAAATATGAAATAGAGCTGGGATGTGGCTCAGTGGTCGAGTGCCCCTGAGTTCAATCCTTGGTGCCCAAACAAACAAACCAAACCAACCACATAACCTCATTTACCATTTTAAAATTTACAACTCAGCAGTGCTCAGCACATTCACAGAGTCACAGCCACCACTTCTATCTAGTTCCAGAACATCTGCATCACCCCAAGGCTGACGCCTCCCCCACCCCCAGCCCCCTCGGTCACTCAATCTGGTCTGTCAGGATTTAATTCCAAATTCTTCCACCTTTGCTGTGTGCACACTATCTTGTTCAAGGACTCCTTCCCTGCCCCGGTATCCTAAAGGTCCTCTCAGAGTGTCTTCTGGGTGACTGGCTGTGTGGCGCAGTGGACAGCGCCCTGGAATTGCCACACCTGCAGGGGCCTTTCACAGCGTGTCCTGTATGGCTGGGCTTTTGTCCTCCATGGTCAAGTCCTGGCTTCCCTGGGAACTGATGTCAGAGAGTGAAGTGAGATAAGATCTAATAAGGGTGATCCACCCTCCCAATGCCCTTTAATGAAAGTGTCCCAAAGCAAGTTCTCAGGCCAGGGTGTAGTTCTCAGTGAGCGTGATGAATTCGGAGGCTGCCACCGTGTCCCTCCTAGCTGGGGGTCTGTTCTGGGCTCTCTTCTATCCCAGTGGCCATCAGTTCTCAAATGGGTCCTTCATCTCTACTGATACCAGCTCCCCATCTTGTTCCCGGTCAGGACCTCTGAGTTAATCTTTGCCGTTATCTCAGCTGGTTGGAGTCTGGGGGAAAAAACGAGCACAGGCCAGTGGGGACCTTGACGCAGTGAACCCACAGACAAATCAGAGCGTCAATGTACTTTACAATACTGCACCTTCCGAGGTTCAAGCATGTCGAATCTTTCTACTTATCAATCTTTCAATAAAGCTTGTAACTGTTAGATTTATTTCTAGATCCTTGGTGTATTTGAAGCTATGAATACATGAGCATTTATTTATTTATTTATTTAGATATAGGGGATGGAACTCAGGGGCACTCGACTACTGAGCCACATCCCCAGCCCTATTTTGTATTTTATTTAGAGACAGGGTCTCACTGAGTGGCTTAGTGCCTCGCTTGTGCTGAGGCTGGCTTTGAACTCATGATCTTTCTTCCTCAGCCTCCCAAGCCGGTGAAATTACAGGCATGCGACACTGTGCCTGGCGATCAATGGGCTTTTAAAATGACATGTTTTGCCTGTTGTTGCAGAAGTGTGGACTGCAATTGGTTCGAGCATCTGGCAAGCTTTCTCCACTTTTCATAAACCCAGCAATTATATTTGCACATTCTTTGGGGTTCGTGGTACACGAGGCTGCCTGCCTTGGGCAAATAAACACACTCTGCATTTCTTGCCAGTCCTTTAGCTTTCACTTCTTTTTATATATTTTTTTTCCACTAAAATGCCAGGCTCCGTGG